ATATTATCTAATTAGATATTATACTTTGTAATTATATTCTATATAAGCCTAAACTAATTGCAAATAATAGTTAGATCTTTATATTTAGCTCTTTAATAGTTATATCTCTGAAATAAATATATCTTTAGCTTTAGTTATTACTTTATAAAGTTATAAGCCTAGCACTTACTAATAGGTAATATATTATAGTCTATAAGCAGAGAATTAGCTATTTCTTTTATAAAATATAATTATAAGGGAAATCCCTGCAAATCTAAATTAAAGATAAATTAGACTATTATCTGCTCCTCTAGATTAAATAGTCTCTATGAATTCGGGATAGAATCGCATTATAATTAAATGCTATTTTAGCAATAATATAAAGTAAAGCGGCTAACTTCATAGATATCTGCGGCATATTAAAGACTTAATTTTAGGTTATTTTAAAGGGCCTAAAGGGCAAGAAGGATTCTAGCTTTATTTAAGGACTGTGATATATTAAGTGGTTAAGAACTAATTAATTAGATAGTTAGATATAAGGTTAAGGGATTTTTGGAGCGCTTGCTTATCTGGAGCGCTTGCTTATTAACCACGTTAGTATAATTAGTAAGAAAGATAATTACTTTCCCTCTTTAACCTATAGGTCACCCCTCCCTACCCAACCTATAGGTTAAAAAGGTATAATTTTAAAACTAAGTTTAAAGTATAATTATAGTAGTTAATTATAAGAATTTAAATATAAAACCTTTTATATAAAGCTATATTTAATAATAAGTACTTTATTATATTTACTAAAACTAATTTAGTATTTTAATAATATAATATCCTTATGCTTTTTATTATAGTTCTAGCAGTTATATTATATAAATCCTATACTTTTTACTAATTACTTATAATTTCTATAAGCTAAGAGATTCTGTCTATAACTACTAAGACCTAGCTATAATAGATATACTAGAAACACTAGTAACCCTTATAATCACTTAATAACCCTTATAAGTATTTTATAACTACCCCTAGTATATAAACTATATTTATTAGCGCTTTTATAAATTCTAGCTTACTAATTATTAAAAAAATGTCTTTATATTAATTAAGCCTAATATATATTAAATCTACTATTAAGAGACGTAATATGTTAATAATGCTTAGTACCATGCCCTACGCATTCTGCCAATAATAAAATTAGCAAGGCTTAGTTTATCCACAATTTAAAACCCAACCGTCACGCTCACTAACTAGCATACTCGATATTGAATTTATGTTCACGCTTATTAGACCCAACACGAACCTCCCACTTCGGCTCACCTTGCAATCCCATAGTAAGCTCAAGATCATTGTGCTTTCTCCATCCCTCCGATGGATCCCCTACTGGTTGCCACTCGGTGATAGGCTTGTCCCAGTCACACTCAATCCGACACAAGCTCAACACGGCAGAGTTTGATCTCTTTGGTGCTGGATCCTCAGCGCTGTATACGATTTTAAAGGCGCACTTTTCGGGGATATCTTGAGAACGGTAATAGTGGCTGTAGAAGAAAGGAATCCGCGATTTCTTCTCGATCTTTTCACCCTGTGATGGTTTTAGTACGAGGACTTGCATACGTTCGAAACAATTCGCTGTCGTACCTTGAGCAAATACCACCTCATTCTTGACACTCTCTCGAATCCTTCTGGATTAATAGTAATTACATCCTCAGGGTCAAGATCTAAACCTTTGATGGAGGTGCTGACCACAATTCCATAGTGGTACCTTGATCGTCGAGAGATAACATCTGGTAGAATTCTGAGAACTTCTTGATCTTCTGGTGAATGGACTGGCTGAGACGAAATGTTCTCCTGTAGCAGCCGTAGAACCGCACCTCGAGCGACAGCGGACCATCTTCACAGCTTTGATTAACACATAGATTGTATCAAATGGAGATGTCTTACCCATCGCTTGGTCTGAGGACCTTGTTGGAGAAGATTTCAGTCAACTTGTCATAGACGTACTCTGAGCTACCCAAACCCCCAACGAGGAGGATTTTCTGGAACACCAACAAGTTAGTTCATCTGGACCTTGGTCTCGCTTCCTAACGGATATTTGTATACTACCTTTGGCGGTTTCCCTGTTTCTTCTTCGACCTCTTTGCATTGATTCCCAACCAGAGTCCGAATGCCTGTAAGAGATCTGTTGAAGAACCCCGTCATTTCCTCACTTTTCAGACATGTTAGTATCTTGTCATTTCCTTGTGATGAGAAAAGCATACTTGCTGATGATCAGGGTGTCTTTGTGTCTGAGCCGAGCAAGCCTGCCATAGGCTTTACTTGGTGGGTGTAGGTGATAGTTTTCTTGAGCGTTAGAAATACTGAAACTTCTTTTTGCGCCGAGTTCCCACTCCCGCAAAATAAACTGATTGTAATCAAAGTCCTTGAGAGCACTGATCTTCAGCTTAGCCTTACCACGGACGTAGGATTCAAATGCTTGGTCAATCTGGAAAGCGCCAGCCAGCTTTCCTATGCAGCTATGTTAGATACCAAATATCCGAAAGCCATTGTACCTAATAAGTACCACTCACCTGTTCCTGGGACGCACTCTTCCAGTTTGAAGGGGCGTTCAGAGACAACTTTATAGCTGATGACATCCTGATGAATATATTAGTTTCAAATAAGCACCGATAGAACAGAGGACTTGGTGTCATACTACGGTACCGCCGCCCGCGTCACAAACAACAAACGATTCATCTTGCTGTACTTATAGTCAGCGTGAACCAACAGATTGGACTGAGGTGGCTATACGTACTTGTATCTCCGGAGAAGAGTTTCTTTGGAACAGACTCGCCAACGCGGCAGCCTCGGGCTCTTGTACGAGTATGAGAGTCGTTTCTCCAATGTCTCTGTACTTCGTGATTCCCGCAATCTTGGCAGCCTCCCTCATCGCACTCTGTGCATAGGCGGGCCAGATGGCGGGGATGGTAATGGCAACACGCAGGGGTAGATTGTCTACATCCAGCATGGACTTGAGAGCTGTATAGGTGTGATCCCACACGTTCTTCAGGTAGTAGCCGACGACCTGTACTGCCGTAAGTCTCTTCCGGGAGCTGGACAAGATGTCTCTAGCCTGTTGGAGTTGGGTTGCATTGCGAATCTCTTCTTTGGCGATGTCTTCGTTCTTCAGTAGCAGGAGCTTAAACCACTTCATAGGCTTCATATCAGGCGTGATTTCAAAACCCCATTTGCCTGAATCAATGTCATAAAGAGTTGGCACTTGAACTTCATTCTGGTTGCGATGATCCTCAGATGCCCAACCAGTGATAGAATTGACTTCTTTGGGATTGGTAGATCGTGCCCAAGAAACGCCCGAGTAACTGCATTATATAAGTACTTGGGTTAGTCACTTGCGATCAACAGGGAACAGTTGTGTGAAATTTTGGCTCACTCACGTCGTTCCGAAATCGATGCCAATGGCAACAAACTTTGGCGAATAGTCATCAGGATGTGTCTGGTAAGAATGCATAGTGCGTTAGATGACAGCAGGGGCTGGCCTCCAAACAGACAAGGGAACACTCAAGTTCTCTACGACTGACGGTTTGGGTAAGAGAAGACTGGGATGGGTATATGAGAAGTAGTCTGCATTCTCACTGCGAACCTGGATTTACCTTGTGTCTTCTCAAAGTCAGCCTAAGGCAACTCTCAAATCACCAAATTCGTCCAGCTGCGGACGCCTTGTCAGGCAGTCTGCTTCCCCACTCACATAACTGAGACCAGGCGCTGAGGCGTTCGCATGCGGTGTGATATTGCCTTGCCTTGCCCGCATATTTCTACACAGCCTGAAAATGCAGAATCCTGCTAAGTTGGATGACATGGCGTTGAGAGGGAGCCAATTCACCCACAGCCTGATTTCGTTCAGCGCTCAAATAGAGGCATGCTTATTTTAAATCGTCTTGTGCCAGCCTTGCGAGAGAAATATTAACCATAACAATCAAGATTTACAACTGGCTAAACTCATCATGGACAACAAAAGCGATGGCGTTATTCTAGTTATGGGAGTCACAGGGGCTGGAAAAAGCTATTTCTTGAACCAGCTTAAAAGCGAATCTGTTGCTGAAGGACACTCCCTGTGTTCAGGTACACATTACCCCTCATTTCACTGTCTCTGGTATCGAAACTGACCGCGTTTACAGAGACACAGAAATGCCAGGCTGTTCATATCATCCTCGACGAGGATGAGAAGCGCAGTATAACTGTGGTTGATACACCGGGTTTTGCTGATACGTTTCGCTCTCAGGCAGAAATCGTTGGCGAAATCACGGACTACCTTGCCGCTCAGCATCTGTCTGGCTTGCCTCTTCGGGGGATTTTGTACCTCCACAAAATCACGGATAACAAGGTTACCGACGCTTCGCTACAGCACATCCAAATCCTCAGAAAGATTGCTGGAGATAATGCCATGACTAACGTCATTCTGGTTACGACGATGTGGAATATTCTCCGCCCAGAGGACCACCAGCGTGCTGTACAGCGCGAGCAAGAACTTGTAACCAGCTTCTGGAGCTCCATGATAGACAACGGGTCTATCGTCGCCCAATTCAACGGGACACCAAGATCTGCCTATCCTCTTATTTATCAGCTGGCAGATCAGCAGAGCGTGGTCCTCGACATCCAGAAAGAAATCGTGGATGAGAACCGGTCAATTTTAGAAACGGCCACGGGCATGACCCTGGTTCAACAGCTGAGAGAAGATCATGATGCTTACCAACTCAAGCTGTGCAACCTACGGGACGAATTGAGCCAGCAACAGAAATTGAAGCCGGCTTCCAAAGTGGAGACAAAGCGGCTGAAAAGTGAGATCAAGTCAACTGAGCAGGTTTTGGATGCTATAAGCAGTTCGGTGGATCGCATGAGTATTCGACCTGGTGCTCCAATGCGACAGCGAATGAAACAGGCTCTGAAGGAACATGGCGGGAAAGCTCCGGTGGCAATCGGAGTGGCTCTCAACATCACATTGTTTGTAGTTGGGCTGTTCATATAGGGCTAGGCAGTTAAGCGGTGGATTACGCCCAGAAGCCTTATCACGCTATTATGTTATAGATACGTTTTACATTTCTGTGCCTCTTTTCTAAAGCTTTCAACTTAGAGTAGCCAGTTGAGTTGAAGGGTATAATTTCAGATGTCAGGAGTGACAGTTCCATGCATGCCAGGGTGCGAATATTGGATGGCGGCTGAGTGGCGGCTGAGTGGCGGGTGCGTGGGGGCTGTCATTCGAACACCGATACAGGATACCCATGTTTTCAGCTAAGCCCAGGGCGCTTGACGATCACAATGGCTGTGCGACTCGCGGGGTCATCCGTCCTGAGACTTGACTGTGATTATAGATTAGCTCATAATAAGCCTGCCAATAAGGCCGTTGATTGAGTTATTACAAAAGCTTATCATTATGTTTAAATTGGGAAACTTATCAGGCTATGTGCATACTGCCTTCTAAAAGGTTGAGTTGGTTGGGATTCTTTGTGTGATGGCTTCATATATCGTCTAAAGATTGCAACAGACCTTGACTCAAGGGAAAGAATTACTGTCCCTGTGCTGAAGGCTAATGCCAGCTCATCTTCTTTCTGGCGCATTCAATCCTTACACTGTTCGGCAGTAATAGTATAGTAAGTACACTGTATAGAATCAGGCTGCGAAACCAAGACTTCTGCAGAACGACAAATCAGGCTGTCATTTAGCCCCAAGTCTAGTGGAAAATTAAATTTCAGTTAAGCGCAAACGAACAGCTCGTATATGCATGTCTTGGCCATCCTGCAGGGCAGTAGAATTGCGAACCAGCGCCCTCACAAGGCTCTCTTAAAGACCAGACTTAGTGAGCTCGATGTATTGTAGGGGCGCAGAGCCTCAGTCCAGGCAGTACTTGTGGCAATGTAATCGGCAGTGCAGCCTTGCTCTTCAATTCGAGGAACTGTACGTTCTCCCTCTTCACCCTCTGCCCCTCAAGAGCTTCCCTCCCTTTCCCGGAGTCTAAGTCAAGAGTAGCACTAAACATTCTGTCTTCACAGCCAAAAGACAATTCTTGCCCCTGTTGACTATGAAGCGTTCCTATCACGCTGAACGAGAACCTGCCAACCGCCCACCCATCACCAAGGCAGGCCGGCCTCCCGAGCCCTCCTACAGTCCAGGATCAGAAAAGCCTCATAGGAGCAATTCCAGATCTTCAAGACATTCAAATCACTCCAGGCGTCGCTCTGTGGAGATGTCGGAAGCAGAAAAAACCATCGACGATCTTGTGAAAAGACCATCTTCTCAGGGCGTATATCAGCGTCTCAAAAATAAGTTCTCGTCGTTAACACAGCAACCATCTATGAACAATGCAGTCAAGAACCCTGAGAGTCCTGGGAGAGGATCTATCAACTCAATTCAGAAGTCAGTCGAACTAAACGTACCCAATGGACCACGAAGTCCCAGGTCCCCCGTTTGGGAACCAAGCCAACTTGCCACTCAACCAAATGGCACTGCACATACATTCCCTGTCGATGGCCAAGACCCCCAGGACAATTTCCAGATAACACCAAGCGTTCAAAGCCCTTCATCCGAGCTACCAACTGAGAGTCCTGATGTCAATAGAGTTTGTACACCAAAGGATTTTCAATTCGAACAATCCGAGGAACTCCAGCCTGCTTCACCAGCTCACCAAACCCAGGTCATGGCTGCATCTCGTGATGAGAACATCTCTTACGGGCAGAACGATCTAGCGATGGCTCTCAAAGAGCAACTGGGGGTTATCAACGACCTCATCGCCCAAAAAGAGTCTCTTTCTCAGCAATTGGAAGCCGAGCGGCAACAGCGCCAGAAAGACCTTGCCTACTGGAGAAACCGCACCAGCGAAGCCGCAAGCAAGAGTGCCAATCTTGTTCCTGGGATGCCTCTTAGTCAGCCAGACACCGAGCTCCGCAACGAGTGGCGGAACCTGGCCTTTGACGTGAGGAATTTTGTGGATAACCACTTTAAGAACGTGAGCACTAACAAACTTGAGGCTTGGGGGAAAGAGAACGGGGATTGGCTTCGAAAGATTACCCCGACCTATCAACAAGTCGTGGGGGGGAAGCGGTCAGGTCTTGCTATGGTTGAGGCGGCTGTTTGGCATGGCCTCTGCAGGGCGGTGTTTGGGGGCGTCAGGGACAATAGTCCCATGCTCTGGGCTGGCGCGTATCAAAGGAGCCTGAGAATATTACGTGAGCATAAGCATTAGTCTTAGAGGTCAAGGGCAGAGCTAACACATCAGTAGTTAATGAACTTCAGCAAGACCAAAGGCAGAAAAATTCCGAACAGTTTACTCCTCTGTTCCATCAGTGGGGTGCTCTTACAGCCAATCTGATAGAAACACTTCGAACGTCTGAACATCACTGCCAACGGGTTCATCCTGTAGTCCAAGAGCTAGAAGATCTATTCTTTGCCTGCCGTTCTGCCGGCGTGATGTACAAATCCGACACATATCGGCGGGACTTGCGGGCACTGGTCACAAAAGCTATCAGGTTTGACTTCAGCCTGTCTGGTCAAACGACTAAGTATTTCATTGGTTGGCCGCTGTCTGGTCGATCCAATGTGCCATTTGATCAGAACACAATGCAAGTGTCACAACGAAGTCCCCAGTCAACCAGGAATGTAAGATTTATACTGCAGCCTTGTTTTTTTCGAGTTAGTAGACAGGGCGATAGTTTAACGGTCATTGATGAATGTATTGTTTGGATGTTTTAGTTCTGTTATGTTATAGGATATAAGTTATTCCAAACCCCTACTACGCTGTCATTGCTCTTCACCTGGTTCTCTATCTGTCTCATCTATATCAGGTTTCACAGCGCTCTTAAGGCATAGGGAATAAATAAGTCATCCGTCGTCTTCAAAGCGCCGTTCTAACACTATCTGGCTTATACCTTAATGCTTTATTTCGGCGTCATCATCGTGCTCAGTGGCTTCTGCATATTTACCCCTTGGAATGCCAACAGCTTCATCACTACCTACATCGGCATTCCACTTATTGGGGCTCGTTTCTATTTCTTGAAGTTCTTCAAGAAGACGAAATGCGTATCATCTGCCGAGGCCGATTTGCATAGCGACAGGGTTGCTATCGATGCAATTATTTGGCAGGAAAGGGAGTCAACAACTATCCGGGGAGTCATGAGATTGGCTATGCTAGCGGCCCCTGTAATATTACGACAGTATCGTCATAGTAGTCTGGAGATTACTTTCATATTTTATATTATTCACTTCTTAATAATGCAAGCAGCTAATCATTGGAAAGAAAATAAGTAAATTAACTAAGTAGCAAGTTGGAATAAATAAATCCTTTAATATATCTATAACAAAGCCATCCCGTGAAACCCATAAAGTAATATCCGACCTTTAGTTGATCATGATGCGTTGGGACTTAGGAGTAGCCTTGGGAACTACTATGGTCAGGAGCCCATCCTTGAGGTCGGCAGTGACCGCATCGTGGTTGATATAAGTCGGGAAAGTGAAGTAGCGCGAGAACTCCTTGCTATAGCCAGAGCGTCTTGGCTCTTCAGGCTGCTCGGGCTGCTCGGGCTGCTCGGGCTGCTCGGGCTGCTCGGGCTGCTTCTCCTGGGCCTTCTCGCTGAGTGTCTCAGACTCTGGCTGGCTCATGGTCTTCGACTTCTCTGATGTGTGGCTCAAGACCTCAAATTCGTCGTCATCGACATCGTCCTCGACGGTGGCCTGGTAAGAGCTTCTGCTTCGGGTGTCTTCGTTGTCTGACTCAATGACCGGGGAGGCAGCGGTCTGCTCAGTGGTTGTTTCAGCTGCCTTGGGGGATTCTGTGAATCGCTCAACCTTGCCACTAACAACAAGCTTGCGAGGCTCAGGGAACTCGACAGTGACGTGCTCTTTGTTCATGCCTGGGAGCTCGCCGTAGAGAACGAAGGAGTCTTCCGTCTCGTGGGCCTCAAACCGGGGTTCCCATGGGCGGCTGTTCACCCGATAGGCAGGGCAGGAAGCCTGAGCGCGGCTCTTCTGTTGAGGCTGGCATTGGCGCTTTCGCTGGGGCTGCTGGGGCTGCTGAACGGACTGGTCGAGTTCCCTGAGGAGATGATAGAGTGGGTTCTGGGGAGCCTGGATATGGTAGAAGGTCTGGGGAAGGAAGAATGCCATTGTGTTGATGTGTTTTGGTTGTGAGTTGTAAAAGGTATATGGTATAATGGTTCAGGCTTTTGATTGGCTGAGCGGAGGCGATTTGTGTTTCTGGGCTTTGTTTTTGAATGAGTAGTGAAGATATTGAAATCTGATAATAAAAAAATTCACCAAAGATGTCGAAAGTGATTCATTTATACATCTATATTTTACAATTCACATTTAGGCAGCGCGTTCTTGCGCAAGCTGTTACTCACCATATCGAATTGCCATGATCTTGCTCGAAGCATCGAGAAGGTTCTTGGAACTTTTCCCAGCTGAGTAAAACGCCATTTGTCAGTACTCTGCACTAGCCACTGTGGCTGCTGGGGCTGCTTGCAAATCCACATTCTGAGCCTGGACCAATGGTACTGAGTCAGCATTGATGACAAATTTAATTCCCAGACTTTCCGTGTTAACGCCGTCCGGACTTTGGTAGTCAAATCGTGATGGCTCAGTAGTGGGGCGAATTATAGAACTTCCATCACTGCCTACCCGATACTAAAGCAATGCTTATGATGAGATGCAATAAATGGCCTATAGCTGCGCAGATAGGAAACGGTCACGTTGCATAAGTCTTGGATATGATATTCCTTTAATACTGCCTTTAATGGACCCACTGTGATCATACACGAGTTTGTTGTCTTGCTTCCCTTAGATTGCGGTGTTTTTGCTTTTGTTGTTGTCTGGCGGACGTGCTTAATGGCCAACTTCCCCAAGTGTTCAGCCCCTTACACTCACCAGCTGAATTGTTGTCTGTCAAATCAAAGGGTTTCGTGTTATTATTTCTACTTTTGGCTGTTAATATGCTCCAATCTTCTCCCATGGCCATGGTCTTCCTTTTCTACCAGGGATTTGATTATTGCCCGCAGCGTCCTACTCAAGCATTGGGGGAAAATGTGGCGTTTCCAAGCCAATGACTAGACCAGTAGCCACGCCTCAGCATTCCAATCAGTGCATGGCGAATTCGTCAGCCCTAATTTGAGTTCTCATAGGGGGCTGTCCCAGTCGAGGCCCCGACAGCTCGGGTAAATCCTCTGACTTCCCCATAATCCCACTTGGCCCCGTTCTTTATTTCCAAGCTCCCTGTCCGTTTTGGCCGGATCGTCCTCCCGCATCAGCACGCATCTTTTGGCGATCCGCCGCGTTTACGTTACGTGATTGAAACGTCATGACCGGCAACGAGTCGGTCCTTCGGGATTCTGATGATAGCAAAGTGTCCATGGTTATTGGCGTCGCCACCTTTCTCTTGGCCACATCCACGCTTATGGTCGTGTTGCGCGTCGCAAGCCGAGCCATGGTGAAGCAGTTTAGACTGGACGACATGGCCGCTATCGCGTCTTTGGTAGGTTGACGGAACTCGCCGAAGGAAATAAAAGTGCCAGTACTAACATTTTTCGCAAGTTGACCATGATAGCTTGTGGTACTGCAATAACATCAAGTTTGTCCCACTACAACCCTATCATCAGAAAACAACAATTAACCAGCATCAGTGACTCGATTTGGTCTTGGGAGGCATATTTCTACGGTTTCTAGTAAAAATCAGATTCTCTACCTAAGGGTAAGCGCAGGCCGTATTCCTCCAAGCAAAGTCCCATCTAACCTCCAACACAGTGTTTTTGGGTGTCCGTATTCTTCTACATGCTATCCCTATTCTTTATCAAAATGTCATTTCTAATCAACTACTACCGGCTCCTCTCCGCCTCCAAACTACGGCCTTACTGCATTGGAGCAATGGTACTGATTGTGCTCTGGGGCAGCGGCGTTTGCATCCTTGTCTTTGTTATGTGCATTCCTCTTGCAGGCGTCTGGGACCCAAACGTTGACGCGCAGTGCGTCCCACACATAACCATAATGTGGTGGTTCAATGGCGTTTTCAACTCGATCGGCGACCTGTTCATCCTCACGCTGCCAATTCCAGCTCTGTGGCGACTCCAGTTGCCACGTCGACAGAAAGCCTACTTGTTATTCGTCTTTAGTCTTGGATTCCTGTGAGTTAAGCAATAAGAAACAAAACCCATCAGTGGAAGTCACTAACAGAAAGCAAATAGGACTGTGGGCATTTCCATCGCGCGGATGCGATGGCTCAAGATGGACGCCGACATGACCTGGTGGAATGTCACCCCTGCGCTCTGGTCTCTCGGCGAGTTGACGTCTGCAATTTCTTGCTCCTGCCTGCCATTCTTCAAGCCCTTAGCTCTCCGCGTCAAATCCTTCATGAGTCGTGCCACTGTAGGCGGTACTCACCCACAAATGACTGGCGGCGAAGGAGACAAGGAGGCTAATGCTCATTCGAGTGTCGGTGCTGGGCAAAAGGAGTTTATCCAAAATAGCAACCTGATGGTCAGTCTGGATGGGAGCCAGAATGAACTGGTTGAACCAGTATCGAAATAGCAAACGGTTCTTTTTACTTTGTCTTTCCACTTGCATAATACATATGGTCTCTACCCTTCTCGACACAAAGTTTCACATTCCAATCATTTCCGATATACTCAGTGATCTCGGTATAGGCGAGCCTTCTCTGTTAGATCTCTTCTGCTGGATAGCCGCTGTTGCTTATCAAGTCGTGTACAAGATCGCCCATGACAGCGCCCCATTCCCCGACAACGACGATGTGAATGCCCTCATCAATGCCGATAGCTGGCATACACTCCAAAACCATTCTGGGCCAGCCGCCTCCCCAAGAAGAGCTTTCCTATTACTCGCGCGCCGCTTCATACCTCTGATCAGCGCCTAAAGAAATTAGTGCTTCAACGAAGAAGAGTATTTACCTCTGCTTGCACAGCATCGGAGGTACCGTTGATCTCCTGAATGTATTCGTTATCCCTCTTGAGGCTGATGGTTCTTTAGAGAGCAAGCAGAACTCATTCAGTGGGCCCATGTCAATTCTAAATTATTTGCATATCGCTTGTCACATTATTGCTGGATTCGCTGTAACCCAAGATCCCATATCAAACGAGGTTCTCAAGGCTATGCATTATAGGAACATTGCTGTGAAGGTTGTGGCCGGTCGTATTCTCAAGAAGTACGTGAAAGCTGATGGAACCAACAGAGGCTTTCCTGCTCTCGATAAACGCGGCATGGGGGCCTTGGTTAATGTTGTTGTTGGGTACTGGGGGTTGTTCGCCACTACGGGTCATCTCTATGAGCTGAGTCATGATTCTGCTAGTTCCAACCGGACAGCAGCTATTCTGATGGAGGTTGGCAGTATACTAGGTGAAGTAAGTGGTGTTGCATATTGCGAAGCTGTCAATGATCCGGATCGAACTACCAGAGAGGTTCCTATTCTAGTTCTAGCTGGAGTGGGATTAATTGAGACTGGGTTGGTGTTGTCATTACTGGCAACTGTTGATTAATAGTTTGGCCTTATTATATCCCCATGGGATATGACTACCTGTCACAATAGACATCAAGCCTGTACTACTTCTCGTGTCTGAATCCAACTTATGACTGTTCTCTGGTCTATACTGTTGCATCCTAAACCAAGCCCCGCGACTACTTCCCCCTCCAGCAAACTTCTATCGGAGAAGCACCAGCCCGGCAATACTAAGAGCTACAGCAACTGTATAAAACCCGGCTTGCGCCCCATTTCCAGCACTATTTCGGATGAAATCAAAGCCTTCAACGGCGTACTTGTCGCTCTCGACTGTTGATAGTTTACTCCCAGAATTGTCGAGCAGCCTGGCCTCAAAGGCGTGCACCGCGTCTGGTGAGATCGAGACGTCCTTGTCCTTGAGACTTTTGACGACTGTGTCAGGGTTCCACTTGTATAAGCCCGCCGAGAGCGGGAGATCGGTGTCAAGTTCCCAGCCAAGCCGGCCGCTATCATCTCTGGGAAGGGCATAGAACCAGAGATCGAGTGCGCGGGCCTTCGGTTCGCTCAATGATCCATTGTTGGCATCCCACGTGATTGTAATAGGTTGAGTGAGATCAAGTTTCTGAGCCGAGTCGGGGCCAGTAAACTCGAATGCATGAATGGCGTGGAAGAAGGCGCAGCCAAGAGGAGAGAGTAGGAGAGCTGAACGCATTGTGTACTATAAGATGGGCACCGACGAGGACCTAGGTAGTAGAGATAACGAGAACAGGATAGGCCGTAAGTAAACTTATTGCAGAACTGGTCAAGTCTAGCTACAGTCAACGCTTTAAGAAAAATACAGTAGAATGTCAAAAAGTGGAGGGCAATGAGGGTAGGAAAATGTGCATCTTGTGACCAAGCATTTATCCAACAGATGAAAACCTTGCAGGCATATGCCCCCGTAGAGAGTTTGTGTTGTTGGTAGGCCCTTGATCGCTAAAAAGTGCCAATTTAAGCCATGCCCCTTGCTGTATGGGGTGATGCAGAAGACACGCTTGGCATAGAGTCGAGAACGCGTCGGATGTCACGTTAGTCGGGCGGGTTGAATCCCGGTATACAAATGGCTGGCATACTGTCGTCAGAATAAAGTTAGCAGGCAGGCGACCCGAAGCATTGATATAGGCTAAACTTGGAATGAGGGCAAGTGACGGTGAGAAAAGAAAGGATGTTGGTTAAGAGAAGCTGGCTTGGCGTGAGGGGTATTGTGGGTATAGTGTTTTCTCTGCCAACTGACGGCAGGCTATTCTGCTGGGATTGGCTTTGCACAGCTGCCAACGCCGAGATATAACTTGTATACAGCATTGCAGATGGGACAGGGAAGCAGTGCGCCCAGGAAGTGATACTCGCATCTTGAATAGCACGACCCAGACTATATATTTAGTCTCCAGATTGCGGTGACATGCTTAGCAAGCATTATACCCTATTACCAATCTACCAAATAAACAAGTTTGGACTCGAGTTTCTCGTCTTGGACAGATCCTTCTCGAAGTCTAAATTACACTACCTCCTCTTCGCTCTCGTGCTAAGAGTGAAATAAGATTTAAAGAAAGGAGCACAGTCTAGTAAAAGTATAATCCAGGTTATAGTGACCTCCCTACCGCTTTGCAGGGGCGATAAATATATATATAAAAGATTATTATGTGAAATAAAGTTCATTATTATATAACTCAAAGCTGAGCCATACAGCCTTACTCAAGCCACAGGCATTTAATTAGTACCGTATAACTCAATAGATTCAGTACAGCCTGTGGGCCTAGGAAGCTATCCCTATTTACTAAAGGCTATTTTTTTTTCTTTCGCATTTCTGTTAAACCTGTTATATTATCTTACACTAATAAGCTAATTAGTTAATTTAAGAGCCTGGCATAGACCTACAGGCTCTACAGAATCTATTAAGTGTAAATGGTAGTAGTCGTGGGCTCCGGAATAGTAGTTGTGAACGCAGTGACGCCAAGCTCAGAGCAAGCCTCATAGTACGCTGCTGGATCATCGCAGTACGTAGCATAAGCTGGGGTGCCAGTCGGCAGGATAGTCGTTGCCGCATCGCCCTCGGCACGACGGGCAATTGCATTTGTAGGGATGATTATGACGCTGCCCCGCTTGTAAACTGTTTGAGTCCTAGAGAGTTGTCAGCTGGTTTTCTTCTAATTGATATGGACGTTACCTACACTTCGTACGAGCTGATTGTGACTATGTTGAAGTCGTGGCAGTCAGCCTCCCGATCTGCTAGCGGAGGCTCGCCATTCTGTGCGGTAAGGCTTTGCACACAGACATCTGCTGAAGTTGTTGTTGACTCGGAGCCTGAGGTAGTGGTGACTTTGGCTGTGGTGGTCGCATCCGAGCTGGCAATGGAAGGGACTACGTCTGTGGTCTCAGTGACGGCTGCAGAGGATGTTGCTTCGGTGACGGAAGTCTCATAATAGGACGTCTCGGTCGACCCGATCGTGGTCGACAGAAGCTCGGTGGAAGGACTATTGGGTTTGCAAGGTCCGGCAACGGCAGTGGCTGCTAGTGCAGCAAAAACGAGAGTGTTGCGGATCATTTCGAGTTTAACGACAGGTGTTGATAATTGAGATTAAAGGAGTGTATATGCCCCGGGTTCAAAACAAGAGAAAACGATGTAACGATGTCAAAAGTCTAGAGTTTACAATCGAGGAGAACGAAGAGATAAATACATGAAAGCAGGCTGCACTACTCAGCGGCTTTATCACGCATATTGTAGTCGAGCGTTTCCTTTTTAGACGTCCTCGGCTGCAATGGAAACCTCTAGTCAGGGGCGGCTGAAAGACTATTGAAATGGCTAGACCTGACTTCGTGTTTTGTACCAAACTAGTTGGACGCTATCGAGACGCTATCAGATTAGAGCCAACGAAAAAGTTAACCCCTGTATTTTTCTCTACAAGGAGCTGGATACGGGAAACATGAGGTACCCGGCTGTTAACAATCTGGAGCCCATATGTGGATTGATCAAGATAAGCACCATGTACTCATCAATGCCCACATTTCTCTTTTGCCAACGTGCTCCTCAGTCCAGGGACAGTACTCCGTACGGATAACAACCAACGCATTTAAAAAGTGGAACGTTGTTGGTTTGGAAATTCGCCAAGACAATAATTGACCGACCAGTCTGCGTGTATCGGAGAATCTCGTGAAATCCAGCACGGCCAAGGGAGTGCGGCCCCTTATTGCTCCTTCGTGCCATAAATAAAGGTCTGCCTCGAATATTTTTGAAACACTTTAACTATGTAGCTTAGTACTGGTTACGGGAGCTCCCGCTGCTAGCAAAGACCACCAGGAGACTTTGTGATTCAGCGCCGCTCGACGCCTCTCAGCAAGTTTTAGCCTCCTGAAGAGGTGGCTGTCGCGGGAATGGAGTAAAGATTGCATTAGCTCTGGACCTAACCTTGATAAAATCTACGAGATCTAATTACAAGCTACCTGGCCAATTGGCTCCTTATCTTATTTTATCTTATCTTGGGCAAATACAGTTAACATCAGCCCTATATCGTGGCAAGATTAGACATCTTACTCTAACACCTTCATCTTTTATTACTGATAAGATAAGCAGTGCAGAAAGGAAGAGGAAATTTCACAAGAGTAGCAGGACTAGCTGTATAATATATAAGCAACGACGTATCTGCTGCAATAAGAAGTGGCCTAAGGAGTAAGAAATTTCTTAATTTATCTGCTTATATGTCTTTAATAGGCCAAGACTAACCGTCTCTCTAGTCACAATTATACTTACGTAGTTCATATATATATATTGATAAGTCAGCTCAGCCTTCCCTGTATACGAGAACGACATTAAGATGGCCAGGTGAATAATTACCACGGTCAATTAATAAATAAACTTTATTAATAGTAGTAGCAGTAATTAAATCCCCAGTATTAAGTACCAATTCTCTTTGAATAAAGATATTAAGTTCGCTATATAACTTCCGTATTGAATTGCCACTAGAGTCTAAGAATCTGCTTAACTATTATACGTAGCAAACTGCGCCGAACCTCACTCGCTACCGCCAACGTGCTTCTGACTTTCTCAAGTCGCCTCTCTTCCAAACCCAACATCACTAAGTCCCGCAGGTCCATTCTTCCAGATACGGTATGTATACTTCATCTTGTAATGACGGGTTAAAGGCTTACCATGTGACCAAGAAGACGCATGATAAATGATGGTTGGCTGGAATATGCTAGATTAGATCTGAGATACTGATTCACTCATAAACAAATACGTAGCACATGAAGAGACCTCTATATAAAATATCATCTCGTAATTCTGTGCTCCACTCCCCTATCAGTTGATATCATCCAAACGTATTAAATCAATTGGATCATACAAGATCAATAGCACTGCCACACTGGTACTGATGCGATGTGCCTCAGCGTCCATCTCACTTGGCGGCGCTGACAGTATCGAAGGCTGGAACGTGCTGATCAGTCTGAGAGCTGTCATTTTGTTCACGTCAGACTTGAATGCAAAGACTGATAACGTGTCAAGCATATATACCAGCAATTGGCAAGCTTGACAACCACCTCACCAAGAAGGGAAGCCTCCTTTGGTGCCAATTCTCGGCCGGTAAATGGTACCAGCTCCTCAACGAAGCTTTGGTAACAGCGGTACGGGATAATTGGCTCCGGGAGGCTTTTGAGATATCGTAGGAGAATCCCAGCAGCGTCATGAACCGTGTACCGGTCCCATACCAAACTTTTACCGTAACTTGGAGGTGAGTCAAATTTCAATTGCAGTTCGCTCATTCGCACAGGGTTTCCTGTAGTCGCAAAGATGTCCTCAACGTCCGTGGCTAGAGAGTGATTATCGTTAACAGGTGCCGACAAAAGGAAAATTGAGATACCACACTGACCTTTTGCCTTCAAGAAAACTCCCGATTTAGCGACAACGAGGGGTATGTAGCCATATATTCGGGACACTCCATCTTCATCTACAAGACTGATGTCCACATTCGCATATATTATGCTTGTCAGAAGGGGAACTCCAAATACCGCAGGCAACGTTTCGGACTTTGGTTCCGCCAGCCGTTGTCCTCGGAATAAGCCCCTTAGTCTATCTCGACGAGATCTCTTTGCTGTCCCGGTATCAGGGGCAGCTCTTGCCGGTAGAGTGTCTCCTATAATAGGAGAAAAGTCGTAATGCTCCTTGTTCGTGATATCGCTAGCGAAAATTGGAATAGCCTGGATACCAATGTGAGAGATTTCCGAGAGACTCAGGCCAGATAACATGGACCAGGACGCAGTTCTGCCGGCCGAGCTGATTATTGAGAATCCATCGTAGTTGTCTTTTCCCGCAAGTCGATAAGCCCTTGAACCCATAAGCACTTCCTCGAATGCAAAGCCTAGTGCATTGCGCTGCCAGTTTGGTTGAATGTCCGCTGCAGGAGAGGTCAGGCCTGTCGTCTCGCGTCCTCCCTCGGCCTCTGCAATATTGGGATCGTCTGTTTTGATTTCAAATGCATTCCCAAGAACCGCTACTCCATGACTTGTATCGAAAGCAGCGAGGCGTCCTTTCAATGTCAAATTTTCGGACAGCATCTGATCCACCAATTCACAGAGCTTATCAACCCGACTTTCGGCCTCATCTTGATTATGACTAAAAGAAATAATTTTAATATTTATCTCAGAATCAGACGGCTAGCGGTTATAGCATACCATGTCAGCATTGTAAGCATGAGTGTCAACGAACTCTTATGCGATTCGAGGCGAACAAGGATAGCATGTATCTCTTTATCCTTACTTGCCCAACGCATTCGATCCAAAAAACTAGTTTCATTCTCAAGGGCCGTGGCAAATGTATCCAATTCTGAGAATGTGGTGACACAGGCCGCCAACGTCGCAACGACTTGCTCAACCATGATAAGAGATGTTCACGACCGAGAATCCTGCCGGGGCTGGGGGCCGATAATGAATAACTGAAGTGTAACAAGCACGTTTCTAATGTCGTCAACTTCAGCTTTAATTCGTCCGCATTCTTCTGGCGCGTGCCGAGCCTTTTGGATGATATTGGCGATGATCTTTGAGACCTGAGCAGCAGCTGTAAGGAGGCCGACAACGCTGGCTGCTATACTCAAAGGGTCTGCCATTGTACAAATCAGAGGCAATAGCAACTTGTCTCTGTAAGTCGCCAAACTATTAGTACTAAAATAGCTTTGAAGGTGTATTATGGGGTGGTGAGATAGTTCAGGCTGGAGGCGGGGTTGCGATATAGAGTAAGACTCAGTAAGGCTGCTGCTGAACAGCAGAAGCCTCCCTGTTTCCTAACTAGGCTAGTTTGCGCCAGCTTTATAGACTCGCATTATAATTGGCTAAAACAGCTGAGAAACAGTGTCCAGTCTGTGAACTAATAGAACAACAATTGGGGGGAGAATAATTATAGGATAATGACAAGTACTTGCTTGAGGTTACTATGGATGAACTACTTACTGCAGCTATTCTAATCAACTTAGAAAGCTATGCTTGGCTATTTTTCGAACCTGCCAACCATGACTACGATTCCAAGTTCTTCGGGGGTAAAACTGTTTGGGTAAGATTCTTCTAAATTACTAGAAATATCTAGATGCTAATGTCAAATTAGACAGGACGATGAGGCTACTGCAACTTTTGCAGTCACTTTGAAGTAATGAAGGAATGGCACGACTATAGCAATTCTGTAGTTTGTAGATTGAACCCTTACCGTAACGGATCTATATAGAGTAGCCCTCAAAATATGGACATAGCATACCTTCAATATAGAAACCCTCGGGCGCTACGGAAAACAACCTTGTACGACGAAGTATGGATCCACGGCGTGTACGGGACCTGGGACCACGCCTTGCTCTACGTACAAACCACTCATGACATTTTATACGCATGTGTAGATATCCAATATGTCCAGTGCCTTTACAAGATCTGGACTAAGAGCATCATCTTCAGCATAAAGCAGCTATCGAGCCGGATCAAGGAAATCGTCGATGAGTACGGTGGTCCGCTGAGCGACGACTGAGGCATGATTCTCAATATGCTAGTCAGTATCCTCACCTCCGGTACCGGTCTTAGTGCCGTTTCTACCCCCATCTCCGGCGCTATGATGTTTTTCTCAGGCGCCATCGCCCAGGTGTCTGCCAACAGTGACACCTTCAGAAAAATGGCTACGCTGATAATGTGAAGGATGATCTGGAGAATGCCTACGGTAAGGCCTTTCCTGCCGTGCTCAAAGCTACCAATGGATACGCCAAGAGCGTGCTCTCGGGAAACTTGCCTGATAATATGTAAGGAGGAGATCTCAATGCGGAGGCATGGGTGTTCAGCCGCTTCGTCCAGGGCGAGGGGCTTTCAGTGCCCCTAATAACCAATGCTCTAGAAGCTTACGTCGAGGCTACGCACAAGAAATGGGTATGCCGTCGAGCTGTTTCTCTATTGAGTGCTGAGCTCCTTTATGTTGTAGCTCGAGTTTGCCAAAATGAGAGCTATGACGAGCGGACACAATCACAGACGAAATGTCTTGACGGCGAACCATGCATGTATTCGTCACGCGTCGCTGACTTGACCTCCTTCCACAATAGCCCGACACTGAGTGTGAACTGGTAAGTTTGACACGCTTAGCCTTCTACCTCAAGGCAATTCTAAGATTTGTCGGTAATAGCGAAGGACGGAGGCCTCAGATCCCATAGGCAAAACACAGAAGATGTCAGAAGAAGTTTGTACCAAGAAGCTGCCTGGATGCGTCTGGCGTGAAAGGGTATGATTTCTCCCTCCGCTCATGACAAATGCCCGGGATAAAATAACACATCCTGCCCTCCTACAGAGATGTGTATGGTTTGGAATAAGCCGCCGCGCTGTCCAAAGCACGACGCATAAATACTACACATATGGAATATGCCGTGCCATCCCTACTTTATCCTTGTCAATGTCCTGCACAAATAGACCCTTCCCTGCTCTGCGGGTGCTCAGCTGCAAACCCTGGTTTTTGGCTCACAGGCCACAAGTATAAGCTAGTAATGGTCTAGCCCCATATTGTCTCAGCCCATCTTTTGACAACCCGCTCTGGGCCCGAACTGTGCAGCAAGATACCCAACAGTGATATAAAAAAAACAAGCCCTACAGGCTGAAACCTTGACTCCACTGGCATTGAGATGCTACCTACGTAGGCGGAAGAAAGGTCTACTGTGTTTCTCAATACACAAAAGATTTCCGCAGAGATCCCCAATTCCTGTCCACTAGTATTCCAGTCAGATTGAACGACTAGACGTTGTGAACGTTGTGAATGTTGTGACACTTTTGTGTATCAGCCCCGTTACTCTACTAAAGCCCGAGCATTAGCATTATAATTCTCGTTAGTCCACACTTGGACAAGTGCTCGTTGCTATGGGCATGTGATTGTTTTTCTCGCGGCACTTTTTTGTTTGCACATGACTAATGGAGCACATTCCAGACTTTTAATAATTGCGTTCGCTGGAAATCTAGATCTGCTGGTCGTCCCACCGTCTCCATACACCTTGTAATACCAAGGCCGCATCTCCGCGGGGTCAATTAACATTGGGCGTTATTGAATCCGAATCTGGTTTGTTAGTTGACTACGCTAGTGGTTTATACCCAGTTGTGGCTTTGTATGTAACTTGTCTGGAGAATTTGTACCGCAGCACTACCAAGTGCAAAATCATGCACACTTTCTGAGCCGTGTTACTTAAAGAGATCTTTGTCTTCTTGGTCGACGCTCTTACTGGTTTCTGAGACAATGCCCCCAAAAGTTTGACAAGACGAGCAAACATGACGGCCCTATCAAAATGGTGCTATACTCACTCTCGAATGATCAACACGATCATCAATTTCCTTCTTCTCCTTTTTATGCTCCTCAGCTACATATTGATTATTGTGTTGTACGCTTCTCCTGGGTCATATCACATTCGTTCTCTTCTCGACCCTAGCGCCTCTGGTATCAAACCTGCTACAGCTGTCACCCTTGTTACCGCTGTTCTAGCAGCCTCAACATCCAGTCTTGCTACGCGCTGTGTAGAGCAATCGCTGTGGCTCAAGCTAGCACCACGGTTCGTCAAGAAACCCCTAACTATTGCGGAGTCTCGACGTCTCGCTCAATGGAGTGTGTCGCCATTCGCGCACTTGACATACTTGTTTGACGGAGATTCATGGCGACTTAAGTTTGGAGGCATCTTATTAATTGCACTCGCCATTGTCGGCCCCGTTCTTCTTTCCGGGATATCTCTCGTCGAAAGCTTCAACACTACCGAGACGTTCAAGAATCGTGAGTCGGATCCTTGGACCGGATGGATAAATGCAGCGAGCCAGGCGTATAACGGTGGGAATTTCCAGGATATCCAGGGAACAACGGCTGCCTTAGCGACTCTCAGCAATCTGAGTGCCCCCGCCTCGCCGGCTTGTTCTAACTCGAGGTGCCAAGTTGATACTGTCGTCGCCAGTATCCAAGCAACTTGCGAGTCGAGCTATGGTGAATACGCGAATCCACCACTAGATTACGACCGATTCAGCGTTTGCAGTGATTTGAATGCCGATATCTGTACAGTCATTGGTGGGAGCAGTCCGTACACATATGCCAACTTCAGCTCTGGCTTTCCGGCCGATTGCGACGAGACATGCCCAGCAGGCGATTTTGCAGTGATATTTGGAACATTCACAAATGGAACAGATACGTTAAAAGGGCCTTGGTATTTCAACGTTGTCGACTGTTCGCTGAGCTACGGGACGGTCCGAGTTCAACAGATTGGCAAAGGTAGTCCAGTGCTTCATCGTAGCGAGTTCGAAAAAAGCGACAGTGTGCTGGATAGCAGTGCTGTACCTCTCCGGCGCATCTACACAGATAGCCACGAGAGGTCCCCCTACACCTTTGGCGCCAGTAGTGGGACTGGTGATGGAGCAGACTCGCTGTACAACTCGGCTGTAGCAACCTTGCTGCTCCGAGAGAAAGCGCATTCTTCTGCTGAACAGGTAGCGAGACGTATCGAAGACATCTTTGATATGGCAACGCTTTTGGCTTTCAGCCGGGCGCCCAACGCCTCCGACCTGTCGATTACAAGACGCGAACCCTTCACGCGATATGTGTACGACGAGCGCGTTTTGGCAATTCTACTGGTTCCGTTTCTTGCTACCATCTTAGGTACTTGGGGAAGGTGGAAAGTCGAAGGCACAGAGCAAGTTCTTGGATACGATCCTGTGGCCATTGCTGAGCGTGGCCCTATTCAAGGGCTGCCAGAAGATGTCTCCAGATCCAGAGAAGACATAGATGAGAAGACAGTGGTCGGGTACCAGGAGACAACCACCACGTCTACGGGAACGCGGGTAAATGTTACACGGTTTGCTATTGGATCGAGAGCGACATAACAGCCTCTTCACAGATTGATTGTTCATTTTTTTCAAATCTTTCAGTAATTTGGATAGGTCCCTTGCCTTTCAGAGGCGCGCTGGAATCAAATGTTTAGCCACTTGAATCTGTTTCGTTGATAGGCAAGCCATTTTAGGTCTAGACTATTAAGAATCCAAGCCAAGTCCACTTTACAACATCTGTATTGGAGCCATCTCCAGAAAAATATTGAGCTAAAGAAATTTGGGCAAACAGAACACCATTTGGTAGTACCAGCCAACGTTGACCACGTACTGTGTGCTGTGCCCACTACCATTGTGACGTCACAGAGAGCACATTTGACATTTTGAACCTGAATTCAATGTCTCACAAGACACGCAAGTCGGGGACTGGGACTCCTGGCCCGTCAAGTTAAGACCACCACCACCAAGCCACCACCGCCTCCGACACAGACGAATAAGCCATCCCCGTCCCTAGGCGGAGGAGCCATAGCCGGTATTTCCGCGGACTAAAGCTTCTCTTTTCTCATGCCAACTGGCTTGAAGTTTCTTTTTCTTCCTCAGCATGAGAAATTACTACTGCAGAGGCCACGGTATGCCAGCACCCGCGCGTTAGTTATATAGCAACAGCATAGGTTACAATCTAGCTGACAATTGCGACCTATGTCTAAGATTTAGACGGTAAAGAGGCCGAATAAATGCCATCAGCTATATACTTGTAATAGGTCCTAGAGACTTATTATCTATCAATTCACCTTCCATCGCTCAGTCAGCATAGCACTCCCCAACCAGCTTGAACCATCTTACAGAGCCCCCAATGATTGGTATGTCAACCGGACGCAATATGTATGGGGTCTGCATGCCAGGGATGATATCGTACAGCACACATTTCATCTCAAAGACCGTTACGTAGGCTAACGGCGTCAAGCTCTAGAGCTTTCTTAAACTCAACCCGCGATGGCTCTGCTTCTGACTGCACCAGGGAGCTGCATGACTTGGGCTCTCAAGATGAAAGAGGCTATCCCCAAAGAGTGCGAGACTACCCCTCCTTGGGACCACTACTATTTCCTGGGGATCTTGGTTATCTCTCGAGGGCGATTGAAGCAGAGTTGACATTGTTGCGACAAAGGTCACCACTGGCACACTCTACTTCTTCGCCTATACGCCGTAGTGCAATAAGGCTTGGTCAATCCATTTCTTAACGACACCAGGGATTGCCTCTGAAGTGGTCCACCTTTGTGTCCGTATCAGGCATTACACCTAGATCGGGTAGTCCCAATGATGAGGATCATGCGTTTAAATAATAAATCTCAATCTACTTATATCAACTGAATCTTTCTTAACGGTATATCACGACTCTTGAGCATAGAAAGTACCCTAGGGTCATGATTAATAACCTCTCCTGTTACGTTATTTCGAAAGTTTCTTAAGAAGTCCGGATCATCTGGGCCACTCCTTCGATGGATAACCTCCCAGTCAGGAGGCAATATAGGAAGACGTGGGTCCTCAATCGTTTCCAAACCTGACAATGTGTTTATAAACCAAGTTGCCTCTCTACCATTGTAGCTGTGACGCATCTGTATCGTCCATCCCTGCGGGAGTGGCCCTAAGATTGCTTCCGAATCCATCAGCCCTGGCACAAAACACTGGCCAACTACGAGAAATGTTCCCTCTCCAGTAGGTCTGAGTAGAAGTGGAACATCACTTCCGAGTAAGATGAATACGCGATCATCTGGTCTAAAGTTAGCTAGATGGGACGCTTATACTAAGCCACTAACCCTGCTGTGGCTCTGACATCACGACACCAAGATATCCTTCATGTGTCAAAGTGAGCCATGTTCTTTCGGTATCAAGTTCTTCCTTGAATAGATGGAAGATCCTGTCAAAGGAATCCTCTCCAGCCACAGCCGCTTGACAGCGAATTCGCAGATCCGCCACAGTGGGATAGTAGGTATTGCGCACATAGCGATCGTGCACTCGCCCCTTGGTAACGGCTTCCCAGAAAGCATCGAACAAGGAGCCTCCACCAGGATAGGACTTCAGACGTAAGTCTCCGGGCGTCCAACTCGACAGCGCCCCAAACATCTCGGTTGCGGAGGAGACGTATCTCACAGCGCTCAGGCTTGCACACTCGATTCCAACCACCTCGAGGATGTTCGCATCGATGTATCGCGCCTGCGAAGCGGTATGACCAGAAGGCTGTCTTGAGTGACCCTTACGGAAGCCGAACAGACTATTCTGGGTGACGGTCCAGTCGGGAACCCATGAAGGCCAATTCCTGTTGGCGTTGTTGTCTAGCTCACAGCATCGGAGGATAGATAGACGCTGAGTTATTTGGATGTGAGCGAGGGCCATCTTCCGATATGTATGGCACAAAGGCTCATCATAGTTTGGGCCTATGAGCTTGGGAATCGAGGGACACATCAGGCCCAATAAACCGTAGACCCTATCTCTTGGGTCTGTACACTGTCGTGATCTCGCCCATAGTAGGATTCGTGGGACGTTTCGCGCCACTTCCGCAAGAATGCCACTTCGGTACCTATTGAGAAACTCGAAAAGCTCGGGTTCAAGGGCGGGTTTCTCCACCAAGACTAACATGGCCTTCCGGACACTCGTCCATGGAGCCGTATCATAGCCGCACTGAACAATGGCGTTTGACGCAAGCATAACTTCCTGTAAGACCCACACTCGGCGGAAATATGGACGTTGGAACAGGGCAGTTATCGATGCCCAGGTCTCTTTATTCCAAGGCAACGGCACCCTCGGATCCCACCATGTCTTCTCTTGAGCTCCCGGGGCGTCCCCGTACGTCTCATCGATGGAAAATTCAACTTGAGCGGCAAAGTAGACCAGTGTATGCAAAGCATGGCCGCTTCCGTCTGCCTCTGGGCCGAGCCATACAATTACGCTTTCGGCGAGTGAGTATATACTTCTCATCTGGGGTACCTGGGAATTTCGCTCCTGTATGTCGTCTTGATTGATGCAGATTGCATCTATCCATATAGTTCGGGCCTTGTCGGGGTACCGGAGGTGCTCCAACGCGTCTGCCAGGTTAGCCCCAATCATTAACGTACATGATCTGTCAGACTCTGTCTGTATCTGGACCTCGATCTTTTCATTCGTCGAACCCCACACGTATGATAATGCATCATACTCTTGCTGAGTGCTTACGACCTCCTCATTCTTAGGTAGACAGTAAAGCGAAGGGTCTACTCCGGGGTCGGGATGATCCCAAGAGTTCTTTAGTTCTTTGAGGTGTAGGAATAGGTAGCGGCCCTCCAATGTTTCTTTGACTATCCATTCTTTCGTGACTGTCTTCTCCAATTCCTCCACTTCCATGCGAGGATCTGTTTTGGGCTTTGCAATGGGTCCATGGATAACTGAGGTATGGAAAATCTTGAATGTTATTTTTTGGCCTGGTAGGCCAGGCATTAGCTTAATGAGGCGAATCTCATCTGCTTTCGTGTCAAGGCTGCTGTATTGGTATCTAGCCATAATAGCAGATGCCGAGGTGTATGCTTAAGGTGGGGTCAAAGCAAGCTTACTTCGTTCCCCGAAAGCACTTATATATAGTGAGCTTTGTCGATGCTAAAGTGTCTATTAAAGCTGAACTGAACTGATTTCAGATGTAGACTTTCAGGGAGTAGTAGTAGAATAATAATAATAACCCTGGAATTTGAGCTATCCTATAAGGGAGGGTAACTAAGCTTCTTGTTCTTAATTTGTGCTCTGTAGCCGGGCGTCGAGTGACGACTGTGGCGCGTAGAAATGTAATCCAGGCTGATTCATGTTGGTCTCGTGGGTTGTTATTACTGGCCTAACTGAGACCATGATGTGAGACAGCCTGATAGGGTATCACAAAATGCAAGATGACGTGTCCCAGCAACTCTTGGGTGCTTTAAAGGCTACTTTAACTTATGCCAAGCTACTTCCAAGGCGCTCTAAGTGTATGTGGGCTGTTTCAAGATTATCTGACTGCTTATATCATTCCCAAATTTCATTACATGCGGCTTGGCATTATCAGGGCGACAAAGACCTTGCTGGAGAGATTAAGCTCGATGCAGATACAGAGTTCCCGACATTGATCGATCTCTCCTTATAGCTAATGCTTATATAAGAAACCGCAGTATGGATTAAAAGGGCTGTGCGAGGGTAAAGCCTAAAAGAAGCATACAAAGGAACTATCAATAGTAGTAATTGAAATAGCTTACGCAGCAGGGTTGAACCTCTCACATCTTCCAACTTCCGAACTGCTGCAGTATGAGTATATACGAGATCTATAAGTTGAACTTATTAACTAACTAAGTTTTGGTTTAAGCTGTTGACTTTTGGGATCTCTAGAAAGCGGTGTCTATATTGCCATAGTAGACAACGAGTCCATGATTAAAGACAGCATTCTATTAGTCACCTGCTACTCCCCTACCATAGACCTTAGCGTCGAGATCGCGAACTAGCTCTCCAAAACCACGTCTGAAACCATACATCTAGGTGTCATATCTTTGCCTCTGCAGTTGAATATTTATTAGTCAGGGATGTTAGAAATCCTATGATTCGAGCCAGATGCCAGAAAAGGTGAACTGTTAAGAGATAAGGTGGGGATTGAGCCTCGGGTTTTTGGACTCAAGTATGTTCCCTAAAGTATTACCTAGTAAATGCTGTATCTATATGCTAACTGCAAATCAATTCCTAAGATATTCTTTCACTCGTGGGTTATGGCGAGGAATATTTCCTGTGTCATAAGGAGGTGCAATTGTGCGCAAAGTCGGGGCTAGGCTGAGTGTACGACGTCGCTCTATGGTCTTTCCGAACCTGATCCCGTATTAAAGCAAGTCATTGTCACATATACTACAAGTCCTTACGTTTACCGGGGCAGCACGTAATTCTGTTTCTTATTATTATTCAAGTCCATTTTTATCCCAACAGGGTTTTAAAAACACATAAAGCAAGCTCGTTTATGGCAAGTGAGTTGGTCAGTCATACTGGACAGCTGCGTGTTTTATCTGGGGATTTCCCTAGAACAGGCAGGCATCTTCGAAAATCTACTGGGGTGAGTTCTCGGAGAAATCAGCCCATTCAATAATTCCCGACGGCTATTTTCTCGTATTTCATGACGAGATGGTAGCGCAAAATACAACCATCGGGCAAGATACAACAAGGATTATTGTAGATCACATCCAAACTCACTCATCATGCACGCTGGCAAGCAACGGCACGGATAAATTGACCAAATATGCTTTATTTCTGATCCAAAAATGCCGCCGGCTAATTTCAAGTTTGTTCGTATCCCAGCTGCATTGGCGGTGCGAAGGTAAAACTATTGGGCGACTTAGAACAAGGATTGTTGGAGATCATATCCTCTAGTCTCAAATTGAACTAGATTACTGCATATGAATACGTCTTGCAATGAGGGTTGAAGTTTGCCCCCAATTTGTTTGGGGGCAAGGGTATCATTGACTCTTATTTAACTGCCTCTTTTCTCTTCAATGCCAAGCCAGACATAACCAGACAACTTCTTCTTGCATAAATAACAATCTGCAATGTACTTCTTCTTTTTATATCTCTTTATTGCCCTTGCCACCTCAGTAGAGGCCCAGAAGGGTAACTACTCAGGCTCGCGGCACCTTTGGTATAATAGTCCTGGGAGCGATTTCAGATCATCTCTACCCATTGGCAACGGCAGACTGGGTGCACTAGTTCAAGGTTCCATCTCGGAGAAAATTATCATCAACGAAAACTCGGTATGGAGCGGTCCCTTTCAAGACCGTATCAATCCCAGCTCCTTAGAAGGATTTCCCAAGGCTCGCAAATTGTTGACTGAAAACAACTACACGGGAGCTGCGGGGTTCGCAGCAAGTGACATGTACGGAAAACCCCCACAGAACAGGTGGTACAGCGTGACAGGAAACCTGCTGTTGGATTTTGGGCATCAGGAGGAGCAAATCTCGAACTACGAGAGATGGCTTGACACTCTGGAGGGCAACGCTGGTGTCAGCTACGATGTCAATGGAGTCACATACACGTAAGTTCAATCGAGCTAAAGCTTCAGTTTTCGAGCAGATCATCAGGATTAACAATATCATAGTCGTGAAATTGTAGCCAACTTTCCTCTTGGCGTCATTGCAGCGCGTTTCACGGCAAGCAAAAATGGTTCGCTCAACATCGGCGTGAGCCTTGACCGCGACAGAGGCGTCATTAGTAACCTCGCAGTTGAAGGGGCAAATAACATCACGATGGATATTGGAGGCTCAGGAGCGGACGCGATTCCTTTCACTGCAGGCCTTCGTGTCTTTTCAAATGATGGTACGTGCGGTAGAACTTTAATGAAACGTCAAATAACGAATATCGTTACTTCAAACATTAGCTGACCATGATTCGCATATCAGGGACCATAAAGGCAGACGGATCTTCCTTGAATATCACGAAAGCCTCCACAGTTGATCTTTTCTTGGATGTAGAAACAAGCTTCCAGTGGAGTTCCGAGTCTGACTGGAAGGCTGGTCTTGTGAACAAGCTAGACAAGGCAGTCAAGCGTGGGTTCGAGTCTCTCAAAGCGGAAGCCATCTCAGACCATCAGAGCTTGATGGAACGCGTGGCCCTCGATCTCGGATCAAACAACAGCACCTCGAGTCAGCCAACTGATAAACGAGTCAGTGCATACGCGAGTAACCCAAACGATGACCCTGAGTTTGTTACGCTGAGTTTCCAGTTTGGCCGTCACCTGCTTGTCTCTGCCTCTAGAGACACTGGCGGTCCTGGCTTAGGAGTCCCAGCAAACTTGCAGGGTATTTGGAACGACATGTATAATCCTCCCTGGTAAGCTTGTCCTACATCGCATCCAGCTCCGTCACGGATGTGTGAAATAGCCATCTGGTATTAGCTAACCAATGAAACAGGGGAAGTAAATTTACCGTCAACATCAACACAGAGATGAATTACTGGCTAGCTGAGACAACCGACCTCCCGGAAACCCTCAGGCCACTGTGGGACCTCATGTATCGCAGCCTTGATAGAGGATCAGAAGTTGCCGCCAAGATGTATGGCTGCCCAGGCTATGTGTCGCACCATAATCTTGACCTCTGGGGTGATTCGGCCCCTCACGACAGTGGTACGGCTTATACCATCTGGCCATCGAGTAACCTCTGGCTCTCTCAGCATATGATGGAGCACTATCGATTTACTGGTGACAAGACGTTTTTGAGAGAAAAGGCTTGGCCATTATTCAAAGACATCGCGGCATTTTTTGACTGCTATCTCTTTGAGTTTAATGGTAAATGGACCTCTGGGCCTTCCACTTCGCCCGAGAATGTTTTCATTATTCCTAAGGATGGGGCAAAGGCTGGTAGCAAAGAGTCTCTCGATATTTCCATCACTATGGATAACTCTCTGCTGCGCGAATTCTTCTCCAACGTCATCGAGGCTGCAGGCATCCTTGGCGTTGATCTTAGCACAGATAAGGTCCTTTCAAAGGTAGAGGCCTACCGGGATGGTTTACGACCTACCGAAATCGGCGCTCGAGGTCAGATTCAAGAGTGGCGCCATGACTATACAGAAGGTGAACCGGGACACCGCCACTACTCACACCTCGTCGATCTCTTCCCTGCCAGAGCAATGTCCCCTCTTCTCAACAAGACTCTTGCGAATGCAGCCCAGAAGAGTATTGAACTTCGACTCGCTGCGGGTGGTGCGTCCACTGGCTGGTCACGCGTGTGGACAGCAGCACTTTATGCTCGATTGCTCAACGGCGACAAGGCTTATGGCAACATTCAGACTCTACTTGGTCGCCATCCCGCCACCAACCTATTTCACAATATCGAACCTGGCCAGGCATTCCAGATTGACAGTAACTATGGTCTAGTAGCTGCTCTGGCGGAGACTCTAGTCCAAAGCCAAGCCGGCGTTGTGCATATCTTGCCTGCACTGGGCTCCCAGGTGAAGACTGGTTCTGTTTCTGGACTTGTGGCCCGTGGGGGCTTCCAAGTATCCATCGTTTGGGAGAATGGGCTCCTCGTGGAAGCAAAAGTCAAATCCAGACTAGGCAATTCTCTGAAAGTAAGGGTTGCGGGTGGTTCAAGCTTTGAGATCGATGGAAAGGGAGTAAATGAGGTTGAGACCACGTCAGGACAAACATATACTATTACTCTCGCCTGATCTTCAGCAATACACAAGGTAGTCCTATCTACAGCTTAACCCAAGTTCTCACGATCATGCTTGCGTATTGTCGAACTCTTAACTGCCAGAGCCAAGGTAGGAACAACTCCGCCAGTTTGATTTGATTCAAGCCAGGATTGCTTTGAAAGTGTTGAGCCTTGCAGGGAAGAATGGCAGAGAAGATTTGTGACCGGAGGTAAATCGTTTAAATGCGCACTAAATGCTTAGCTTCCGTGACTTGATTGGTTGGTAAAGTCCGCTGCCTCTCAAACCCGCTCGTCAATCAGTCCAAATCAGGAAAGTGATCATCAGCTCTTAATCATGCCCATATTTATTATCTCCACGCTTTGCTCTTCGGTATTTATATTCCGCTTCGGCGCTCTTTATTAATTCTCTTTTCTCTTTGTCCTCGGTAATCTGTCTTTTTCCACTATCTCATCCCGTCGCCAATTCGACATTATGTCCAGTGAAACAAGCTTGGTCTTTGTTCCGGGCGCATGGCATAAGCCATCATGTTACGGCAAAGTAATGGAACAGTTACGAAACCAACATCATTTGAGATGCATTCCCGTCACGCTTCCAACAACAATGGATGACCCAATGGCAACATTCAAAGACGACGTTGGCGCCGTCCGTTCTGCTATCAGGCAGGAAACAGAAAACGGCCGTGACGTGATTGTCATTGCGCATTCCTATGGAGGAACGGTTGGGAACAGTGCCGTTAAAGGTTTCTCGAAGCCAACCTTTGTACGCGAGGAGTCATCCGTATCAAACCAGAGTTCAATATCAACAGCTACGTCCAGCAAACGAATTCCAGAGACAGGACACGTTGTAGGTCTTGTTCTCATTGCTACCGGATTTTGCTTCACAGGACTCACCTTTATGGGCCACTTTCTCAACATCACTCCGCCATTCTTCCGCGTCAACAAAGAGACTGGTTTCGCAGATCTCGCGGTTTGTCCTCAGAAGTTCTTCTACCACGATCTACCGCCTGCCGAGGCAGACCACGCGACTTCTATGCTCACCACGCAAAGCCTTAGAGCATTGTTTGAAGGTAGTGAGTATTCGTACTCCGGATGGCTGGATGTACCTGTATGGTTCATCGGAACTGTCGAAGATCAGGGGCTGCCAATCGTCGTGCAAAGAGCTCAGATTGGGATGGCGAGGATGTTGGGTGGTCGCGTGGTTTATACCGAACTGAAGACAAGCCATTCGCCATTCTTAAGCCAGCCAACGCAGGTTGTGCAGATCATGCTTCAGGCTTTTGAGTCATTCACGGGCACAAGAGCCGACGAAACGCCAAAGGCACTCGAAGTGGCGAACAAGCCATTCATTCCTCTAGTGAGCCCTTGGCAACCTACAACATGGTTTCGGTACGGACTGCCGCTAGTCGTTGGTAGTTTTGTAGGTTGCACTATACTATTGTATAGAAAGTTCAAGAGCTTGTGGAGTTTCCAGTCCGGGGAGACAAAGGCGGACTAGAAACTCAGGCACAGTGTAAATCTGTGTGAAGAAAGAATCTCCAATCAGTGTTTAAATACTATAGTTCGTTAGTTCAAAGGATGCATCTTCAACTTCGTGTTCTGCTAACCTTTTTAGACAATGCACAATGCATAGAGTTCAATCGAGGATTTACTGTTATTTTAGTAGCTACCTTAAATCTTGCTTTGGGAAGGCATAAAATATCGTTGCATCAAATACAGCTGTATCTGCATATCCATAGTGGCTGCGCGACTTGATTTGTGCATAGTATTACAGCCTATTTCTAATACCTCCTTTTTATAGGCATTTCCCTTTAGGGCGCCAACAACCGTGCTTATATCATGATATGATCTGATAAAAATGGCTGTTACTCAGCCCACCATGATGCAACGTCAGCACAACTGGTCATTGGCGAGGCCAGGGTTCCCCTCTCCCTCTCAAGTCCACTCAATTCAAACTGTCAAAATATCTCTCGCGATCACTTTGATCCAGTGTCACAAAAAAAGTAGTTCTCCATGTCGTCGCCAAAGACCAAATCACCGACTGGGCCGTCATCCCCGGCCTCTGGGCCCAAGTCGACACCATCTCCGCAAACTGAACTTATACCCGCTGCTGAAAACGATGACGTGAGGTTTTTTGAGATGTTCTCTACCACTTGCTATGCTAACGTGCTAGAAAGGATGTTCGAGACGACGCCGACTCAACACTTGAAACAGACGCGTGAGCTTTACTCTTACGGTGATATACAATCGATGTTAACAACACTTTTAGTGATAGCTCAACTGCCTCTGTTTCTTCAAGCATCCTTCATTACAGAAGCATTCAGGGCCGTACTTTTCATAGCGACAAGTTCGTGACTGAATATTCTTTTCCAAATGATGAACAACAATTAGAGTCTGTTGACATCAGGTGAGATCTATCGTCCCCAACCCTTCAAGCCACCTGCTCATTAAAGTCCAAGCCATCATTACTTGACGGTTCTGCTCGACGGTCAGTTGTATCTAGCTCCTATTGGAGACAACATCCAGGTATGTGAAGAAGTCGTATCGTGGTCAACAAGTGTCGGCATTGATATGTGATTAGAAAGCGCTTGATGTTGGGACAGGAAGCGGTAAGTCTCCGTACATTTGACTCACACTCAAAGCTAACAAGCCTACGAGGAATCTGGGCGATGTATGAGAACTGTAGGTTCTATTAAGCGACGTGATGCTGACACGCTTGCAGAGACTTTGCAGATCAGTTCCCGCAAGCAGAAGTGACAGCAACTGATCTCTCACCAACACAGCCCAAATGGGTCCCCCCAAATGTGCGTTTCGAGATCGACGATGCCACCGAAACGTGGACTTGGAAAGACAACACCTTTGATTTCGTCCACATGCGTTATCTCTTCGGAGCCATCCAAGATTGGACTGCTTTATACCAACAGGCCTACCGTGTTTGTACGCCGGGAGGCTGGGTTGAGTCTGTTGAAGCCGACATTCATTTTCGCAGCGACGATGGCACAGCTGAAGAGGAAGAGGTCTATAAGTTGTGCAACAGGCTGTATGAGGAGGGTGGTAAAGCGATTGGTCGAACGTTCTTTGTGCATGACTTGCAACCGAAGGGAATGGAAGAGGCAGGGTTTGTGGACATCAAGACGGTGGACTACAAGGTGAGTTTGCAGTTGATCAGTGAGCTCTTGCAAGGCTGATTCCGTCCGCGATATGCAGATCCCGATTGGGGATTGGCCCAAGGACCCAAGGCTGGCCGAGGTCGGCCGATTTGTCAAGCTGACATTGGAGAATGACATTGAAGGTATGCTGAGCCTATTATTTGTTTCTGTTCTATGCTCACAGCTTTTAAAGGATATACTCTGCTGTTGTGGAACAATGTGTTGCAGTGGCCAAAGGATGAGTACCAGGTGTTCCTCATGGGTATACGAAAGGCTCTTCGCAACCGCAAGATTCATGGTTATTTTGTGGTGCGCTATGTGTACGGCCGCAAACCAGAATAATACTACGGTGTCATGGGATTACCAAGCAGGCGTTTATTGTCCTTCGAATAGATAGCCAGGCTCCAAGAATTCCCAAGACCACCAAGAGAGAAAATTGTTCAAGGCCAAGCACTCTGTTTAAGTATTACATCCATGAAGCTATTGTTTGCGATCCAAATCACGCTATCTTCTTGGGCAGTGCGACGTAGTCGGGTCCTTATAAAATGATCTGGACTGTATGCCAATCAACCATTGTTTCACATAGGTCTGGCATTTGAAACCACATTTGCACGGCACTCAGGTGACCTCGACAGAGCTGTTATGAGACATAAAGAGTCTCGAGAGCATCTCGTAAAACGTCATTTGTACGACACCTTTAAATGTTGTCGTAACGAACTCATAGAATTAATCAAGCGACGTTGCCAAGCTAATTCATTAGTGCTAGTGTGCATTCCGCTGGTGAGATGAGTTGTAAAAGCTTGACTCTGAGGCTTTCAGAACGTCATGGAATCACAGGGGAGAGCACGGTATTAAATTGCATTTTCAAGATTGCAATTGCGGCTATTAGGTCCAATTTACTCTGGTTTTGTTGCCTGGGGACGTGCCCGTGAGAATCTCGTCATGTGAAGTGAATTGCATTAAGCTTGATGACATTTACGTTTTAACGAGATATTTACGAAGCACGGACAACCACATCATCTTCTCACTTCAACCTTCCAATTAGAGCCAATAACGCAGTTCTTTCGGTTTGCATTCAGTTACACCTCTATACATTTTATAGTCTCTCATTTACTATTGAGTATCTCGTTAATAGCTGTCCTCAATTGTTGGACTCTAGGTTAGGATAGGATGCAACCTCGGCCAAGTCTGCCCCACCTCTTTTGCTGGAGAACACTATCCTGAAGGAGTCAAGCCCATAGTGAAATCATGCAGTAATATCGGCTAAGCCCGAATTAGGCACCCGGTCATTTGAAACAATGAAGGGGGTAACGTCAAGCGAGCAATGCAACGCATTCCTCGCCCCTTTTGCCAAAACATGGACCTGTAAACAAACACAGCAGCAAACTTATGACTGCTTTTTACAGCAGCCAGAATAGTGATGCAATCGGTACCTTTGATGCAACCCTTTTGATCTTGAAGAGTCGTAAGACAATGGCAGGCAACAAGAGCAGCAGCAGCAGCAACGATAAACCTCTGTGGCGACCGTTGGCACATAAGCTGTCCAGCCTGATCCCGCTGCGACGCCTCAATAAAGCCAAATCCAAGCCCGATGTCAGGTCCGACCATGCTTCGCAATCCAACGCGTCGGACTTTCGACTTGATGTTCAGTTAAATGGCCTCGAGAGCCTTCGCCTGCCGAGTAGTTGGCTCCTCCAGCCCAAGGACGCCGACAAGCAGCAATCACCGCCTGTCGACGCGTCGCATCAGTCAGCGAGACTTAGTCATCCGTTTTCGCGGAAGCCAGTTAATCGCAATGAAGGCCCTCGGCCCTTGACATTTATCGACAGCAGCGATGCAGACCAGCACCAAGCTCGAGCATCGGCGCTGGAAGCCCTCAACAATCCAGATGTGTCGGCAACGCCCAGTATCCTAGACCGTGGTCGACCAGTCGAGGCCAGACATTTGATTCACCAGCCGGTCAAGAACCTCAAGAATCATCGCAAGTCATTACCTCTAGACCTGGAGACTATGTTCCAGGCCCCTAACGAAGATCACGATTCAAATGCACTGCGCACCGCTACTATTCGCTTGGTGCCAAATGAAAGTCTCATTGCCACTCCATCTACTCCATCTGTGAAAGAATCGCCAAGATGGACTGCAGAGCGTGAGGCACGATTAGCAATGCCCCCACCACCAAGGCCACTCAGCACCAGCCCAATTGACTCGCCATCTACTGCTACGCCTTCTAAAGGAATTCAAATTCCACGAAACCCTCAATTGGCCTTGAAGAGACCCACCAGCCTTGGACCTCCTGCACAAAAGGCTGCCGAGTCACCCTCATCAGAAACTCCCCTCGCCAGGGTCAATTCAAAGCGACCAGGCGCACTGAGTGACCGCCTAGCCTGGATGCGAAAGCTTGAAGAGAAAGAAAACACTAAACCAAACAACGACCTGACCGCGCTTCAGAAACGAGCTGGCTCCGTTTCAGACAAGCTCGCCATGTTTGAGAAGAAGAACCTCTCCGTCACATCCGCCTCCTCCAAGCGCCTCCAACTACCAGCGAGGAACACAAGCAGCCAGTATTCAGCGTCGGTGCGCGAGTCCATCTTTTCAGCGGATGGCAGTGCCTATGCCCCTTCGCCTCGCACGTCGATGGACACTGCGCGGACTTCCTCCGTTATGAGCTATTATGACGATTCGTTCCGAGAGAAACTCGAGTCAATTGTTGGTCAAGAGCCTGAAGCGAACAAGCAAGCAGAGGAGTGAACTGGTTCCTCACTCAGTGCTCTTGTCTTGCTTTGATGAGATGATTACAGATCGAGAATGAAGATGATTTAGAATGTATTTATTGATATTACTAGAGCAGGTTTCTTTCATACGATGGCGTTGATGACTTATCTTAGATATGATTGGGGAATCATTTTAGATTCTCTTTAATATACTGCACGCAATGTGTCACTTACATTGAGTTGTCTTCTCTCCTATGTTTAGTTATACAAGCTGTATTCATGCTGAAGGGACAATAAGTGCTGCCTCAAACCAATTGATGAAGAACATCCTTTCCGTCTAACCATCTCTCGACGTTTTCTGCCTGTTCAGCATACCAGCTATTCATGATGCCCTCCTCCACGTACCCCATATGCGGCGTAACCAGAACCCGACTCTTCTTGCCCTTTCCCCAGTCTTGAGAACGCCATGGGCTATCCGCAAGTAGAGGCTCAGACTCAAAGACATCCAGTGCAACGCCGCGAATGGAACCCTCATTGGCTGCCTCCAGTAGTGCCGTCTCATCAATGAGTGCTCCACGGGATGTATTAACCAGCAACGCCGACTCTTTCATCGCCTTGAGTTCCTTCGCGCCAACAAGACCTCGGGATCGGTCACTCAAAACATAGTGCAGAGTGACTACATCCGCAGTTGCAAAGAGTTCTTCCTTGCTTACTGCTTCAAAGGTCTTGTCGCCATCCTCATCCACAACAGGCAGGCCAAGCTTAGCAGCCATCTCATCAGCCCTAGCTTGGTCTAAGCTGCTGCTCCAGCACTTGATCTTCATGCCAAAGGCCAAAGACCCAATTCTTGCCACTGCTGCTCCCAACCTCCCGAGACCAACGACCCCCAAAGTCTTTCCCGACAGACCAATAGCCATGTCTGACTGCCATCCACCAGCTTTGATGGAAGCATCGTCTGCAGCGATGTTTCTAGCCAGAGCAAGGATCATAGCCCATGTGTGGTGCGTTGCAGGATGACTTCCTCCTTTGCGGATGTCCTGCTTATGCTGTCTTCCGTCACTCCGGCCGCGACCTAGCGCTGAAGCAACTGTGATCCCCAGCTTCTTGGCTGTCTCTAGATCAAAGGTCTCAAACTGAGTACCGGTACATAGTAGCAGCTTCAAGTTGGGTAGTTGGTGCAGCAGCTCCCCAGAGAACGGGGTTCGCTCACGCATGGTAGAGATGATGTCGTACGGGTAGAGCTTCTCAATCAAGTTGCTCCGCTCTTCAGCAGTTCGCTGAGGAAGGTAGGTATCAGACAATTCTACTTGTAATTTCGGAGGCTGCAAGTGCCCAAAATGTTTTGCTGAGATCCGAAGGTAGTCGTCCAAGACTAACAGGGAGGGTAATAATGATTCTCTGTGCAGTGGAACCCCACGAGCAGTACGGCCCAGTGAACGCATAGTAGGAAGCATCTCAATTCAATGTTCTTTTGAAGTCTGAGAGTTTCTGTTAAAGTTTCTGTTAAAGTTTTATCGATTTCATCGACTTGGAGTGAAATATGAATGATTATAAATGATCTACAGAAACCGCCCACGTTGATCAAAAGCCGACCGAGCTCGGCTCGGCCGAGTCAGGTCCGAAAGTCATCGAACTCGCTCAACGCTACCGGGTAAATACAAAATGAAGATATTATGATCATGACTGGTTTCTTGACCACCAGCTGATACGATGATAAATAGCAGATGCAACAAAGGAATATTTAACAGATGTGACCTATTATATCATTTCACATCAAGTATAAACCCTTTCATAAGGTCGCTGCTACAGTGAATGTCAAGAAGCGATGAAACTCAAAGACGATTAGAACAAACATCCTCACTAGTTGTGAAGCTATACCCTGTTGTGACCTACCATCGTGAAAGTTCGTCACTACCATAAAGTCATACACAATGGGGAAATCCATTATAAAAACAAATTGCATTATTTCGGGCACTTGTCCGAGCCATCCCCCAATCTCCAGCTTCATTTACTAAGGTTAAGCTTAATCGTGCTAGTAAAAAGCACCCCGCTGGATCTAACCTGTAAAAAGAAGGTATCTGAAAGCCTCCCCCACGGGGAAGTGGGCTTCGGCAGCTCTTCATGAACCCGATTGCTGCTGTAATCGGTATATCAGACACCGAACCTCGGGCTTGGCACTCTTTGTTTGTCTATTTAAGCTTGTACCGTGCGCGAACTCTCATGCTAACTCCACGAGTTCCTCGTGTTGTCGCGTCCCAATGCATCTTCCCTGTATGTCGAGTGCCCTCAGGGCCGCAGGCGTGGCGTTACTTGCCATCACTGCCACTGCCTCTTCTACTCCAGCCAAGGATTGGACCAGTCTGAAGCTTCTCACAAAGTCAGCCGATTCTCAGGTCCAGACCGTTATTAACGGTAAAAATGCCTCATTGACTGGCTCACCAAGGTCATTGACACGTGAGGTCCGTCGTCTTGTTACACCATTTGTGTGGCCAAACTCGACCTACTACCACGATGAATCTCTGTTGCCGCATATCGAGGAAATGCTCTCTGTTCTGGTAGAGGTTCAGCATGATGACGGGACGTACACCGTCGGCAATCGACACTCCCCGCCTGATACCGGCTTCTTGATCGAAGATTTTGGTATCATGGTACGCATCCTCGAGCGAGACGATCATGAGGCTTCGCAACCTTTTGCCAAAGCCATGCGTGGTATTCTCAAGAAGGCAGCGCCTGGTCTTGCAAAGGGCGGAATTCATACCCCCAATCATAGATGGAAAATTTGCAGCGCCTTGGCACGCATCTCCAACATCATTGAAGATGCCAGCTTGATTAAGAGGATCGATGAGTGGCTTGCAGAGGGCATTGATATCGACGCTGATGGCATTTACTCGGAACGTAGCCCTAACTACTACTCGGCCGTGTCGAACCCTTCTCTATTGACGGTAGCTCACGAGCTCAATTACACAGAATTGGTCAGCTTTGTCCGCAAAAACCTCGAGCTCTCCATTGAGCATGCCGAGCCAAACGGCGAGATGGAAACAATCCAGAGCCGCCGACAGGACCAGTCTCAGCCTCCAGGGGACAACATGGGGAACTTTTACCCACAATTTCGCGAGCTTGCTCTGTTGGACAACAACGGCCGATTCGCTGCAATGGCTCGTCTCATTGAGAAGCGAGTTGGGACGCAATTGGGCGATTTTCTAGGCAACATCATAGAACGCCCCGAATTGGCAGCAGAATTGCCCAAGCAAAAGCAACCATTTTCTGACTTCAAGAAGCACTACAAGTCGGCAGGTCTTGTACGAGCCAGACGTGGAAAGCTCACAGTGTCGGCATTTGGCGGGTCGGACTGGTATACCATGGACGGAAAGAAGGCCGAGTTCTACAACCGAATGGGCTCGGGCCTTTCGACGAATCCGACCATGTTCCGAGCCTGGAACGGAAAGGCGGTTCTTGAAGCCGTACGACTTAGTGCTAGCTTTTTCAGCATGGGCCACTTCCGATCGAATGGCGTTGAGCTATCCAAGGATGGTGTTATCAAGCTGGGGAGCGAGATCGAAGTTCCATACTACCTACCTATTCCAGCTGATAAACGCGACGACAACGGGACATATGCGCTGTCTAAGTCGGTCGATGGTCGCTTTTACGCCATGCTTGACTTTACGAACCGCCCAACCAGTGTTCGTCGTCTCAAAACCGATGTTGAGATCAAGCCGACAAAGAAGGGATATGATCTCGATTTTGAGGTTACAGGAGAGGATAATGTCGAATTGACCTTTGAACTGACGTTCAGAGAGGGTGGAAAGTTCAAGGGAGTGAAGGAGATTCTTGATAGCGACAACACAACCATATACCACCTCGTCGAAGGAAAGGGAGAGTACAGCATGGGCGACGACAAGATCACCTTCGGGCCAGGAAATGGAAAAGGACCAATCGCAGCCGATGCTGGTGAGCAGTATAGCTGGCATGGCGGTAATCTCACTTTGCAAGGCAATCATGTGTACATCACAGGCACGACGCCGCTGAAGTATACTTTGAACCTCGGCTTTGCTTAGATGGACCAAGCAAGGGACTGTTCTTGAATGCTCAGAGGGAATGGTCTGATCGGTTGTAGATAAGCATTACGTGTTGATCAATCAATTAGAAAGCAATTATATCTCAAACATTACTTGGTATTAGTCTTCGTCTAAGATCAGCTCAACATTAATATACATTATGACCACTTTTCTCATCAACATCTATTCCTCAAGCTCAGCCAGCATGATGTCGGCAGCCTTCTCAGCAACCATGTAGGTAGACACAGCTGTAAAGGTACCGGGGATGCGAGGATAGACCGAAGCATCAACAACACGAAGACCAGCGACACCTCGAACTCGGAACTTGGAGTCGAGAACCGCCATCTTGTCATCATCAGCACCAATGGGGCAAGTAGAGGAAGCGTGGTGACCCCAAGCAACATCCTTGACATAGGTCTCAATGTCCTTCTGAGAAGTAACATCAGCACCAGGGAGAACCTCAGTGACATTGACAGCCTGGCTGGCCAGTGCGCTTCGGGTAAGCTCGACGGCCTCGTACAAGGCCTGGAGATCAGCAGAGTAGTCACCGTTTCCGGTGTCAAAGTAGTTGAAGGTGATGGCAGGCATGTCAAGAGGATCAGCTGACTGGAGGAGGACCTCGCCGGCGTTGTTGCGAGGGTGGGCCTTGAGGATGGCCCATGAGAACCAGTTGTGCTCGATGGTGGCGTTGACAGCGTACTGGGGGAAGTATCCTCTGAAGTTGACGGGACCACCGAAGGCGAAGATGTCAAAGTTGTCCTTCTCAGCAGTGGAGCTCTTGTAGAACATGGAGGCAGCAAGGCCGGAAGAGGAGTAGATGCCGTGATCACCATCAACGGGAGCTCTCCAGCGGTTGACACAGGGGTCCTCATCAGTGAAGAGGCCGAAGGTGCAGCCATCGAAGGATGTGAAGTTGTTCTCGAGAGTTCCCTGGACAGAGATCTCGTAGTGGTCCTGCAGGTTGGTACCGACACCGGGAAGATCAGAGATGACGGGGATGTCGAACTTCTTCAGCTCATCAGCAGGTCCGATACCGCTAAGCTTGAGGATCTGGGGAGTGTTGTAAACACCGCCAGCAACGACAACCTCGCGAGAAGCAGTGGCATTGCCGGGAGTACCAGCAGCACCGGTAGCAAGGGGGCTGGCCTTGTAGAGATGCTTGCCGTCGAGGAACTCAACGCCATTGGCACGAGGAGGCTTGGAGTCATCGAATGTGACCTTGGTGACGTAGCAGTTGGTTCGGACATCAAGAGGATACTTCTTGGTACCGTTGGGGTGCTTGGCATCGCGGACAGAGAGGATGAGCTCACGGGGTCCGATACGGCTAGCGTCCTTGGTAGACAGAGGGATCTGGTAGAAGCCAGGCTCCTGATCACGAGCCAGAGTGTCGGCGTTGGCATCGTCGGCAATCAGACCATCCATGGTGATGTTCTTTCCAGTCATCTCGGACAGAGCAACGGCACCTCCGCTGAGGATGCTCAGAAGCTGCTCGTCGTTGAGAGGAATGCTGAGGGGAGCAGTCTCAGTGCTGAGCCAGCCATCGTAGCCGTGGCCAGCCTCGCCAGCAGGGCGGTAGTTGTTGTCCTCAGCCTTGACAAAGTACTTTCGCATGTTATCCGCTGACCACGAATCATCACCGGTGAGAGAGGCAATGTACTCAAAGTCAGACTGGTGAGGGTAGACAGCGATCAAAGCATTGTGAGCCGTGCAACCACCCAGAGCTTGAGTGCGGGGGTACAGAGTACCCTTTATCTCAGCGCCCTCAGGAGGGTTAAGACCAGTGTACTCTCCGTTGGGTGTATCGTAAGTGGTCTTGTAGTCACGAGCTTGTCGCTCATCGTCAGCGTAGTGACGAACAAAGAAGTTCCACGAGATCTCGGGATCCTCAGAAGCATTGGCAGAGTAGGCAGGGACGGTGTAGTTGAGCGAGGCGTAGTCATCACCAGCTTCGATGAGAAGGGTCTTGTGACCAGCCAATGCGAGGCGAGCAGCCAGAGGTCCTCCTCCAGCACCTGAGCCAACGACGATGTACTCGTAGCCTGTGAGGGCAACGGCGCACACGGAAGCTGGAGCGGCCAGAAGGCCGGCAAAGAAGGCGTGTCTCATGATGTATTAAGTGAGATCCAATCAAAAGAGTGTAATAAATGAATGACGTCCCTGTGGCCGTGGTAGGTCAACAAGGGAGAATGAAGGAATGACGGTAATGAATGGATGGTAGGTACAACATAAGTCGGCTGCAACTTGCTATTTATCTATCCATCCATAGAATCTCAGGGCCCCAACTCAAACCAGGGGAGGTCTCGTTGAATCAGTTCAATGTAACGACCTCGGCATTCAGTCCAGAACTAGTCAGGGGTCAACTGCATAATGCCTGACCACTCCCAGGACCAAATCCCCCATTATACAGAACCAATGGTTACCAGACCCAACATCGAGTGCAGAATCTACAGGCTTGGCTCACACATCGCATTGCAGGCTGTGCAATACCACCCCAACGAACAGACAGAGCAGTTACCACGAACGGCATAGTATCGGCTCACACTAGCTGCCTTTCCGCCCATCCCCGAACTTGTAGCTTGGCCCGGGTTCCACTCCCGCGGGTTTAAGACATAACTGGGGCATTGAGCCGCACGTCGTTACATGCACCAACCAGAACCATCGAAACCCCCGCTGCAGGGGCTGGTGCTTGGCGTCGCATCGAAGATCAGCGGCTAGGTTCAATTCCGCAGCTCGCCGTTTTCTCCTGACCATAATTTTGGAGAGGGAGTTATGCGGTGCAGGATATAGGCAACTGGTCCGTTCGCGGGGCTTAAGCAAGACCGTTATATGCAGGGGACATAAATGAAATGCGGTCATAATTCCAGCGAATCCAAATATAGCCACCTACATCCGATTCTAATGCCGGGCCGAAGACACAGGAGTTGTAGTTCTAGAAAAGTCTTCTGACTTGGCTGTAACCTATTCCTCCCTCAGCTTCTTACTCTTCCCAGAAAAGCTCTCCTCGACTATCCTATTCTGACGGATAATCTCATCTCTCGCCCCCTCCCACGTCTTTCTCTTTCCCGTCTCGAAATACCGAAACATATGAGCTGTCTCTACGCCGTGATTCATGAGGTTGTACATCTGTCTATCCTTCCACCAGAACTTCCACCCTACCCATCCCCATCCCAAATTCTCCATACCCGTTCCAGCTTGTTGGTGCATCCAGGGCTGGAACTCATACTGTTTGACCATGCTCACGTCGAGATGCGGCTCTCGGGCCCAGTTTGCTCCGACCCATTTTTGATGCTCGTCAACCCATTTCTCCATCTCTTCATAAGGCGGTAATTTGCTCACGCCTCGCCAAATGTTCGAGATAGCCATGTTCATGACGTCGCTGAATGAGAAACCGTTGTTTTTGCCATATGCTGAGTAGCAAAGCACGGCGCAGCTGTCTGCGTACTTTGGGGGAAAGACATTCATGTATAGCCGTTGAATGGCAGGTCCATGATAAGTCGGTAACTTTGGCAGACTCTTTTCGATGAAAGGAGAGACAGAAAAGTCAGCACAGTACCCTGTAGTCAAGATAACGCAGTCCACGTTATCCACTACAGTCCCGTCATCAAACTCGATTGATCGTCCACCCAAGAAGCGTTTGATTCCATGCAAACTCGTCAAGCTGCCGTCCTGCAAGTGAGGAACAATATCTTGAATAAGACCTGGTAATCGCAACGTCGGGTTACGGAATGACTGAATCCGCCATTCTGGGTCAAGTTTTACGTCAGAGAACTGAGACGAGAGAAGTCTGGCTCCCCAACCCGCTAAATACCTGTAGAAATTAGGTATGTTCTTTGCCATCCATTGAGTAATCTGTCGGCGTCTCCACGAGACCAATAGGTCTGTCGGCCGTCCTTTGCGCATGCGCTTGACCATCATTTGGCCGCTTCTATGTGAGACGTAAACCTTCTTCGCTGTGCTAATTACTTGCGGCGTGATCTCGCCTGTTGTCGTAGACAGACCGAGGATCACCACTGTTTTGTCCCGAAAAGCTTCTGGGCTAGAGATTAATGGTGAGTATGGTCCAGAGAATTGCGCATCAGAGTATCACGAACCTTCGGTATTGCTGCGAGTGTATAATCTCTCCTTCAAATTTGTCCTGCCCCGGAAATGTCGGCATCACTCTTTTAGTCTGATAACCATGACAGAAAACGACCTTGTCAAATGAGCGAGACTCTTTTTCGCCTGTCCCGACTTTCTCAAGCTGAAGTACCCACCCGCTATCATCATTGTTTCGGTTGACAACCTGAACACTAGTATTAAATAATATGTGCTCTGTGAGCTTGAAATGCTCAGCGTAACTCTGCATGAACTCTTGGAAGTTCGCTGCACTTAGATAAACAGGATACTCTGGTTCTAGTTAGCATCATCTCGTTAGCAGAGCCATGGCTAACTTACTGTCTGGTATTGGAAAGTCGGTAAATCCACAAGTATACTTGCTGATATTTGCACTCGTCGATGCCAATGCAGTCGTCCACCCATTGCTTGTATCATATGCCCACAAGCCTCCGACAGAGCTCCGTCTCTCGAACAACGTCGCGCTGAAACCATCTTGGAGAAGCTGCTTGAGCATGGAAATGCCCGTTGGACCTTGACATGTTAGAGATCAACATGAGATGTCGCACGATTACTCACCGGCGCCTATGATGGCAACACTGACGTGCTTCATTTTGCCTTTTCGTCTGGCTTCCTCTACGCCTGACTTGTAGTAGATATGAAAGTGTCGCAAAAGTGAGGGGGCAGTGGTATTTATGATGTCTTGTCAAAGGATCAGACATTCATTTAACCGATTGGCATGTTCGGAATGTGGCGCTGTTCATTGGCTGTCTGTTGTACGAGACTAAATTCTTACATGTCATCATTCATCTTCCTGGGATCGGCATTTCTGACAAGCTTTCCACTGCAACGTTAGTATGATCTGGATCTCGCGGAAGTTATAAAACTTTAGAGAACTACCGGTATTGGGTTTACGGTGATATTGTATAATACATGTGTGTCTTTAACTGCAATAGCCTGTTCTTTCTCTTATTATTTTAGTTTTTTCCAGCGACAGAGAGCCTTGAAGCAGGTTTACTATTTCCAAAAAGCGTGCCTGGCTTATTAAGAATAAATCCTTAGTCATAAGTCTTCCCGAAAAGAGGAGGATGTTTTCGAAGCGGATTAAGACGCTTTTAATAAGGCCTAGGAGATAAATAGCAGGATTAATAAGTAAAGAACATAGTGGATTTAAGAAGGGAACATATATTTTCTTAATAGTTAAACCTTGAACAGAGATTAGGGACTGGATTATTATCTCGGGTCTACTGATTAGACCTATTATATAACTCATTACCGATACTTCCCCAGTCGTTATGGCCACCGTTATGCACTCTTAATTAAAGGTAATTACAATGCACTCTGGTAAATGAGTATATGTACCAAACTTTATACCATGGTATATAATTTCGAAGTGTCTAATAATAAGCTAGTTTCTAAAAGCTGGCAGGCATCTAATGCCTATTTTGGTTCCATTAAAGGACTTAACTGGCTCGGTGTTCTGCAAAGCCTCCCGCACTGCAGGGACAAAGTGAACGCCAGTATTAAACCTGGTAGGCCCTCTTGCGTGTAGTCGACGGTGTGCGTTCAGGTTATCCCTTCGAGTAAAGGTGTTCTTGCCACAGAACTCGCATACCAGCTGGTTTCTTTTCGTCTCGTGCTTTCTGTACCTATGTTAACAGAGCCTTCTTCTCAGGAACTGGCACTTACGTTATATAATGACGTTTGGCATGCTCTTTGCGCTTGAATGTCTTGCTGCATCCTGAATAAGGGCATGGATAGCGGAAACAATCTAATAAGGAGAGCTCGGCAGGATTAGAAGGTATTTCAGGCTTATCTATAATACTTTAGTGTTTAATTGTACTAAAAAGTAGACTTAGCTTACTGTCAATGGCATCTGTTGATAGATATTCGTCGGTACTTGAGGCCGATATATGAATCCGTTTCGAAGAAATAGAAGATGTTGGCTCCGTACTCTTGCCCAGTTCAGCATTCAGACCAGAAAGATCTCAAATCCCATCACTCTGGAATGGTTCAGTGAAGTCCCCTGATGAGGCGCCTGAAGCAGATCCTCCATCAGGCGTGAATTGTAAGTATGGTTCATTGAAGTAATATGGGCTGTGCAACTCCAAGTTATTTAGTTTCCTCTCGGTGTCCAATTGTTGAGCAATATCCAAAGTAGGATACGGATTAAGAGGGAGCTTATGGATTGGCAATGGAATTAAGCTGAAGCTCATACTGGGTTCGCTTGGAGATTGAAGTGTATAGTATGTCCCATTTGTAATAGGGTGATCAATAAGAGGGCTTTCAGGGTATTCGTATATGGAAGCGGAACCAGAGAGGTTGGAGGCCATATAATCAACGTACCATCTGCCACAAATGTCACCTGCATTCATCTCGTATCTCCAAAGTGCTGACGTACTGATTCAGGTCGGTCCAATCTGTAAGATTCAGTTCAGGAGATCTTGGAACAAATGGTTGACCCATGGCAGAGAATTCCAGAGCCGAGTAGTCACAGAATAAATTATATGAACGTCTCATGGTCTGGTACGAAAAAGAACAGGGATGAATGAAACGAAGACAGTGAATCTAATGTTGTTGGGCAATAAGCCGACAGATGCCGTAGTCTTTAATAACCTGCATCGGTTAAAGAACCGGATGATTGCGACTTCGATACGAAGCATAAGTACGGACTAGAGTTAGGGACAGCTGAAAACCACACGAGAGTGGATATGACGACGGAAGCAATCCGAATTATCCGATTGAAGAAACCCAATCAGGATCCATTACATGAAAGGGCCACCAGGGCCCCCAGCCCGATCCAGACGCTATCCACAGAAGGGGAGAGCTAATGATCAGCTCAGGCAAGAGTGTGGTCGTCCTGACTAATTAAGTCTGAAGGCCATCACACTTGTCTGCGTAGCTTCGTGTGATAAGTCGAAGGCTAGAGAAGTTACAGTTAAAAAGACTAATGCAACTGCCGTAAAGAGTTGGTTTCATCGACAGAATTGCATGACGAGCCCACCAAGACTCTATTTGCAACTTGCAACTTTGGACGATTTGAAGTTGGAACTGGATTTCGCTGATCAGGTGTATTGTCTCAGCCAAGACTGCCGCACTAGGAGTAGTATATCAGTTGAAATCGCAGCCGATCACGTATAATTGGACGGTAAACAAGGTTCAGGGCAGGGTGAAATATGGTTCAAGACCATGGAGAGACGAGATACTGGCAATGCCCTGAACCAGACTATTATTATCCCTGCTGCGGATCGCTAGATAGATTCCACGGATGTAGATCCTCAAGCACCCCTTCAGTATTATCACAACCCACCAGGCAGGAAGCGGCATGATCAGATAAAGCCAGTCAGGGCGATATGGCGTCTTATTCCAGAGCAGTGCAATGACCTTTGTGATATTTGTAAGTTGCCGATTTGCGACTATTTGAGTAGCAAGCTGCTTTCATCAATTATGGCATGGAGGCTTCATGAGCCCTTTCTATATGGTACCAGAACATGAATTATCAGCGAGCTTCTGCACGCAAAATGTCTAGTGATATTGAGTAATTTTCCCAGAGAATGAGACAGAATCTTCTACCGCCGGTTAAGGCGTGCCCTACGAACTCTTCTGAATTTAAATTTTCGGACTGCTAAAGCCAAAGATGCTACTGGCCCAATGGCATTTAGACGAATTGCCTGGTTTGATAGCGCCTCCAGTGGAGATGTATACCGAATTCAGTTGGCTTGAAGAAGCTTGAAGTGGCATTTGCTACAAGCCGTTAGCGTTGTTACATTCATTCCATACATGGTCCGTTTGTCGGAAAGCAAGTCGAAGTGATACCTACAAACCTAGAATGATACGGGCTAGTGGTGTCAAGATCCTTGTCACTCCGGAGGTTACCATCAGTGTACCATAGCAGGGTTTCTAGACATCTATACAAGACAGATAAGGCTGGTATGGTTATTAAATCACCCTCAACATTATCTGGGTTTAACCTAATATAATATCACTGATAATAAGCCTGCTGACACCTGTTTATATTATTATTGAATACTAATATCACTTATTAGACATCATCTTTATAACTCTGGTATTTTACAATCAACATCTGGGTTCTCGTAGCTAAGGAAGGTCAGAGTTGAGTAAATTAGTGGACGCGCGATCTTCTGACTCGTATAAGAGTAAGGACGGATGTGTTAAACCTTCCCAACTTAACTAGATGGTTGTATATGTCTAAGGAGATGTCACATCAGAATACGTACTTGGAGGCCAAGACATAATGCTTGCCATGGTGAAAGGTACATAGATTTGATGGACCTTTCGTGCTCACAGCCGTGAGTTTCTGGAAGACGAAAGGTGTATCTCTATATCAAGTTCAACCTCATAGGCCCCAGAAATTTGGTCATCTCTCTGAAAGATAGTTCTACGCATTCATCTCCAAGTCCTTTCAGACATACTCTCTTTGGCACCATTATCCGGAAGAGAAATATTCTTCCGTAGACATGTCTTAATAGGCTCATATTAGGCACCAGTTAGAACATAGGACTTATCCCAAACTTTCTTATTCTTTTCACTAGGCATCTTACTGTATGGTTTCTCGTAGTCGCCTCTAGCAAGATCCAGAGCATAATTACTCAAGGAACGTTGAAACCTCTGCGAACAATCCTTACATAACGTTAAGGGACGGTAAAGTTACTTAAGATATTTACTAATATATATTAATAGCCGGATTATACATATCACATCTTAAATTTACCTACCTATGCATCTCTATAGTTGTAAAGGTTTTATTGCAGTTGCTTAGATAGATATTCACTAGTCATGGTAACCTGATAATCTTGATCCTTGTTCTTTCTTGGGGCCACTGGAGAAATCTTGCCAATCTTGACGCCCTGACCACTGATCACAGCTATCTTGTGATTATTGGTTGTTTTTCCTGTCACTTGAGGCCTAAAGAAAAATTTGATGATTCGGGAGAATAAGACATTCCACGATATGCTATAGTCTCGTGTGGTTATAATGGTGGTACCGCCCAACAAATGGACTTTTATATTTCCTTTGCAAACACATCGCAACAGATCTCAAACTTTTGCAACTATAGTCAAGCTCAAGTTACTGCGGGGGGCTTGAATCTCTGTATTGGCATTGATTGTATAATTACTGAAGATACCTGGTTTGACTTAGCCACGGTTGTGTATAGGACTTGAGAAGCATGGTTTATAGCTCCCTTTTTTTAGAATACAATACACTGGCATTTTTCCATAGCAAGGTTTCATTCAATATTAATAAGTAAACGATGCAAAAGCTGATCGTTTTGTAGCTTTTACTTCTGGCTTTTCCGGGCACTAGAATTGAACTCTTCTGCTGGCAATAGTCAGCAGTCCAACCAGCCCGACGAATAGCTCTCTGCCTTGAATCTTGATGGGTTTCCTCCGACATTTCCTATAGCTGAGAGATCCCCAGAACGCAGTTATTATAGCCTAATTGCATTGCTTTTTGATAGAGCAGACTGCGATAGGACCAAGATTAAAGACGCAAATCCGAGGACAATCGTAAAGGTCACCGCCATCTTAGAGCGCTGGTGTTAGTAAAGTACACAGTTACATGGAGAACATCACTTGCCTTGGAGTTGCCATCCCACCAGCCATCCTCTCTAGACTTCGAAGGCCCAAACTCAGTGCCAGCCCATATCAGAATTGTCAAACCGATTATCATGCAAAATATGGCCAAGACTAAAAACGCAAGGCTGAATTCCCATGCGTATACCTGCAGCCAGCTGGGTCGAGACTTATTATCGGATTGCCGTTTTCGAACAAGGCTGTTTCGGATCAAGCTGAGGCCGTCGGGATGAGCAGACAGGCGGTGCAGTCTCATGCTCTGAACGCCTGCAATTACTACTGAGAAGAGGGCAAACACGAGGCCGCTGAACCACATCGTTCGCACTGACCAAGGCTTGTTGCGGCCGTTGGGGAGGACATCTGGCCAGGAACCTGTTGTGCTGAGACAACTTGCAAGAAGAGCGCCCTGTTTAGAATTTCAGTGAGTGGGTACTAGAAGAAGGGATTTAGAAGTCACGTACAAGTGTTCCAACAAAATTCAGTTCCTGCAGCTTATGGTCACGCCAGTTCTTTGTCATTTCGTCTTTCTGAGTCTGGTCATCTTCATTCAACATCTGAATGATAGTGTCGGCCGAAGTCGAGGTCTCTCCTAAGAAGCTAAAGTGAGGCATGGTGACGAATGTGTTGTTCTAGCTCATGTCAGCCTTACTGTACTGGAGTCTCATTGTCGACTACAAATGAATTTTACCTTAGCTTTTTACTATCTTTAGCCTGCTCAGAGATAATAAACAGTTACTTGATTATGAGACGATTGTGAAGAAGACAAGGGAGAAAAACGCGGGGAAGCGAGTTTACTTACCCCATTATTAAAGGTCGGAGAAAAGATCCCGCTTTCCCATAAGGCTAGCCAGGGTAGGTGAATATGTCGTCATAAGTCGGTAATCTGACTTTTATGTTAAAGTGATGGAATGGAAAGATGTCGCTGGTTCAATTAATTATAAGCTGTATAGACAATATCAAATAGTCAATTGAGAGGTAACATGAATTAAGCTTTCTTCACTCATGGTTTATAAAAAGGAGAAGCGTTGGACAATTTCCATGTTAAAATATCAACCCTGACTCCGTGTTGTGATTATAGGCTGACATTGAGATTCCCTATATTACCCGCAATCTAAGTGATGGTCTGCAGATAAAGCGTAGTAGCTGAGTGAATCTCTTTCGTTATTATCGTAATACATAGATTTGTAAAGTTAATACCAATCAACTCCTAAAACTCATCACCGTAAATCAGATAAATATACTGCAACAATAAAAGCGATGGCAAGGAATGCAGCTGAAAGATTATGTTCAGATGCGGCAAGCGAAGTCGTGGCCCCTGAATGAGAGGTCGATTCATCTACCAATCTAGTGGCAGCCGAGGTCTCCGTGGTCGTTGCGAAATCACCAGTGAAAGTGTCCGATTCCGTCTCTTCTGCTGTCTCTTCCGCCGTCTCTGTTGCCGTCTCTGTTGCCTGCACATCGCAGTTGTTTCTTTTAACTCTTCCACCAAAGCAGCCTCCGCCTGCGTTATCACATACAGCATCCCAAGGACAGTACCAGTCACTATCAACCCCGACGCAGAGCTTCGATGGATGGATCCCAGCGGCGGTTGGGCAAGCAGGGGACTGGTGGCACAACAGGTATTAGCACATGTGTAGAAAACGAAAACTTATCGGATATGCTCATCGTAGCGTATTGGAATCACTAGATCGGGATCTTACCGAGTCAGTAACAGCTGCTCCACAGAGCGACTTATCTGAGAGATCGCAACACTGCTCATTAGACGTGCCACCGTTCACGCAAACGGCAGATAATGGACAACACCCTCCGGCGCAACATGCTGCACCGCCAGAGCAGCAGCCGGGATGATTGGGGCACTGAAGCTCTGTCCCAGCTAGGCCACCACAGTCTGATACTGGGTACGGAGAGACAACCTGCGCAGACACAAGGCCGCAGGCTTGAATAAGGAGGAATGTGGACAGATTCATGATAAAGTTTGCCAATAGTTCTCTATACGCGGTGTTGAGGATGCCAGCATTTGTTGTTCCCTTGAGAAATTCTGAGGAAGTTAGCTATATAAGAAGACTGCGCGAGACCAGGTGCGACGGTATCTCGGCATCAAAGAAGGTTGTCTCACTAGCAAACACATCTTGAGATCCCTGATTGCACCCATAGAGGCCGAAAAGCGTGCTCCGATTGGTCTCTTCTCGAGCTGAAAACTGTGGCGTCGGCCTCGGCAAAAAGCCTGTGCAGCTAAGAGACAGCATCTCAGCCTTGTGACTACATAGACTAACGAGACCTTGTACACGTTCATTTGCAGGGCTGCTTACCGCCAGCTTATGGTATAATTTAGCTTGCCTACCCACGGGCATCCAAGATCAGTCCGAATCTACATAATCCTCTTTATTTCTCTATGATGTTCAGATTTTACAATTTGGAATATTTATTTCGCGAGCCTTTCGCGGAGATTAGTGCAGCTGTTAAGTCGGAGAAGTACCATCGATTAATAATCTGGGAGCATTAAGTGATTCTAGGCTGTGTCGAGTTTTAATACTGGTACTCTGCTCAAGAGAGACCCCAATGGAGACATGGAGTCAGTCACAGGCAATATTCAAGGATTATGCATAAGTGCTGTAGCACCGGAACTGTTAGCGCTTGACTTAGCGCAATTTTAACCTTCGAGGCTCGCTCCTGTATTCGCCACCTTATGATGCTTTAGACTTCGATAAGTCTAGATTCTGAGATTATCAGCGCCACCGGGACATCCCTACCACGACAGTTTTACTATACATCCCCTTTCAAGTAAAAGAGGAAAACAGGGGTAATGGCCTAATTATGATGCGTAAAAGTCCTTTTCCGCTTGAATTTGAAGCTGGAATAATAATATAGCCTACGAGGTTATAATTAGTTGTGATGAAAAAGAACTCTGCCCACCGTAAAATGTGGCATTTAAAGGACTCTACTAGGGTTCCTATTGTTACCAACTACTAGGGATTGAGATTTGTTCATTGTACTTTACCAGGTCACTGTGATCCTAGTTTAGAGAAATGAGCCTTATTAGGCGGAGTAGGTAATAAGCTACTTGAACCCTGCCCACTTTTTAACTCTTGGCGTCCGGTCCTGATCTTACAAGGCGTCACCTGATACTTACGCCTAGTCCTCGTGTAAGGGCCAGGCGCTGGAAAGTGTTGAAATCGATGTGATTGGCTAGGCAGGTTATTTGGCGGAGTGGCTGGTTGAGACCATTGAGGCCTTGCTTTTGGTATATATGGGCGCCAATGACGTATTTGCAAGTGGCTATGTTCTTTTAAAACTAGCGTGTTTGCTTTTGGTAATGAGGCAGTGCACTCTGCGCTTCCCTATAAAGTTCAACAAGGAGGCACCTCATTTTGAGACCACAGTCAATCCGTAACCATGTCGACCGTAGCTGAACAGCAGGGCATTCGCCGGCGATTTCCAAGACAATATCCAGGTTCGTAAATGTACAACAAATAATTTAACCAAAAGCTTACGGCATAAACAGGTCTCGAATCCGACATACAGCCCGTTCCAGTCAGCAGCAGGTATACGCCCCCGCTAAAGAATATCGAGCTTCTTGAGGTGGCACACATATTCAGCCGCCTCGAATGCCGAATTCTTCAAGGTTCTGCCCAGGTTCTGCAAAACCGTACTCTAGACGAGGATCAGAGGGAGCCCGATGAGCAACAGCGTTTGATTCGCCTTGAAAAGGCTGGCCGCGACCTACTTGACGTCCATGCCGGCAAGTATCAATTTTCAGTAGGCTATCTAAAAGATCGGGAACTTTTGAGGGAATGGGGTTTTGCCGCTGCTGTGCACCGCGAATTATTGAGACAAGATTCCACAAGCAACGACGAGACAAATTACCAAATTGCAACAGCCTCTGCCAAAGGCCTTGAGAAATTAGCATCTTCTCTGCCGGCAGCATTAAAGCTGGCTGCCGAAAAAGGGAGCCTTGACGTGTTGACAAGGAATGCGATAGGAGATAAATATTTGTTTCTGGATGCGATAATTAATCTCCTTCACGAACATTTGTCGACAAATCGTCAGTTGCCAACATGGTAAGATATAGACTAAACCAGATGTCTTTATATCATACTAAATTTTCTGATCAGGGAAAGCATCTCTGAGAATCTCAGGGAGTTATCGTCGAAAGCCTCAGTATCAAAGGCCATAACAACAGATCAGAATATAGTACTTAGTCCCTATGTACCTCCCTTGTTGGAACTTTTGCTAATCCACTATAGGGTTCTAAGGCTTTCTCTATAATACTATGGGCTACTTTCTTTATTACAGTCTTCTGTAGCGGCCCAATGCTCGCGTATGCTTGGAATTTCTCAGATCGGAAGCCTGGTCTTTGGGCAGAAGAAGATTTCTTTTTTCTCCTTCAGGGCTGCATATTGCAGGTCTTCAGTCTTTGTGTTAGTGCTTTGTCGCTTATGAGGGGCAGGACAGTACCTGTGGCTGCTTGGCTCTTGCCAAGCGGTTTCGCAGTGGTTCTAACGATTTGCTCGCCATTTTTCTACTGTTTTATATCAAAATGGTGGAGTTCATTTGTTGTCTCAATGGCGGCGTCAGTGCAGGCATTTCTAGTGCTTCAAATCGCACTTTATAACATGTAATAGAAAGTAGTTAGTTTGCAATATTTATAACCTTGTTTAGTTAGGGCCTAGAAGGGATATAGAATCAGTTCGAGACATTCCTGGGTTAACCGGTAGATAATCCTTGGTCGAGAGAGTCGCACGCTACTCAGATATTCCATATTAGTAGCGTCATGATCTGACAACCTACAAGCAATCCAAGAGCTGCAAGCATTTATATAATGTAATTAATCTATTACATTAAAATATAATACCACTATTACCCAATCTCTATCATTCTCACTTAGCCACCAGGGTTTGTCTGCAGACTACCACTCGGATTCCAAGGAAACTTGGGAATCTCGATCTCCCCGACAAACTTGCTCAGATCAGGTGCCATCTTCTTCATATCGAGCGCACAGGTAGGCTGCTTGACACCAAACCTCTTCACCTCGGTAACATTCGAAGTCTTATCAAAGGACATTCGAACTTGATGAACCGTTCGTCGCGACAGGTCACCGGTAAAGTAATTCTGCGGAGAGATCATCATGGAAGAGACAGCTTTCGTAGTCACAGTGTTGGGTAGGTCGGCTGTGTTGGGGAGATGATGCATGCCTAGATTGAAATATCTGTAATGGTGATCAGTTCTGAGTAACAGCAATGTCGAGGTAGCAGGTACATACAGAACAATATCCTCCTGGTCCAGACTTTCCCCATTGAAGAATTTGTTGAAGTCGACAGCTGGGTGATTCAAGTCGTGGCTGTTAAAGGCATATGCGCTCTTAGGCTCAGTATCGTGGTGCTGGATGGCGTAAAGGTTATGATTGGCCCAGTTGGCGGCTTGACCAAGGGCTGAAGATGACTTGACAGTCAGGTGGGCAGTGCCGCCGCTATCTGTAGATCTTGTTAGCCACTATGTGAGTTTACTTGTATGGGGAGGGTGTCATACTTGGGGTTATGGAGTAACCGGGTGCCTCCCCGAAGTCATTCAGTTTGTCCTTGTTGACAACAGAATATGAAGTAGCCCCGTTCGGTGCCCAGTTTATCTTGCCGTCGTCCTCACTGGTAATGTATGAGTGGTCAACCTTCATTGTATTTATCGATTGACCATCAGACCATGGATATCTATTCAAAGTCAGCGGGTTGAGGTATGAAGCTAGAGGACATCTTACACTTGAGTGTGTGGTACAAACTCTGTCTTCATCAGACTGTTCTTTGTCCCCTTGATATCTAAGTCCAGTTTGAAATTAATAACATGGTCGTGCATAGACCCAGACAGATTATCGTGAATATGATAACCATAATCACCGTCTCCCGACCAAAAGGCGCCTTGAATATAGCCTGAGGCCCGAACCGTAACGGCAATAGAGCCATCATAGTGGAAAGTATATTCAAAGAGATAGTCGTAGTTACCTACCGTGGAGACGCTTCGTATAGTAAAGACGATGTTCTTGGTTGCAGAAACATGGTCCATGGTCAAGTGTCGTTGGATAGGATAGCCAGTATCGTACTCAAATAGACACAAACTGTTTGGGTGTACATGAGTAGTCTCGCTAATGTAAAACGTTGTGTTGAGATAGGTAGCATGGGATGGGCAGTCAAAGCCGTCGACGAGGTTCCATTGACTGGTGCCTATACCGTATGAGGAATCAAGATATGCCGATGAGGCATGTAAGGGGTCTTGTGAAGCGTAATGCGCAAGAGCCTCTTGAAGACCAATTTCGTAGATCAGACGTTCGCCTTTGAATCGAACGTCGTGTAGCTGCAAACCCGTTTCTTTGTGATTAGAGAGGAAGAAGCTAAAGTCCACTTTCAAGTCTTGTCAGCTACATCTACGACACCACGATGTCCAAAGCACTTACTCCATTCAACATAGTTCTGTTCTCTGTCCACTCCAAACCGAGAACCATCTGGTTGGACCGAAATGGGAGGGTATAGGTGATCACGCGGAAAACTATCGCCTTGCTGATCAGTTGAAGTCCAAGTTCCGTCAACGACTGGTCCTGGCTTTCGTTTCAAGGTCTTGATGCCCTTGCGAAAGGCGGCAGTCGTTGGCCAGAAATAACCGTCGTAGTACCAGCCAACCACCTTCCACATGGATGGATCCCGGCCCGTAAGGTCGACCTTGAATTGCAGACTGGTGGGCAGTACTGTCTCTGAGAAGAATTCGCCAGTATGGGCAGAGTAGAACTCATTCCACTGGTAGACTCTATCGTGGTGATGAATCAGAGGGTCACTGCCTGCAATCAGCAGATTGTCGGTCTTGGCCCCGGTTGCGGTCTGTTAGCACGGTTAGTTGAGGGCTTCTCAGGAGCATACCGGAAACATATACTAACACCGTTGAGAAGTTGCTTGGTGATGTCTTTTATTTCGGTGCCAATCTTGAGGTTGAAAGTAGCGATAGCTTCACTATCAGCGTTATACACATTGATTCGGCCTCGGCCAGATGTGAACATATAGTTAAGTTCCTCATGATGCGTCAGACCCTTTCGGACTGGTAGTGGCCCGACTATATACTCTTGAATGTAGGGCTGCACCTTCGAGTTAAACTGGAGAGTTGCTCTCGCATAGCGGACTGGAGCAGGACCATGACCTTCAAGATATGCCAATGCATCTGTCTTGTTCGGCTGTAATAGGTCCAGAGACACAATGACGTTATCCCAGCTGGGCACCATTAGCTGATGTATCGCGATAGCTATATGTGAGAAGTGGACAGAAGACGTTGAAAAAAGCTTTGTTAGAGATTTAAGCGAAACTGAGAGACTCACGAGGTCGAGTTAACGACAGCCGTCAAGTTGAGGTCAATTTGCTTATGAAGATACGCCGTAACATGGGCATATTCTTCGTCCGTGAGACTCTGGAAGATATTATTTACTGGTGCCTTGATGGCTACCTCTTGATCAGAGCTGCATCCTGCTGTCGAGGACTTGTACTCTGAAAGGCGTTTGAGCGAATGAGGCCGTGTTGCTGGACCAGCAGGGCCAGTATAAGCCGATATCCCATTCAGGACAGTAAAGAAACAAATAATCAAGGTATTAGGGAGACGCATGATCACCTCTACTCGAAGGCCTGTGACAGCACACTAATTGGTGGATGTAATGGTGGTGTTGACCTACGCAAGACAGGTAGAAGCACGCTGCCGTTATAGGGCTCTCAGCAAGCTGAAACAGATGGTAAATAATCCCCAGGCACAGTTATGCAGGCACGGTAAGCACGGCACGGCTCGGCGCGGCATAAAACCAAACAGCGGACAACCGGGACCTGGGTAGCATCAGATCAGCCAGCCCCCCAAATCCACTACTGCATGCAGCAAGCCTCTTCACGTCACACAGCACAGCTTCAATCTAACGCCTCGAAATGGGAAGACTTTTGCAAGTTACACATTTTTGTTTTAGGCGCCATCGTGTCGATCTCGATGGGTGAGGCTACCGGTCGGTCTCTGACCCAATAAAATGATGATACGGCATATAAAACATGGTACAAATGCATGATCTAGTAGTTGCGGCTGCAGCTGAAAAGCGAGTATCCGCCCCATGATCCTTACACAGGTTGATCACAATAATCAAACAGGGAAGCATCCTTGCAATATGAATCTGCATGCTGAAAATTTGAAAGTGAGGCTATACGACAGTGGGTAACGCGGCAAGCACAAGAGTATGACATAGGAGGCTTTCATGATTCCTTCATGTGTAACAACATTCTCTCTGGCCTTGATGTGAGCCCGTAGTCGGTCTCTCAATGTAGCATAGAGACCATAATGGCGCGTTGGGTTGCATGAAGCCGTTTATCCACTTCTTACCTTGGAAAACATCATCTCTCTGGGGATCAGCCAGTGACCATATTTTAGATCTCGCGTAATCACAGTTGAAGCTCTAAGCCAACCCATCTAGTAAAAACTGTGAAGACCGGAAGAAGTATATTGCTCCAGCCTCAGAATCCCTTTGATGGAGCCCAAGAAAAGCCGTGCCATGTTTTATCAAACGTTTCTAATGGAATCTAATTATAAATCATTCCTGCGGTGCTTCCTTGTCTCCCGTACCCAGGCTCTTATACAGAGCAGCAAATGCAGAGTTTTCAGGTCCCTCTTCCAGAAGCTGTCGCGGAGGTCCAAACTCAAGCAGTTCACCTTTATCAAGCACAGCTACCATATCAAAGTCTTCAAGGGCTGACTGGAGCTTGTGCACAATTGCAATCACTGTGCGATTCTCAAACCGCTCGCGTATAACACGCTGCACAAGCCCATCAACATGCGAGTCAACGCTAGTCATAATGTTAGTATTTGATGCAAAGACGGCAGCAAATGGACGGTTCATAAGCTTACCTGCTGGTAGCTTCATCGAGAATCACAATGGGCGAAGGGCGCAGGATAGCGCGTGCAATGCAGAATAGCTGCTTCTGGCCATGGGAAAGGTGCAGCGTTTCAATAGGCGCATCAAGTCCGCCTTTCTCAGCTATGATGTCCCACAGCTCAACGGCTCTCATGGCGTCTTCAATGGCAGCATCTGAGAGTCCTTGAGCAGGGTCCGCATTCAACCTCACGCTGCTTCCTTCGATGATAAATGCATCTTGAGGCACGCCGACTATTCGAGCGCGAACTTCTTCGCGGGGAAGTGTGCTGATGTCGAGCCCGTCTACGATAATTTGACCACCGTGAAGGTCCACCATGCGGAAAAGACATGAGACCATGGAGCTCTTGCCGCTACGAGTAGATATAGGTCAGCTTGATCATGAATAGTAAATGATGAGAGGATACTTACCTTCCAGTTCGTCCACAAATACCAATTTTCTGACCTGCCTCGATCGATAAGGATATACATTTCAAGACATTTTCAGATGGCCTACAAGCAAACCGGTCAGCAACTGGTTGTGAGTTTTGGGTCACGTTGAACGCACGTGTATCCGGCAGAAACATTGTCGAAAACAATCTGGCCCTTGGACGGCCATATAGACGGCGGCTGCTCCTTTTCCTGCGGCTCATGCTCTGAAGCAGTATCGGATGTGAAGGACTTGATCCTAGATATTGCACCAATGTGTGTCTCCAAGGTCGTCCAGAATGTCATCAGCAGCTTCAAGTGCTGACTAAACTGGATAATGTTGACAAGGGCCACGCCGATCAACCCAGTCGGCAGTACACCTCTCAACTGTGTGACAAGTACCACGACCAGTACAGCAATGACTGTGACAAACAAGTCGAGAACAAGAGTCAGCCATCTCTGAGCGGCGTAGAGAAGATAGAACGGCCTCTGAGACCGATCCAGGAGGTCATGATGCTTCTTCTCGACTGCATCACGCCAGCCAAATGCACGCAGCGTCGCCAGTCCAGCGACAGATTCCGTGAAGAGGGCATACAATGGGCTCTTAGCCTCAAGATCCATGAATCTGAGCTGTCGAGATGTCCGCAGATACGTATGTTGGACCATCCACAAGGCGGCAAACAGAAACGGAAACGCGATGGCTGTGTAGTATGAACCAACAGAGATCAGAACCATCTCAGCGATGCACAGCACGAATGTGGCAAATGTATTGAGCGCTGAGAGAGGCAAGTCCATATCGACGAGCTGCAGATCCTGGCTGAAGCGGTTGATGGTGACGCCAGCATCTGTAGCGGCGAAGAAGGACATGGGCGCGTTGAGTACCGTCTTTAGCAGACTCTGGTGGAAGCTGTTGCCCGACAACGGCACCATGGTGACAATCATCTGCCAAGTGCTGAGGACTAGGAAGATAATCGCCAGTCCACCCAGCATTGCGTAGATGCCCAGGTAGTAGCCCAGCCGTGCGAAAGGGTCTTTTGCGTTGGCAGCTGCCCACCAGTTGAGCCAGATGGTGGGGAAGGACTGGCAGACGATGAAGGCGCAGATAGCAAAGACAAATATCAAGCTTGGAATCCAGCCGATGGCGCGGATGTAGTAGAGGTATATTGCCATGTCGCCAGTGCGACGACCAGCGTCATCTCTGGCTTCATCCGAGAGGATTACTTCTGAATCCACCAACGCATCAACCGAGGGCTCGGTAGAAGTAGAGGAAGCAGTTGCTTGGTTAAACGTCCAGTTCGCAGATGCTACGGCCAAGCGGGACACGTAGTTGTCATCATTGGTCAGTTTATCGAAGTTTCCCTGCTCGCAGCCGATACCAGTGCCATCGAGGCTGATGATGTGGTCTGCATAGGAAAGTCGGTTTGCTGTGACCGAGTTAGCATAAGTATGAGTAAAGACCGATATGGGGCACTGAACGTACCACGAGAAGTCGCCATGACGACGGTTGTATTCAACTGTCGCAGGAGACCTTGAGTGCCGAGTAGGTTGTGGAAGACAGCATTCTCAGTGTGCATATCTAATCCACTGAAGACATCATCCAGGATGATGATCCTCTTTTGTGCGTAGACAGCTCTCGCTAGACTGACTCGTTGGCTCTGGCCGCCGCTGAGGACGATGCCCTTACTCCCTATCGTGCTGAGATCTCCTTTGGGTAGTTGAGCGAGATCTTCCGTCAGAGAACAAGCCTGTAGGACTTTTTGGTACCAACGCTCATCGACGTGCGAGAAGGCGATGATACTATCCCGCACAGTACCGTTCATGTGCCAGGGGGTTTGGTCACAGTAGGCGATTTCTGAATTCATCATTTGGATAGATCCGGCCATGACTGCCACCTCTCCGAGAAATGCTCTGAGGAGAGTTGATTTGCCACTGCCTACTGGCCCCACGACGAGAGTGAGCTTCCCCAGTGGAACCTGGGCAGTGATATCACTGAGGATGGGTTTCTGGGTTGTATCATAACCAAATGCGCCTGTCTTGACAACTATACAGTTGCCGTCCAACGAATTCACAAACAACGAGTCTTTCTGAAGGTTAGGCTCTTTCTCGGATGAAACCGAATCCTTCTCCTGCTCGCTGCGTAAAGACTTGGGGGTCAATGAACGTTCGCTCTTGTTACCATGTGAGATAATTCTGTCGTCAACGCGAATGTCTGTGTTGAGGAAAGCTTGTATACGCGCGAAGCTACCGACGGACCCCATTAGAGAAGACAACGACGTAACAAAGGAAGAAATAGGCTCGTTCAGCAGTGCAAACAGTGATAAAGATGTAAACATGCGGTTTATGTCCAGGTTGTTGTCTCCTCCCCGTGACCGGGCGACAAGACTGTATGTTGCAAAGGTCAGGACTGGAGCAAAGATAGGAGCGAGGTAGGCTATAAGTGTCTCGTAAGTAAACTTTCCATTGAAGCGGTTTAAAACAGGCAAGGTAGGTACTCACCCAAGACCATATTCCAGATTAACAACCTACGGAATTTGCCGGAAATGCGTAGCTCGTCGTTTCGCAGGGCGTGGATATGAGTGCTGAGCACGTCGGTCAGTCCACACATTTTGACACCCTTCATGCTGCCTAGCATCTGCGAGGTAACGGAGATTCTCTTTTCGATGGCCTCTAACCATGCGGCTTGACGAGCCATGACGAAACTGACTGCGATAACAGACCCGACGATGGAGACTAGACGCGTCAGGGGCTGTTCAGTACTTTCCTTCCTCATTCTCATCTATGTATAGATAATGGGTGGACTCACAAATTGCTGCTCCTACAGGAATTAGACATGCAATACCGAGCTGGCGTCCCAACAGGTAAACTGCAATAACAATCTCGACCAAGTTGGCCCAAACGTCATGGGCGGTGCGCCAACCCGTGTCGATTCTCTCAATGTCAGCACTCATCAGAGTCAGGGCTGCGCTGGGGTCAGCAGCTGTGATGCTGATATCTGTAACCTTGTCGAACAGTATCGAGACGAGTTGACCGCGTGCCATGGTGATGGCGCGGTACGTGAGGTGTTGATACTGGCCACTCGTCACCTGTAGCATGAAGCATTAGTGAGATAAACCTGTATCGTCAGAGATGCACGTACTGCTAGACCCATGAACACAAGAAACCATGCGCCTATGAGACCATATCCTTGGTTCATGTCGTCAGAATCACTGTCGTTCTCTGCCCATTCGAGGGTTGCTGAGATGAGGAATGGCTGGCAAAAGGTAAAGCCGATGAAGCACAAACGTGGAAAGATGATGGACAGAGTAGGCCACTTCAAGGTCCTGAGGACCGTAAGCATCAGAGCATGGTTGCCCTTTCTAGATGCTATGCCACTGTCAGTATCTTGTAAGCCAAATGTTATCTGCGGAATTGGCCGGATGACAGACCTTTAGCCCACGCTGTCTGCAAAAGCTGCTGAAGATATAGAGACTTGAAATGTTTTTCGAGGGGAAACAACGTCTCAATCTCCAAGTGTTTAGAATAGCCAGCGCGGAACAGCGGTATCTGCCAAGAGAAGAACCAGTGCGACAAGACGCTACCAGTGACTTCGGGGGGCAAAGCACGGTACTGGGGCCGCAAGAAGCGACGCTTCTCAATTGCCTCAACAGCGAGCATGACAATCTTTATCACGGTCGCGATGAGCGCGGTAATGGCGGCGGGCCGATTGTAGCCTTGGAGCCATAGTGTTCGTGTTCGTGTAGCATCGAAAAGAGCAGAGAAGAGTAGGAAGAGGATGAGCACTGTTGATGGTCGGTATGAATAGACGTGCTCGACGTAGGATAGACACAAGAGGCTGATTGATGTAACGAAAGACAGGGCAGCAGTTGGAAGAGAGGCTTTGGTGGCGACTGCGGAAGGGCGAGTCCACGAGATGAGAAAGCTGATCTGCGATGCTAGGAGAATAAGACATAATGTCGTGAGGCTGTTAGTACATGCGACAAACTAAAGGGCGGGGGACGTAGTCATCAACCAACTCACAATCTTACAGTACAGCCAGCGGCTGCTGTCTACCTTTACTTTGTTCTTGTGCAAGAGGTACAGAACTCGACACGGAGCAGCGAGAAGTACCAAGGCAGTAATGGGTATGGTGAGTATGGACTCCTCAAAAAGCAGTGTGAAGTCGAAACCGCCTCTACAGTCACCAGCATATGGCCCAAAGGAGTCGTCGCACGACAACGAGACCATGATTGTACTTGATGTGCAACCAAAAGTTTACAATCTGTGATCACCATCGAAGTCGTGGAAATATCGAATAAGGTTATCTCATCAACGGGGCATCAATTAATTGCTTACAAGCTAGGTGAGCTGAGAAATCTTCACCGGTCACTAGTCAGCCCCTCTGCAGCTCACCCGAGGAAACGCCCCACAGACTAAAAAACAGGATGAATGAGAAAATGTGGGAAGACAAATATTGTGACAGAGCAACGAGCCACGTCAGACGTGGTGCAAGGGTACATACAGGGTAAGGGAGGAACTCGGCACGGCTCGCCACGGCACGGCGCGCATGGCGGCTATGAGGCCGGTGGAAATGATCCGGCGGCCCGGCCTCAAGTTAACTGCTGCCTGCACGTACTCTACTTCTGAGCTCCGAGACGCCATGATATGATCAATCTGGATCAACAGTAGTTAAATCAGGAACGGAACGGATATGCTAAAGATCGGCGTTTTTTAGGGTAATCTCCCAGGGCCAAGTTCAGCTGACTCCACTGGGGGGCATACAACGGCGATCATAAGCCTAACTGGTGTAGCTAGTGTAGATTGGGTTAGATCAGTGCAACCCAACGGGCGGGGGCTAATGCAAGCACGGCAGCGGCCATTAGGACCATACTCCAGACTAATTGCTTCATTGGCTTTCAAGAAAACTATTATAAAATCCTGTTCTGAGGCTATGCACGGATCTTCCACCACCCGAATACTTGCCTTCCCTTTCAAGCCTGGGATAGCATCACTTTTTTCAGCCTCTCATCTCGAATTCTTTGCTTTTTCTCCCCCCACCTCTATGCATCCCGAGGAGGCATGCTCAGATCATGGAATTAGATAACAAGTTCCACTTCACGACTCGTATTCCAGTTTATGTGGTCTCTTATCCCTGTGGTGTTGCACCAGAATCCATATCGACACGTTACATGCATATGCCGCCCCGTGAGTCATGTCCGCGGCTACACGGATGAATACCGAAGTTCCCTTTGGCAGGCGCTTAAAATTTGAAGGGAGATCTTGTGAACTTTCCAAGAAGAGGACATACGTATTCATTAGTATTTGATACGCCTTTGACTGAATTCGTTTATATCTAGTCGCGATGCCTCATAAATAGGGGCGAAAGTCATTAGTTCAACGAGATTGAAAGCTTACATAAAATGCCAAGTTTGGCGTGAAATACGCAGTGGAATTAAGAAAGACAAAAAAAAAAAAAAAGCTTTTCGTTGTACCTGGCACTACAGCCGCCACATGACCTCACTTCCTGCAAGCCAGAACTCCCTCCTATCATACCCTGTTGACATAGAATTATGCCCGTCATATCATATAGAATGCTTCCTCGTGAGGCCAGCCAATATTCTCCACCTCGCAGCGGAACCGAACTAGTCTGTGCAGAAGGCCCAACGGTCCGCCACCAAGAAGGGATTGAAACAAGCGTGATTCACAGCTGCAGCCCTCCACCAAACGAACAGAACGGCTGCAGGCCGGCTCGTGACTAACTGCCGTTTCTTAGCGCCAAGCTGTATTATGGAGTATCTCGATGCATAATCTAGTTTATTGGTCTTTGCGTGCCATATTTGTCACTCCATCACTTGATGAGTGTGAATCGCGCAATTGAGTGACAAGGATAAATTTGCCAGAACGGTTCCATTCGGATTTTCTGGTTTCTTCTTGGCCAAGCTGCGCCGCCTACGTGCTCTCAACACTGTCTTGGCCGAGTTTGCTCTATCCAGTTGATCGTCGAAGCATCCCGGACTTCATCCGCCTCTAATTTCTCAGTCAAGAAGATAATTCTGTGCTCCATACCATGGCTACATCCGGTCTTTCCGGGTCCCGAAACTTGTTCGTTTATGGTGACACGAGAGAGAAGAGGAAATGAGGAAACAAAACAGAGCAGGAATATTGGAGTTGCCATGGTGTCATTGGTGTAACAGCCTTGTAAGTGGCCAACGGGCGGAGACAACTATCCTGTTGCGGTTCAGAAGCAAGAAAAAGGAGCCAGCATGGCGAAACAGGCTGCATGTCGCTGTAGAGCTGAAAACCAGTCCTCTAATCCGGTATGGCTGGCTGTGTATATCCCTGAATGACCCCTTGAATGTTGTTTCTTCGTAGTAATGTTGCTGGTTTGTAACAAGGATATATCTGCTGTAACATCCATCCGCATAGCTGCAGTCACCTTAAAGAATACTATTGCTGTCGTGACGCAGAAACCTCACATCTTATTCGTTTGATGGTCTACATGTTTCTGTCATACAAGTCCCCAACAGCAAATACTCACCGAATCAATTTGCATACCTAAACAATGGCACCCACTGCTTCTTGCGCCTGTCTCAGGACCGCTGATCAGTCAATGCCGGACCTGGAGCCTACCATGTTCCCGCAGTTCGATCTGGCTGAGGTGACACGTTCTGAGTACCTGGGATATGCCTCCCAGATCGATCACGTCGCACCTGACGATCTGAGCGTCACGTGCACTGCTCTTTGGGCAACATGGGCGATCCTTCTTGGCTGCTTCACCGGGATGGACAATGTGTGCTTCGGCTTTGACAGTCAGCACAACGTTACCGAAACGTCGGGACATGCAGAGCGCATGAGGCAAGCTGTGCATGTTCGTTTGCCTACCAATCAGCGTGTCGAGGAGATTCTCACCGGCAGATCTTCATCGCTGGTTCTGGTACGCGACGACAAGGCCAAAACACTATTCAACACTATTCTATCAATTCAGAGCCTCGACCATGAACCTAGCAACGACGTCGGAGACTTTCCTTCGTGGTGCAAGATTCACATGACGATAGATCCTATGACGCTCGACACTATCTTGACATGGAACCCTTCCTTCATGAGCCGAGATCAAGCAGAGAACGTCAGCAGGACCTTCGAGAAGATTTTCAGGGAAATCATCAACCGCCCTGAGACTCTCGTGTCAAAGATAAACTGGTCCAGTGAGCGAAATGAGCGACAAGTCTTGGCCTGGAACAGCAACCCTATAAGAGATGTGCACAAGTGCATCCACCAAGCCGTGTCAATGCAGGGAGCGTTGAGACCCGATGCAGAGGCCGTTTGCGCTTGGGATGGAAGTCTTTCCTACCAGCAGGTCTTGTCACTATCAGACCGTCTGGCGTGTCACCTGAAAGCCTCGGGCGTTGGACCTGAAGTGTTTGTGCCCCTCTGCTTCGACAAGTCCAAATGGGTTGTTGTTTCCATGCTGGCAGTCCTCAAAGCAGGCGGCATCTTTGTACCCCTCGACCCTGCGCAACCACTGCTTCGTCTACAATCTCTCGCGCAAAAGGTGCAAGCCAAGACTATCTTGTGTTCCCCTCAACACCAATGCATGCTAGTGAGCGTAGCGCCCGAGTTGATCCCCGTCGATGACCAACTATTTACCGAACTACCTGAGAATAGTGACGAGGTCGACTTCGGATCGTGGCGCAACGGAGCCTACATGATATTCACGAGTGGCACAACGGGTGAGCCCAAAGGCGCCCTCATCGAGCATGGAGCCCTCATGTCGAGTGCACTAGCTCACGGTCCTGCAATGATGATGGACTCCAACACGCGATCGTTCCAATTCGCTGCATCTACCTTTGACGTGAGCATCACCGAGATCCTGACCTGCATGATCTTGGGTGGATGTGTCTGCATACCCAGCGAAGACGATCGACTCAATGCAGTTGAGGGGGCCATCACGCAGCTCCGAGCAAACTGGGCGCTGTTAACTCCGACATTCGTCAAGTTCATCAACCCCGCCAATGTCCCGACATTGAAGACACTCGTCACTGGTGGAGAGGCCATGACGCAGGCTGTCATCCGCTCGTGGTCGCACATCAACCTCATCAACTGCTACGGCCCTGCAGAGACGTCTGTTGTTTCACATGTCCATCGAGGAATGGTGCAGGGGACTAATCCGTTGAACATTGGCCACCAGATCGGCATACACTGCTGGATTGTGGATCGGGACAATCACGACCGTCTCATGCCCGTTGGTGCAGTGGGCGAGTTAGTCATCGAAGGCCATACGCTCGCACGCGAGTACTACAAGGAGCCCGAGAAGACGCGCGAAGCCTTTATTGAAGATCCATCGTGGGCAAAGAACCAGCTGTCGCGGACTGGCTCTAGACGAATGTACAAGACGGGCGATCTCGTCAAGTACAACCACGATGGGACATTCCATATTGCCGGCCGCAAAGATGCTCAGATCAAGTTTCACGGGCAACGCATCGAACTCGGAGAGATAGAGCATCACATCAATGCCAGCGCCAGCATCAAGCACGGCATAGTCGTCCTGCCGAGAGAAGGCTTCTGCAATGGCCGACTCTTGGCCATCGTTCAGCTCTGCGATGCTCTCAATCAGGACCTCGTGCCCAACGGCCAGCCCTACAAGCTGATCGACGGCGAGCTAGAAAGTACCATGCAGGAAAAGATCGCAGAGACCAAGGATCTGCTTAGTAAGAGGCTACCTTCGTACATGATACCGTCCATGTGGCTTGCCGTCGAGTTTATCCCTCGTCTCCAATCTGGGAAACTTGACCGGAAGCAAACGGCAGAATGGGTCGATGGCATGAGCGAGGCTCTGTATCGACAGCTCAACCCTGTAGCAGCAGTGGTTCAGCTTTCGGAGGATCTCAAGTGCGAAAGCAAGATTGAGCTGGAGCTACATAAGATCTGGACGTACGTCTTGAACCTGAAGGAAGAGCAGCTTGGTCTTGCACAGTCCTTCCTGAGTGTTGGCGGTGACTCCATCTCCGCGATGCAAGTTATGAGCGAGTGCAAGAAACGTGGCCTCGGCCTGGCAGTCTCGCATATCATCAACTGCAAGTCCATCAGCGCACTGGCACTACAGGTTAAGGATATTGAGAGGCCTGCGCTTCTGCACGAGATAGTTGAAACACCCTTTGACCTCTCGCCTATCCAGAAGCTCTACTTCTCGAGGCCCAACTACGATCAGGGTCATTACAATCAGAGCTTTCTCCTCCGGACGAGCCAACGTATCCATGAGTCAGATCTGCGCAAAGCAATGGAGACTCTTATTTCCAGGCACTCGATGCTCCGTGCGAGGTTCCAGCAGGATGTCAGTGGAGAGTGGCAACAACGCATCACCAACGACGTTACGTCCTCGTACCGACTGCGTGCCTTGAAACTGGCTTCGCAAGAGGACGTCGATCACTTGCTTGTCAATAGCCAGACTTGCCTAGATCCTGTACACGGTCCACTTGTCGCTGCTGATCTTATTGACCGAGGGGCAGAAGAGCAGCTCTTGTTCGTCGTGGCGCATCATCTGGTCATTGACCTTGTCTCATGGAGGATCATCCTCCAAGAGCTCGAGGAGATATTGCTCCGCCCAGAAGCTGTGCGCGATACAGATCGTCCACTCCCGTTTCAGGTCTGGTGCAAGATGCAGTCCGAGCATGCTCAGGCCCAGACCCTAGACCAAGTACTGCCAATCCATGGTATTCCTGACGGAGACGCCGAGTACTGGGGCATGACGAACGTCCCCAATATCTATGGGCAAATGGCTCGTCAAGGCTTTGAAATCGGGCCGTGCCAGACATCTCTCCTTGTATCCAAGTGCCATGACGCCCTACGAACAGAGATCCCGGATGTTCTCATGGCAGCGATGGTCTATTCCTTTGGCCAGATATTCACGGACCGTCCAATCCCAGCCGTGTTTGCAGAAGGCCACGGCAGGGAAGTGTGGGACAGTTCAATCGACTTGTCAAACGTGGTAGGATGGTTCACTACCATTTACCCTGTCTTTGCTGGATCAGATTCGCAGTCCAGCCTCATCGATACCGTCAAGATGATCAAGGACGCAAGGCGCAAAGTTCCCGATAACGGTAGACCTTATTTTGCGAGTCGCTGGCTAACAAAGGAAGGTAGAGAAGCCTTTTCTCGCCACTGGCCTTTGGAGATCACCTTCAACTACCTCGGCCAATACCAGCAACTGGAGCGTGAGGGTGCTCTTTTCACTCCTGAGAGCAATATCGCCGGCGAGATTAGGGAGGCTAGCCAAGGTGCAGACGTCGGGCCTCTGACAGCTTGCATCTCCCTATTCGAGGTGTCCGCCGTCATAGTCAAGGGATCTCTCCGTTTCTCATTTGGATTCAACCAGAACATGAAACACCAACCGCAGATCCGCCAGTGGATTTCCTGCTGCGAGCAGAGTCTTGGCGAAGTCATTACATCTCTGGCCTCAATGGCACCTGAGCCTACTCTAAGCGATTTCCCGCTCCTCTCCCTGACCTACGATCGTCTGAGGGTATTCACAGAGGAGAAGCTGCCCGAGGCTGGGATCACAGACGTGGACTTTATTCAAGACGCCTACCCTTGCTCTCCGATGCAGTCCGGGCTCTTGGTCAGCACCACGAGGGAGAACGCTGCTTACGCTGCCTACACGTTCCACGAGGTCAAGAGCAAGAGCGGCGAGACAGTGGATGTGGTAAAGCTTATCACAGCTTGGAAACGCATGGTTCAGTACCATACTATTCTCAGGACGATCTTCTTGGAGAGCGTGACGTTGGAGGATTCCATCTACGACCAAGTAGTGCTCAAAGAAGTTCAAGTTCCATTCACTGTTTCTGAGAGCGGTACAGACGACGAGGCACTTGCGGCGCTGAAAGTTCCTACGAACCACGGCGATAACGCATCCCGGCTGTTACACCATTTCCACGTCTGTACAGCAAAGAGCGGCAAGGTCTTTTGCAGGTTGGACATCAGTCATGTCATCATGGATGGCACTTCGCTGTCAATCCTCTTCCGCGACCTTGCCCTTGCGTATCAAGGAAGTCTCAAGGCTGAGACAGGCCCGCCGTATCGCGATTACATCAAAGCCTTGCAAAGCCAGCCGGTTCAACCCGGCATCGACTATTGGAAGTCTTATCTGGCTGGTATCGAGCCGTGTCTTTTCCCTGTCCTGGACGATGGGGAAATTGCAGAGGTCAAGGAGCTGAGACACTTGAGGGTCAGGTTCGACGAGGTCGCTGAGTTGCAGAGCCTTTGTGAGCGCCAGGGAGTCACGATTGTCAACGCCATCTATGCTGCCTGGGCAGTCACGTTGCGTTTATACACTGGCTCTGATGAGGTTTGCTTTGGCTATCTGACATCGGCTCGTGATCTGCCGATCGAAGGTATCCGTGATACCGTCGGTCCCATCATCAACATGGTCACATGCCGTGTCAACGTTGACAATACGACCAACTTTGGAGACATCATGAGCTCAGTGCAGAGGGACTATCTCGACAGTCTAGAGTACCGTCACACTCCCCTGGCCCAGGTCCACCACGCACTTCAGCTGTCCGACGCCGTTCTGTTCAACACAGCCTTGTCGTACAGAAAGCTACCGCCAACCCCGCAGACGGACCTTGTTTTCGAGGAATGCTGCCCTACCTATGACCCTGATGAGTACAACGTGTCAGTCAACGTCGAAGCAGGGGAGAGAGACATGGCCATCGACTTGATGTACTGGTCTGATACTCTGTCGGACGGACAGGCTTCCAATGTTGCTAGCACTTTTACAAAGGCGCTCAGCAATATTCTACATCATTGCGACCAGCCCCTTGCTCAGCTCGACCATTTAGGTTCTTGGCATAGCAAACAGATCTGCCGATGGAACCAGCGGATCCCTGAAGCCATTGAATGCTGCATCCATGACCTGTTCAAGCAGCAGGTTGCCTCACGTCCCGACAGCCCCGCGATTGTCTCATGGGACATGGACTTTACCTATGCTGAACTTGATAGCGCCTCCGACAAGCTGGCCCATTACGTCAGTTCTTTAGGCGTCGGCCTGGAGACCTTTGTGATGGTCTGCTTCGAAAAATCTGCATTTGCCATAGTTTCGATGCTGGCCATCCTCAAAGCTGGCGGTGTATGCGTCCCTCTGGACCCAGCACACCCGGATGCGGCGCTTCGACTTCGCGCCGAGGATACAGGGGCTACTATAGCCCTCGTATCTCCCTCAGTAGTGTCCAAGCTCAGCTCCATCGCCAATACAATGGTGGCTGTGGACGCAGATCTACTTCAAACTATCTCAACGGTACTTGAACCACCTCGTCCCCAAGTCACACCTCACAACGCCTGCTTCGTTATTTACACGTCTGGTAGTACAGGGCGCCCCAAGGGTGTAGTGCTAGAGCACAGAGGGATAGCCAGCAACGCCATGTACTCAGGCCCCAAGCTAGGCTACGGCCAAGACTCGAGGGTTTTGCAGTTCGCTTCGTACACCTTCGATAACAGTCTTGCCGAAATTTTCAGCACCATCAGCCTGGGAGGTTGCGTATGCGTACCTTCTGATCATGAGAGGCTGAATGACTTGGCCGGAGCAATTAATAGGTGTAGGGTCACATTAGCTGATATAACACCCACGGTGGCTTGCTTCCTCAAGCCGTCAGAAGTCCCGACCCTGAAGACTCTGGCTCTTGGAGGTGAAGCCGTGACTGTCAAGTGTGTTGGCATCTGGCGCGACTTTGTGTCTCTGCGGTGCTGCTACGGGCCGTCTGAATGCTCTGTCAACTCGACCTACAGTGGCGACATCGCCCAGCCAGGGAAAGCCAGCAACATTGGACGTGCCATTGGTAGCGTCGCTTGGGTAGTCGATGCAACCGATCATAACCTCCTCGTCCCAATTGGTTGCGTAGGCGAGCTCCTCATCGATGGTCCTATCGTGTCTAGAGGCTACCTGAACCTGCCAGAGAAGATGGCACAGTCTTTTGTTCCTCCACCCGCCTGTATCGAGGGAATGACTGAGAACGCCAAACTGGATCGCAAGCTCTACAAGACCGGCGACCTTGTGCGCTACAATTCTGACGGCACCCTTACTTACTTGGGGAGGAAAGATACCCAGGTCAAGCTCAACGGCCAGCGCATTGAACTTGGAGAGATTGAGCACCACATCGAGGAGAATCTTCCCAAGGGCTGGGAATCTGCCGTGGAGCTTATCACATCACAGGGCAGAAAGTTGCTCGCCTGCTTTATTTGTGCTGATGCCGATATTTCCCTCCGAGAAACAAGCGATGAGAGCATGGTACTCGACATGGACCACACTTTCAGATCTCTTGCAAAAGAGCTCGAGATCGTGCTGTTCAATGCAGTTCCTGCCTACATGGTCCCATCCGCGTGGCATCCCGTCTCCAAGATGCCCCTTACTTCGTCAGGCAAGCTGAATCGGCGCAGCCTCAGGGTCTTGGGACAGTCGGTTCCGGCAGCGAAGATGAAGTTGTACAAGCTTGTTCTCAAGAGTGGCAGAGCGCCGTTTAGTGAAGTGGAGAGACAGCTGGCTGCTATGTGGGCTCAGCTGCTGAACATCGACGTGGCGTCTATCGGAGTCCAAGATCACTTCTTCAAGCTTGGAGGAGACTCGATTGGCGCCATGCAACTTGTGACGCTTGCTCGATGCTCCAACATCGACTTGACAGTGGCCGGGGTGTTCCAGAAGCCATCCCTTCTGGATATGGCGGAGTCGGCGGTACCGCTGTCCAAGGCCCCAACCACGACATATCGGCCCTTCTCGTTGTTGTCTGACGAGTGTTCGGTCGATGCGTTGCGGCAAACTGTTGCTGACTCTACTCGTATCGAGGTCGGTGATGTTCAAGATATCTATCCTTGTTCCGCATTGCAAGAGGGTCTCATGGCTCTCTCGACTAAGGAGCCTGGAGCTTATGTGGCCCAACTCATCTATCGATTGCCAGCCGACATAGACACTATTAGGTTCCAGAAGGCTTGGAACATCGTGGTGGAGGCTGAGCCAACCCTGCGAACGAGGATCGTTCATACAGAAGATTCTGGGTTCGTGCAGGTCGTTATCGCCGGGGATATACCCCAATGGTCCACCTTTGCCAGCCTCTCTGATGCCGATACGACTCGACGCCAGCTTCCGCTGCATAATGGTGCGAGATTGACCAACTACGGTCTCGTTGACGATGGATCTACAGGCAAATGCTTTGTCTGGACTATCCATCATTCCATCTATGATGGCTGGTGTCTTCCTCTCATCCTCGACAAGGTCAAGCGATGCTACCATGACGATTTGAGTTCCACGCAACTCAAGGGCCCCGACTACTCCAACTTTATCAAGTACCTTACAGATCTGGACCCGAATCAAGACACCGACTTCTGGAAGTCCTATCTTTCCAATATGTCCGCCCAGCACTTCCCACGTCTTCCCAACGCCGATTACCAGTGTTCCGCAACGAGCCTGATGATTCACAAGGCAACATTGGCGAGCACATCGGGATCAGAGATCACTGCCGCTACTAGAATCCGCACAGCCTGGGCGATGGCGGTCTCTACCTACTCCGGAACCAGCGACGTCGTCTTCTGGGAAACCATGACGGGACGCGATGCTCCTGTGGTTGGAATCGAGGAAATGGCGGGCATCACGTTGGCGACTGTACCAACACGTGTAGTTACTGAGCCCTCAAAAACCGTTGCTGAACTCCTTGCCTCTGTGCAGGATCGCTCAGCAGCTGTGAGAAGGCATCAATTCGCTGGCATCCAGTCCATCAGGAACATCAGCGCTGATACGGCCCTTGCTTGCGGCGCTCAGAACCTCTTGGCCATCAACTATGGACCTAGAGAGTCGACGGATGCTTTTTGGTGCGAGCATTCTAATGAGATGGCTGGTACTAATTTCTACTCGTCATACCCGCTCATGCTCTCGTGCCACTTTGCAGATGGTGAGCTAGAGACTGTCGTGCATTTTGATCAGAACGTCATACCTGAGCCTCAAATGCAACGCATCATGGATCACTTTGCACTCATGTTGGAGTCCGTTTCATCTTCTGAGCTGTTGGATGAGAAACTTGGAGATATACCTTTATTGAGCTCTAACGACTATCAGACGATGCAGGATATGAACCGTACTCCGCCTCCCGCCTTCGAGGGGCTTATCCACGACGCTATCAGGTATCAGACATTAGCCCAAGTACAAGACAAACTCGCTGTCTTGTCGTGGGACCAGAATCTCACATACGCGGACCTGGACTCTCAATCTACACGTCTTGCTGGTGTTATGATCGAAAATGGCGTTTCAGTGCATTCTATCGTTCCTTTCTGCATGGATAAGTCATCTCTGGTCGTCGTCTCCATCCTGGCCATCCTCAAATCGGGTGCTGCCTTTGTGCCACTTGATCCGGCGCACCCCGACGCTCGTATCGAGAGTATTCTGGCCGACACTGGGGCCACAGTCGTCCTCTCGTCCGACCAGCATGCTGAGCGCTTGATGAAGCTCGGATCGCAAGTCATCTCCGTCTCGCAAGCTTTGGCAGACGATAGTGCCCTGGGTAAAGACGACCCAGCCAAGCGCGCAGCTCCATCCTTATCTGCCAACAGTCCAGCTTACATCATTTTCACCTCCGGCACAACTGGAAAGCCCAAGGGAACCATTGTTGACCACTCAGCATTCTGCACTGGTGCGTATGCACACGGTCAAGCCATGGGCATGACAGAATCGTCGCGCGTCATGCAATTTGCCTCCTATACATTTGACGCCAGTATCATGGAGATCCTCACCACGCTTATTCATGGCGGCACAGTTTGTGTGCCAAGTACCGAAGAGCGTCTCCACGATCTCGCGGGCGCTATGAACCGAATGCGTGTCAACTGGGCTCTGTTAACGCCTTCGGTAGCCCAGCTGCTTCAGCCATCGCATGTCCCTGGTCTCGAAACACTGGTGCTCGGAGGTGAGGCCATGTCCTCTGTCCATATCTCTTCGTGGGCGTCGTCTGTTCGTCTTATGAACGCTTATGGACCCAGTGAAACTGCCGTGGTAGCTGCTGTGAACCCCAGTGTTACGCTGGATTCTTCTCCCTCGAATATTGGTCATGCAGTGGGTGGTATCTGCTGGGTCACTGATGCCGCCAACCATGACAGACTCATGCCTGTCGGCGCTGTTGGCGAGCTCGTGATAGAAGGCGCCATCCTTGCTGAAGGGTATCTGAATGACCCCGCGAGAACGGCAGAATCCTTCATCACCAATCCCAAGTGGTGTCAACAGTTCCCAACCGCGGCTGCAGGCATAGAACGCAAGTTTTACAAGACGGGAGACTTGGTCAAGCTTACTGAGCATGGGATTGAGTTCCATGGACGCAAGGATGATCAAGTCAAAGTCAACGGTCAGAGAATCGAGTTATCTGAGATTGAACATCATCTGAGCGCGGACCCTGCCGTCGAGTCGTGTCTGGCGGCTGTTCCAGCTTCCGGCCCCTTCAAAGCCCGCCTGGTAGCCATCCTATCCCCCAACTCTCTTGCTGTCATCAGGGGAGAAATGACGGGAGATGAAGAGATGCAGATCGTGCACAAATATGCTCCATCCCTATTGGTGGGCATTCGTGAGGGTCTTGCAAGGCATCTGACATCATACATGATTCCATCTCTGTGGATTGTCGTGAAACATGTTCCCCTCCTCCCCTCTGGCAAGCTTGACCGTAGGCGTGCCGTGCGATGGGTCGAGGACATGACTTTTGAACAATACCATCTCGTTCTTGATGCGCAGGAAGAGGCGTCCGCTCTGGATAGAGAACCATCGGAAGTGGAGATCAAGCTTAGGGCTGCTTGGTCCAAGGCTCTCAATCTCAAGGTCGACATGGTCCCGTTCAAACAGTCTTTTATCCACCTCGGCGGTGATTCGATATCCGCCATGAAGCTGATGGCCATTTGCCGCTCCTCCAACATAGCTGTAACTGTCAGCCAGATCATGCGAGCCAAGTCCATCATCGACCTTGCCTCTACTGTCACGAACGTCGAGGACGTCACGTATGATGAAGAACAACTGGAGAAACCTTTTGAACTCTCACCTATTCAAAAGGTTTACTTTGAGAGTATCGGCCTGGGTTCTCACCACTTCAACCAGAGCATGACTCTGGCTACCACCCGCAACATCACCTCACAGGAGCTGTCGAATGCGTTGCACTGTATCGTCAAGATGCATAGCATGATGCGTGCTCGTTTTTCGCAGGTCGATGGCAACTGGACCCAGCGGGTTACCAGCGATATAGCTGGCTCCTATACCCTCCGTTCACACGGCATGGTTGACGAGAAGCGTCTCTTGGAGTTGGTCTTGGAGAGTCAGACTACCCTAAACATTATTGATGGACCGATATTTGCTGCCGACATGTTTGAGATGGAGGGAACTGGCAACCAGATCGTCACATTCGTGGCTCATCACCTGATTGTCGATGTCGTGTCTTGGAACATCATCCTACAGGATCTAGAAGGGCTTTTGTCAGCATCTCTCCACAGCCCAGCGAAACCATTCTCCTTCCAGACTTGGAGTTCCAAACAACACGAAGAAGCTCGGAAGGCTTCACTGGAGCGTTCATTCCACGACATTCCAGTCCCTCTACAGGATCACCGATATTGGGGAATGGAAGGCGTACCAAATCTCCATGGCGACTCAGTCACAGAAACTATGACGATGCCCACTGGCACATCATCCCTGCTCTCAGGTAGCAGTCATAATGTTGTTGACGTCTTGCTAGCATCACTGTTAGCATCCTTCCGCCAAACCTTTCCAGACCGGTCTTCGATACCCCCCATATTCAACGAGGGTCATGGAAGAGAGCCTCCCGATGACATTGTGGATCTATCACGCACCGTTGGATGGTTCACCACTCTCTGTCCTGTCTTTGTACCCGAGGTCATTCCCGCTGAACACGATATCCTCGATGTAGTGTGCTGGATACGGGACTTTCGGAGAAAGCTTCCCGGCAACGGTCGACCGTACTTTGCTCATAGCATGTTACCTGACTCGAAGCCCCAGATCGAATTCCCAGTGGAAATTGCCTTCAATTTCCTTGGCCATATACAGGACTTTGGAACGGAGGACTCCGTGTTCAAATCTGTCGATGGAAACATGTTGAACTCTTTGAGCTCGCAATCTGACATTGGGGCCAACATCCCACGATTAGCCCTCATCGAGATTTCTGCCTCTTTCACTAACGAAGGGCTGACCTTTGACTTTTCCTTCAACCGCCACATGCACAACCAGTCATCTATCAGCAGATGGACTCAGAGCTGTAGGGACTATATACACCGAGCAGCCCAAAGGTTATCCCAGGTTACACGAGAGCCATCCCCGGATCTGTCTCTGCTTCCTCTGGCCTTCAAGAAGGAGTCCCAGGTAAAACAGAGTCTCGATGAGGTGGGCATCACTCTTGACAATGTTGAAGCAGTATATCCATGCTCCTCGGTTCAGCAGGGCATCCTCTTGTCCCAGATCAAGGACCCTGGATACTACTCTTACTCGATCACATTTTCGGTTACATCCATACGACCAGGCGATGTGATCGACGTAAAGCGGCTATCAGACGCGTGGAAGCGCGTGGTCCATCGCCATTCTACGCTTCGGACCGCCTTTATGGACAGTCTGCTAAAGGAGGGCGCTATAAGTCAGGTTGTTCTAAGGAACCACGATATCAATGTTTGTATCATCGAATGTCCCGCCACAGAGGTAGACCAGAGGCTCAGTGCACATTCACCACTCGGCCTTCCTACAAACCACCCACCTCACCGTCTCACAATCTTCAACACCGCAGAGGATACAGTGCTGTGTATTCTTGAAATGAGTCATGCCATCTCCGATGGAACCTCTATGCCTATTCTGTTCCGCGACCTTGGCTTGGCGTACGAGGGCAGCCTGGATACTGCCAACCTTGCAGTTTACAGGGACTACGTCTCCTTACAGCAAAGCGGGGGCTCTCAGGACGCCAAGTACTGGAAAGAGTATTTGGACGGAGCTGAGCCTTGTTGTCTGCCTCTGCTAACTGACGGAGCTACAGGGCCCAGGACTCTTCGAACTCTTGCTCAAGGTATCTCGCATGCTGCCGAGTTTCAAGCGCTCTGCACCGAAAGAGGTATCACTCTATCCAACCTGCTACAACTGGCTTGGGCACTGGTCCTCCAAGCATACACAGGCCTTGACGATGTTTGTTTCGGTTATCTCGTCGCTGACAGAGACGTTCCCGTCAGTGGCATTGACGAGGCAATTGGCGTATTTATCACTATGCTCGTCTGCCGTGTCCGCCTCGATCCATTCGCCAGCCTCGGCATTGTTCTTCAAGCCATTCAGGAGGACCTCGCCACGGCTATGAACTATAAGAATATCTCGCTTACCAGCTTCCAGCACGCCGTGGGTATCTCCAACGAGCCTCTCTTCAACACCGCCTATTCTTTCCAGCGTAGATCAGTCTCCAAGGATATGGCAGCCGGCGCCATTTCGTTCGACGTCAAAGATGCACGGGACCCTAGCGAATACGACATGACTGTCAACGTCGAAGTCTGGGACTCTAATGTCGAGCTTCAGTTATGTTACTGGCAAGACAAAGTCTCAGACGCGCAGGCCGCCAACATTGCTTCTACATTCGACCAGGTCCTTTCCTCAATGGCGCGATGCGACACGGCAATTCCGGTAGGCCAACTGAACATTCTCAGTGACCATGGTAGACAGCAGTTGATGTCGTGGAACAACGCCGAGCCCGAGGTGTTGAACGAATGTGTGCACCACGTCTTTGAGCACAACTGTCAACGACTAGCTGACCATACACCCGCTATCGACGCATGGGATGCCACCTTTACCTACCCTGAACTTGATGCAGCGGCTTCGCGATTTGCTCAGTACCTCGTCTTTCTCGGCGTCGGGCCCGAGATGTATATCCCGCTCTGTTTCGAAAAGTCAGCATGGACCGTCGTTGCCATGATGGCAGTCCTGAAGGCCGGCGGCGCCTTTGTTCCTCTGGACCCTACTCATCCGCCCGATCGTATCAGGTTCTTGGTTAGAAATGTTGACGCCAAGCTCATCGTCTGCTCGACGTCCTTGAAGGCCAAATTCGACAGCCTGGACCTACCGGCTATGCCTCTTGGCAAGGAGACCATGTCTTTGCTTCCCCCTGTGTTGCCGGACTCGCCCAGGATCACTGTTCGGCCAGACAATGCTGCCTACATCATCTTTACCTCGGGAACGACAGGTGTTCCCAAGGGTACGATAATCGAGCATGCATCCTTCACCACTGGAGGCACCGCTCACACCAACGCTATCATGATGACACCGACCTCTCGTGTGCTGCAATTTGCGTCGCATACTTTCGATGCCAGCGTCATGGAGATCCTGTCCACCCTGTTAGTGGGCGGCTGTATCTGTATCCCCAGCGACCAAGACCGCATGAACGACTTGTCAGGTGCCATTAACAAGTTTGACGTGAACTGGACTCTGCTTACGCCATCTGTCGCGAGTGTTCTCAAGCCGGGCAGTCTTCCTACTCTCAAGGTCCTCGTCACCGGCGGCGAAGCCATGTCAAGAGACCACATTACGAAATGGGCTGGCCACGCCGCTCTGATCAACGCTTACGGCCCCAGTGAGACATCTGTGATCGCCGCAACGAGCACGAAGGTTGATCATGACGGAAGCATCCTCAACAGTGACCCCGCTACTATCGGTAATGCTGTTGGTAGTCGTTGCTGGGTTGTCGATGGGCGAAACCACAATCGCCTTATGCCAGTCGGCAGCATCGGTGAACTACTCGTGGAAGGGCCCATTGTATCCAGAGGCTATCTTGGCAACCAGACAAAGACAAAGGAGGCATTCATCGAACCTCCATCATGGCGTCAAGGCATGAAGCTTGAGGGAGATGGCATAGGTCGTCTGTACAAGACTGGTGATCTGGTCATGTACAACTCGGATGGATCTCTCAAGTACGTGTCGCGCAAGGACACACAGATCAAACTCAATGGACAACGTATCGAGCTTGGCGAGATCGAGTATCATGCTCAAGCCAACGTACCAAACCACATTCAAGCCGCTGTTGATATAGTTGTTCCGCAGAGCAAGACGTTGACCAAGGCACTAGCCGTCTTCTTTACCAGCGACGATGATGTCGAGGATAGTTTTACCCACGATGTCGACCCACTTCTAGCAAGCATGTCGAGTGCTTCAACTGAACTTGCCCAGTCTCTCAAGTCTGCCCTCAGGAATGCTCTACCATCGTACATGGTCCCTACCATCTACATCCCACTGTCAAAGATGCCATTAACCTTGGCTGGGAAACTCGATCGCCAGAGACTCAAGGTTATTGCCAAGTCTATACCACCTCAGCTCATGGCTTCCTATAAACTCTCTGGGACGGCTCGAACCGGAAACCTCCCTACTACGGCGATGCAGCGCAAGCTACAGAAGGCCTGGGCCACAGTCTTGGACATTCCTATCGGCCAGATCAGCAAAGACGATAGCTTCTTCAGACTCGGTGGTGATTCAGTCGACGCCATGAAGCTCGTTGCGGCGGCCGGGACGGAAGGCGTTGCCATCACCGTCATGGCCATCTTCAACAACCCTGTCTTGTCAGACATGGCAATGTCATGCAAACACTCGGACGAAACTCCCGTCTCAATCGTAGACACGTTTTCGCTTCTCTCAGACGTTGAAGACCCTTCGTTGCTTCTGCACGAGGTTGCAGGTCGGTGCGGCGTCCAAAAGAGCCAGATCCTGGATGTCTACCCTTGTAGCTCTCTCCAAGAAGGTCTTGTTGCTTCATCCTTGCATCAGCCAGGCGCATATGTTGCTACATATGTTTTCGAACTTCCCTTGGACATCTCCATCGATCGTTTCAAGCTGGCCTGGCAGAGTACCGTTGATCGAGTGGACATTTTGAGAACGCGTATCGTGAACACCCTCTCACTTAAGTCCTACCAAGCTGTCCTTGCGCCCCACGAAATCGAGTGGGAGAATCATGACGATCTCGAGTCTGCCACTACCAAGGCTGGATCGGTACCTGAGCACAACGGAGGAGCTTTAGCCCGCTACAGTATCGTTAGCTCGCCTTGTGATGGGTCTTGCCACTTTGTATGGGTCATCCACCACGCGCTATACGATGCGTGGAGTATGCCCTCTCTACTCAAGGTAGTATCTCAGTTCTACCATGGAGATACTGCCCATGAGCCCGTGGTCGAATACGCCAACTTTATCAAGTACCTAGCCGACGTTGACGCTGAAGCCTCTGACGACTTTTGGAGAGCTAGGTTCCTAGAAGCCTCCTCCGTATCTCATTTCCCCAAAGTCTCTTCTGCACCAGCCGCGCAATCATGTCATGAATCTTTGACACATACGATGCAGTACAGCAGAAACGGACTTGGAATGGACATAACGATCCCAACAATCGTCCGCGCAGCATGGGCGCTTGTCCTGGGGTCTCAAACTGGATCTGACGATGTCGTCTTCGGCGAGACCCTGTCTGGACGTGACATTGCCCTCGATCATGTACAAGACATTCTTGGACCCACATTAACCACGGTGCCTTCAAGGGTTCAGATCGATCGCAACAGTACCATTGACGACTTGTTGAAGAGTCTTCATGCACGAGCCACACAGGTCATCCCCCATCAGCATGCGGGCCTCCAGCGCATCAGACGTTTAGACGATGCCATAGCAGTCGCCTGTGACTTCCAGAACTTGCTGGTCATACAGTCATCCGACCAAGGAACAGGCCAGAATGACCTGTTGAACCCGATCCAAGACGAGGTGGGTCAGCAAAGTTTCTTCACATATCCCCTTGTTGTCGAATGCTCCATCGAGGCGCACGAGCTCGTCTTGACAATTCACCACGACAACAAGGTCATTTCGAGTTGGCAGACGCAACTCATCGCCCGGCAGTTCGAGACGCTGGTAGAACAACTCATGGATCTATCGCTTCGGCAACCTACTCGTAAGGTATCGGAACTTCGGCTCTATGGCCAAGAGGACGTGGAGATGATCAGAGGATGGAACAGCCGAGTTCTTGAGACTTCAGAAGAGAGCATTCCCGACTTGTTCTGGCAGTCAGTAGCAACCAATGGTAACGACACCGCCATTCACGCCTGGGACGGTCAACTCAGCTACGATGATCTTGCTCAACACGCCTCGCACCTCGCCATGATACTCGTGCAAAAGGGTGTACGTGCTAATGAGCTAGTTCCATGCTGTATGGATAAATCTCTCTGGACGACAGTCTCGATGCTCGCTGTGATACTCGCCGGCGGCGCCATCGTTTCCTTGGACCCTGCGCACCCTTCTGCGCGCCATGCCGAGATCACCCGCGACTGCAAGGCCCGTGTTGCGTTGTGCACTCCGCAATATTCAGAGCGCTTTCAGGGCATTGTCGAGTCTGTTGTCTTGATCGAGGCTGAGCTTTTCACTATGCAGCTACCTTGTCAACATGTTTCTGTGCATGATCTGCCAGCCGTCGCACCTCGAGATGCCGCGTTTGTCATCTATACCTCCGGCAGTACCGGAAAGCCGAAAGGAGTTGTCATTGAACATGGTTCGTTTGTAACAAGCTCGAGGGCTTTCATGAAACGCATGAACATGAATCCAGCTTCGGGCGTACTCCATTTTGCGTCCTATGCATTCGACATCGCAATGGGAGAGACGTTCGCTCCACTCACCATTGGTGCCTGTGTCTGCGTTCCCAGCGAGGACATGAGGATGACCGATCTTGCCGGTTCCATGAACACCCTCGGGGTCACTTGGGCATTCCTAACCCCCTCACTCGCAAATCTACAGGACCCCTCCAAGTTCAAGACACTGCAGACACTGATCTGTGGAGGCGAGACTCTGACCACCGAAACGATCAGTGCCTGGGGAGACAAGGTCGAGCTGATGAATGGCTACGGGCCAGCTGAGTGTACCATGTTTGCGGCTGCAAACAGTTCTGTTTCTACTACCAAGGACCCCGCGAATATCGGCCACGCCATGGACGGTAACCACACTTGGGTCGTCGATCCGAGAGATCACAACTGCCTTGTCCCTGTGGGATGTGTAGGAGAGCTTCTCATCAGCGGTCCCATTGTGACCCGCGGGTATTTGAACGACAGGGATCGGACGGCTGCATCGTTCATCGAGGACCCAGGATGGATGTACCTTTTCACGAGCGAGCCCGTGCGTCTGTACAAGACTGGCGACTTGGTCAGATATTGTCCTGATGGGTCTCTCGACTATCTAGGGCGCAAGGATCACCAGGTCAAGCTCCATGGCCAGCGTATGGAGCTTGGTGAGATTGAGGCTCGCCTTGAGTCTGACCCTCGCATTCGCCAGGTATTCGTCAATCTACCACAATCTGGCATCTTCAAGGGTCGACTGGTAGCCATTACTTCTTTCCAAGATCCCTTACCCACCGAATCATCCCTTGCCACGTCTGGCTTTTTCCCTATTCCCGAATCTGCCATGGATGCTGCCCGAAGACAGACCCGCGCGCTCCAACACGATCTGGCCGAGACGCTTCCACCTTATATGATTCCGTCAGTTTGGCTCGCGGTGCAAGCCATTCCACTCTTACTATCAGGCAAGCTCGACAGAGCGAGTGCGAGCAGTTGGCTTGCTGATGCAGATGTGGACTTTTGCAAGATCACCGTCGACTTGGATCACGGCCAAGATGCTGTGGATGCGGTAATGACACCAGCTAGCCAGCAGCTCAGGCGTATCTGGGCGTCGGTCCTCAACATTTCAGAGACGGAAACGCCTCTAAACCGTTCTCTTATTTCTCTCGGCGGCGACTCCATCATGGCAATCCAAATACTTACCCGCTGTCACGACCAATCGATTGCATTGACTATGCAGGACATCATGAGCGCCAAGGGAATTTCGGAGTTAGCTACTGTCGTCGCCGCCAAAGAACACCAAGTGCTTGGCTACTACGAGGAAGATGACGATCAAGCATTCGAGCTGTCCCCAATCCAACGCCTCTTCTTCAACAACAGCGCCAACACGGACCGTGGAGATCGTCTCAACCAGAGCCAACTCTTGTCCATCAGCAGGCCTGTCGACACATCTAGCCTCCAAAACGCTCTTGATGCTATTGTTGAGAGACATCCGATGCTTCGCGCGCGGTTCAACAAATCGTCTGATAGGGAGTGGACACAGCACATCTTCTCACATGTCCAAGGTTCATATGGCTTTCAACACCACGAGGTCGCTGCAGAACCTGACATGATTCCAACTGTAGCCGCCAGCCAAAGAAGCATTGATGTTTCTGGTCCTGTTTTCGCGGTCGACCTATTTATACTGTCTGATGGCTCTCAAATACTGTCACTGGTAGCTCATCATCTGGTCGTCGATATCGTTTCTTGGATTAATATCATCCACGACCTCGAGGCACTACTGACCTCTACCTATTCACCACCCTCCAAGCCCCTCTCGTTCCGCAGATGGAATGCTCTACAGATCGAACACTCAAAGTCTCTCGACAGTGGTGAAGCCCTTATACCATTTGCTATACAACCTGCCGACTTGGATTTCTGGGGCATGTCAAAGACTGCCAACGTCTACGGAGACACGAAGCAAAAGTCCTTCGTCATCACAGAGACTGATGTTATCTCCTCCATACTGGGTGACTCGCACAGAGCCTTCAAGACTGAACCCCTAGATCTATTCATCACGGCAATTCTCAAATCCTTTGCACAGAGCTTCGTCGAGCGGGAGCTCCCAACACTGTTCAACGAAGGGCATGGCCGCGAACCTTGGGATCAAACGATTGACCCATCGCAGACAGTCGGATGGTTCACCTCGCTCTGCCCTGTACACGTATCACGACAGAGTCTCGATCACGGCGATGACATTGACCATGTTCGGAGGGTGAAAGATGTGCGCCGCAGCGTACCTAGCAATGGCCGCCCGTACTTTGCCCATCGCTACCTCACCGAGTCAGGCAATGACGAACCAATGGAGATTTTGCTCAATTATCTCGGTCGCACTCAACAATCAGGCCACGGCAATTCTCTCCTTAGCACGCTTGACTTTCCATTCACGGAGCAAGACACTCTCGCTATTTCCGACGTCGCGCCTGAGACCTGCCGTCTAGCTCTCTTTGAGATTTCTATATCTGTACTTGATGAGGGCATTGTCTTCACCTTGATGTATAATCAACACATGCTTCGTCAAGACGGTATCGAGACATGGGTGTCCAACTGTAAGGAGATTCTCATCAATACTACGAGAAAGCTTGCCGAGACCCCTTCTGCCCCCACACTCAGCGACTTTCCTCTCTTGCCCATCAGCTACGCGGATCTGCACGAGATCATCACTACACATCTTCCCAATGCTCATGTTTCGTTTGACATGGTCGAGGATATATACCCATGCTCCCCTATGCAGACGGGCATATTGCTCAGCCAACTCCTAGATCCATCGCAGTATCTGTTCCACGTTGTTCTTCAAGTTACTCTCCTTGACGGCTCAGTGGTCGATACTGCGAAACTCGTCCATGCTTGTCACAAAGTCATTGAGCGTCATCCAGCATTGAGAACCATCTTTATTGATAGTCTGCGTCAAGGCGGCTCATTCGATCAGGTCGTGCTGCGGCCGTCTGAGTCTCGCATCAGCACGATCAAGTGTCGGGAGATCGACGTCATGGCCGAGCTAAATTGCAGGTCCCTCGGCGAGACTAATAAGAGACACGATGGCCCTATGCTCCCCTATCAGATCACCATCTGCGAAACACCACAAGGAAAGGTTTTCATGAAGCTTGAACTGAACCACGCAGTTACCGACGGTGCTTCGACATCAGTCCTCCTCCGAGATATCTCCAACGCATACACCAACAGCTTGCCTCCAACTCGAGCCCCTTCCTACAAGGAATACATCAAATACATCTCCAACCAATCCACCGCATCCAGTCTTGACTTTTGGAAAGGCTACCTCTCGGGATCACAATACACCGCGTTCCCTACAATCAACCCCGACCTAACGGCTTACCGCCGCCTAAAGTCTGTTGCTGTCCACTTCGATCGTTTCCCAGAGCTACAATCGCTTGGTTCCAAACTCGGGGTGACATTCTCCAACATAGTCATGGTGGCATGGGCTCTGCTGCTCGGAGCCTACACAGACCGCCATGATGTGTGCTTTGGCTATCTAGCGTCTGGACGTGATGCCCGTATCGATGGCGTTGAAGGCATTGTCGGTCCTCTCATCAACATGCTCGTATTCCGCTTCCAGTTTACGCCCGAGACGCTTCTCAAGACACTCTTCCACAGTGCTCGACATGACTACATGGCCAGTCTACCTCACCAGCATTTCTCTCTATCTCGTGTTAGCCATGCCTTGGGCCAAGCCAAACGGGGCTTCTTCAACACAGCGGTGTCCATCCAAAACGCCGGTGTATCAAGTGTCTCCGAGCCCAACTCGCTCACCTACGAAGCTGTTGAAGCCTATGACCCAAGCGAGTACGCCGTCACGCTCAACGCCAATACTACACGAGGTGACGAAGGCATTGTCTTCCGTTACTGGACCAATATACTTTCAAGCTCGCAGGCCCAGGACCTCGCTGTGAACATGTCCGAGCTACTAAACGATTTTATCGATCACAGCGAGAGCACTCTGGTCCGCCTTCGACTATTACAGAGCTCACCAGTGGCTCGCAGCACATACACGCAATCACCCGAGATTGACGGCTCGACGTCCGAACATGACGATACAAACAACCAACCCAAAACACACAGCTCGGGAATCAGTGCATCTTCGACTTTGATTGACGTTGGCGACGCAGCCTCCATGTCGTCCAACATGTGTAACTCATTCTCCCGCGACAGGAAGCATCTCCACAACAAGCTGTCCGCATTATGGAGAGACAGTCTCGAGTATGAGGGTTGTGCAATCTTACCTACTGATAATTTCTTCGAATCCGGCGGTGACTCGATTATCGCCATGTCCATGGTCGGCAATGCCAGAGACCTGGACTTGCCGCTCACTGTGGCCGATATCTTTAAGAATCCGGAATTCGGTTCCTTGTTGGATTGCCTCAACGACAAGTCATACAAGGATAGTGACAGGGCTTCTAGCTATGACCACGTGGATATCTCGACCTCTAAGAAGGAAAATTGTAACACCAGTGAACAGCTCTACAAGCCCCTCTGCATGCTTGACACAGATGATGCTGAACAATTCGTTCGAAGTCACATCTGCCCTGTCGTCGGCGTGTCCCGAGCCAGCATTATCGACGTCCTCCCGACTACCGACTTTCAAGACCAGGCCATTCATGGAAGCCTTCTCAAGTCACGATGGCAGCTCAACTACTTCCATCTGGATTCTTCAGGCGCGCTTGACATATCTCTCCTTCGAGAAAGCATCACCAATGTTGTTGCAGCCTACGACATCTTGCGCACCGTCTTTGTCTATCATCAAGGCCGTTACTTGCAGGTCGTCCTCCGACAGGTCCAACCCACTCTCATTGTCGAAGACGTTGAGAGCATAGATAAATTTACTTCAGAGCTTGGATTAGCCCATCAGCACGCGGTTCAGCATCCTCAGGAACCCTCCCTCCGCTTCATAGTAGCGCGACACAAGTCGTCAGAACGACATCGAATCTTTATCAGGATATCCCACGCGCAGTATGACGGCTTGAGCTTCCCAACTATCCTACAGAGTCTGAAGGCTTCATTTGAGGGAGAGCCTATCCATCCCACACCGTCGTACGCAAGTTACATCCAGAGGGTGTTGGGGACGAACAAGCAAGGATGCTACGCGTACTGGAGAGCCCTTCTGAAGGGTTCTACCCCCACCAACGTCATACAACGACAGCATACATCTTTACAAACAAACCCTACCCAGGTCTTGAGAAAGATCGTTTCTACACCGTCGCTTGCGTCAGTCAACATCACAACCTCTACTGTCATCAAGGCTGCCTGGGCCTCGGCATTGGCAAGAGTCACAGGGAAGACGGACGTCGTTTTCGGAAACATTATCAGCGGACGCAATGGCAGCAATGTGCCCGGCATCGAAAGCGTTGTCGGCCCCTGTCTGAACGTTGTTCCCGTACGTGTTCGCCACCAACCCTCTTGGACCGTTCTAGATCTCCTTCGATACATCCAGAGCCAGCAGGTCGACAATATGCCGTATGAGACACTGGGCTTCCGGGAGATCATCAACAAGTGCACTGAGTGGGATGATGATGGAGCCAATGGCTTTCCTACTGTTGTTCAGCATCAGAGTATGCCGCGGACAGAGAGTTTCGCAATGGGGGGGAACACGTACCAAGTTGGTGTGATGGGTTCGCAGGAAGACTGCGCTGACCTGAGTGTTGTGACGACGCCTCAAGATGTCAACAGCACTGAAGTTTGTTTGGTTTACAATTGGGATGGAGCTATAAGCAAGGACTTCGCAGAGCAGATGTTTGACTTTCTTTGCGATAGGATTTCGGTCTTTTCAAAGGATCCTTATGCTCTATTGTAGTATTCTAGTGTATCATGTATTAGGTTTCCTTTTTTTTTTTTTTTTGTTGGTTAGTCTCAGTCTCTCTTTTATGTACACAACATGCAGTGCAATCCTCAGGCTAGTGTAGAGCCATTCTGTGTCTCTCACAGCCGTGACTGTTTCATTGATGCTCTGGATTAATTAACTAATTATACAGAGTTCTTTACTGCAAATTTGCTTTTCCAGGCTCCCCAGCCCAAGCTCGCCGCAGTAGTTCAAAAACCCATTTGAACTCCAGAGGTCGCGGGTTGGGGTATTGGTTACTTGTGGCAATCTGAGCTGCTCTCTCAATGTCACTTTCTTTCATTCCCAAGTCCCTCAACCCGTGGGGTACTGGCAGCTTTCTCAGGAGTAATTCCAATCCCTTTGAAGCATCTCCATCACTTCCAGGCAGAACAGCGGCTAACTTGGCCATCTGTTCAGGGATACAGGGCGCATTATAAGACAAGGAATGAGGAAGCATAACAGTGTGCGTTTCAGCATGAGAAAGTCCGAACGATCCACCGAGCACATGGCATATCTTGTGATGGAGTCCCATTGATGAGTTGCCTAGGACTGTGCCACACAGCCATGCACCATATAGAGCCTGATCCCGAGGAGCCTTAGAATCGGGGCTTTCGACAATTTGAGGCAGAGCCTCAGCCAATGATTTTATGCCCTCAAGGGCTAGTATCGAGGTGATGGGGTTGGCATTTGGGGCGTAGAGTGCCTCGATTGCGTGGGCGATGGCGTTGATTCCAGATGTGCTACAGATTATGGGCGGCAGGGTTATGGTCAAGTCCACATCATAGATGACCACAGCAGGCAGGATCTTAGGGTCGGATCGAGTAGTCTTGCTGCCGTTTTGCGTTTCTCCGAGAATAGGAGTCATTTCCGAACCTGAATAAGTCGTTGGAATGCTGATGTGAGGTAGGCCTGATCGGATGGAGATGGCCTTTCCGAGTCCAATTACCGAGCCTCCGCCGACGGAAACGACACAGTCCGCTGAGACAGAGTCAAGAAAGGCAGTTCCTTGATCCGTCACCGATGTTGGGGTGTGTGCTGTGGCGTGGGGAAAGATGCCAGCGACATCTAGTGAAGCATCTTTGATAATATCGGACAGTTGATCTGCGAGGTTACGTTTCCCGGGCGTGCAAAGGAGGAGTGGTCGGGAAACATGGAGCCGATTGATCTCAGCTGGGACCTTTCTGATACTGCCGAAACCAAAGACAACTCGATTTGTCTGGACATTATACTCAAAGTCTTTCATGTTGGGTTTGCAGAAATTGTTGCAGTGATGAACCTAACGAACTACTGAGAGGCTGTTCGTTTGACAGACTTTCACGCCGAAATAGATTATTAAAATATCTCACTCAGTTGTTTTTATTTTGTATTAGACCGGATGACCCGGAAGATCCGGAAGACCCGGAAAACTGGAGATGTTGAGACCGGAAGGCGGAAGAATCGAATTTGAGTTTAATGTTTTCCGAGAAACCGGATGTTCTTCCGAAGGCTAGAGTACTTGCAGACGCGGGGCCCCGCCCTCCAGGGGGATCGTAGACTCTAGATCGGATCTCGCATCACATCCTATTCCCCCGCCATCCGGGGATCAGATCCGGTCACAATACTGCCGGAGGTCCTAATAGCAGGCTGGAGAGTCCAAACATAAAGCATGGACTTCCCCTCTGTTGCAGATCTTCTTAAAGTAGGCCTTCACTCCCGGGCAGTCCATTTATTGGAATACATATTGTTCCCCCTTTGTTTCATCTGATCCTAGTGACAGGCTACTATGCAAGTCGATCACACTTGTTCTTAGCTCTCGCCAGCATGGATTATCTCAAACCAGAGCAGTCAATGGATGAACAAGTCAGCGAGGCCGCATTGCCTTCGGATCTCAAGGATTCGGAAGGCTATATAGCCAAGGTCGATACTGAACACCATGGCAATCTCAAGACCGCCAAGGATGGCCATACTGTTCTGATTCCACAACCTTCTGATGATTCGCGTGACCCTCTCAACTGGAGTCCTGTCAAGAAACATGTGATTCTTTTTATCATCAGTTTCGCAGCCTTTCTTCCTGATTATGGTAGTGCTACCGGCGCTGTTACTCTCATCCCGCAGGCAGAGTAAGTAAGGACTTGTTCACAAGAGAGATCACCCTGTTAATACGATTGCTTTAGGCAATGGAACATGAGCCCGGACACAGTCAATCACTCACAAGTTGGTAATGTTTTCATGCTTGGTGCAGGTGGCATCTTTGTTGTAGCCCTCTCCGCATGGGCAGGCCGTCTGCCCGTTTTATTCTACTTTCTTATCCTCGCCACAGCTACGGCCGCTTGGTGTGCGGCTGCTACAACATTTGAGTCTTTCATGGCTGCTCGCATCTTGAATGGCTTCTTCAGTACTGTCTCCCAAGGTGGAGGATTGATGTTCATATTCGACATGTTCTTCTTTCACGAACGTGCTCGCAAGATTAACATCTGGGCTGCTTTCATTATCCTCTCTCCTTATATGGGGCCATTGTTGACTGCCTTCATCATTACAACACAGTCGTGGCCCATTGCGTTCTGGGTCTACTTTGCTGAGGTACGACCGGCTACAGTCTTTATAACCTTGAGTTCAAAACTGACTTTGCCACAACAGACTTCACTCGCGCTCACCCTTACGATTTTGTTTGTGGAGGAGACCTACTATGACCGTCGCATCACTGCTGCCAATCAACCACTCAGGGGATCACGCGTTGCCAACCTCTTCGGCTTTGCCCAGTATCAATCTCGCCACCTCCGCAACAGCTTCGGTCAGGCTTGCATGCGACCCTTTCGTGTCATCATTAAGCCTACTGTCTTCCTGTCTTGCCTTTACTACCTACTAACCTTTGCGTGGGTTGTTGGCATCAACACAACGTTGTCAATCTTCCTCACACCATTATACAACTTTGGTCCTAAGCAGATCGGCTTTTTCTATTTCACACCGGTTGTTGGCGCTATTTTGGGTGAGGTAGTTGGCCACTGGCTGCATGATGGAATTGCACGCCAATTCATCAAGACGCACAACGGTCACTTTGAGCCAGAAATCAGACTGCGTGCAATTTGGCTGAGTACACCGTTCATGCTTGCTGGTTTAGTCGGACTGGGTTTCGCTCTTGAGGACGGGTATCATTTCATGATTACAGCCCTGTTCTGGGGCCTATATGTCTTTGGTATAATGGTAACCACAGTTGCTCTGAATGCGTATAACCTCGACAGTTATCCAGAAGCATCAGGGGAGGTCTCTGCATGGATTAATTTTGCTCGAAGTAAGTTAACGTATTCTTATTCATCTAACATTTTACCGACTACTGCTGACACCCTGTAGCTGCTGGAGGGTTTATTATTAGCTATTTTCAAGTCAAGTGGGCTCATTCGGTAGGCGCTAAAGTCAGCTTTGGTACCCAGGCTGGTATTTGTGCTTTTGCATTTCTTATTATTATTTCATTACAAGTATTTGGAAAGACATTGAGGATCAAGACTGGAAAGTTGCATTTTCCTACAGCTTAGGAGGCTTTTGGCCTTAAGAGTATTAATCCTGTACCTTGCTTCCCAAAGGCTCTATACCAGGTCTTTTCGAAGCTTGAAGGGCCATTACAGCAAGTTTTACATTGAAGTTGTAGTTCTATAATGTAAATCTCTATCCCTTGCCTTTTGGAGTTCCAACCGAATATCGTCTAGTAGAAGAAGCTGAGTTTATTTGCCGAGGAAAATCAGGGCGAAAAACTGACCTGCTGCGCACCATCGCCCACTTGCCCGTGCACGTAATACTTCAAGAATGGTTTGAAGTACATCCCCAGTCTGATGCTCATACTGCGATTCCAACAGCAAGACTGTCGATCCTGCATTTTTCAGGAGCAACAACGCCGTAAGAGGCATTTGTTTTACGTCGAGAATATTCCCGAGACCATCTGCATGTAGTAAATCTCCTACGACCTTTAAGGCCATTTCTAGAGCCGCTATAGATAGCTCTGTTGAATTCTCGATGTTGTTTTGATTACTCAAGCGCAGTAGCCTGGTTGTGTGCAGTTCGATTATCGAGCTATCACAGTCAATGAACCTTGAGTCAGGCCAATGATTCTGTCGAGGATTGACTTACAGAAGGTATATGGACAGAACGGAATATGAATGCTGCACATTCAATTGAGATATGCTCAATGCGTCATGTATCTCCTGTTGAAGATATGAATCAAACTTCCACAATTCATCCTCAAAAGATGAGTCTGTGAGCGAAACAGCTTTCCTGGTCAATTGTAGAACACGTTGCAGACTGAAGACAGCTTGTATTAAGTGGGAAAATCGACCTGGATTTGTTGGGCTTTGTTCTCTTGAAAAAGACAGGGTTGCCGGGGATGCAGAATATGTTGGACAGGAGGATTCGCTCCATGATACATCGTCCCCTGGCAGAACTTCGCCTACACTAGCTTCGCGGATGATTGGCAATCGGTCGCACTCTTTGGACGAGTAATTATTCAAGATTCCGAGGAAGTAAATTGCCCACCAGACACGCATTCCTTCGTCCTCCACAATTATCGGCCCGACCGAGGGGATGTTCAAGCGCGATATATAACCCAAACTCGTGCAGGTCGTTAGAGTTACATACGCATCAGAATAACAGCCACGACTTTGCTCATATAAGGCAAGCAACAGACCTGACTGTATTGTAGTAAGTTCGTTCCGATAGTGTGCTTGAAAAAGCGAGCATAAGGTTTTGCAGTCATGATATAAACATGACAAGACATCGATGTCTGAAAGAAAATTCGAGGAGCACGGTGGAAGAACAAGAAGAAAGTGAAACAAAAGGCATGCGACTTTAGCACACGGCGTATTCCTCAACACTGCAGCCTTTTGTCTGATGGTGACAGGGTGAATAATGGGCAGCCATTGGTGTGTAGATTGGAAATAGATGTCGATAACCTCCTGCAATCCGAGACCAAGACCCTCAAGAGTATTGAAGAGAAGCGATGTAAGAACAGCATCCAACTCATGATGCCCTGTTGCAGTCTGGTTCTGCTTCTTTCGTATGCTTCGCAACTGCAGAAGAGACAAGGTAAATAACGGAGGGAGTGCCGTGGTATTGAAGTTGAGAATGGACAGTTCGGTTGATGAATCCTGCAAGGGCATTGGCTGGCTATAACCACATCTCACATTGTGCCTGGTAACATGGTAAGCGATGCTTTCGGGGGCTCTTATTGCATGATAGGAACCTACTGTGCACAGCGACTACAAATAGGCAGCTGTCTATCACAGGCACGTTTCTGGGCAGAACACGGGAAGCATGCATTTCTGGCTGATCTTGATGCCGCCATTTGTGGATGGCATGTCGTTTAGAATGAGGATAGGATACTAGTGATGACTCTATTTCCTCGCAAGGAATGAGAGCTATCTAGACAGATTTTCTGAGATTAGTAAGCCCCTTTTTGGCTGTGGGTCAAACGACCAATCAAACCAACTGTGTAGCCCACTTAGTGCCATGCAGCGTCCGTAGGGTAGTCTCTATTTGCCGCAGCGGGACAAGCTTTGGATGACTTCGTACTACACAGATAAAAGAAAATATCTTTGAAAACTTATGTCTTGTATATATCAATACCTAAATCTCCCCCTGGCCCTGCGTCAAAAGATCTCTAAAGCTCTGAAGCTTTAGACTTGGTAAACCATCCTGGACATGATAACCTTCCCTGAGGTCGAACTCGCCCGTTTCAAACAGAATACCGAAAGCCGACAGAAAGCTCTGAATAACATCTTTGGGAACAAACTCGTACATGGGAGGATGACTGGGAAGTTCTGTGATTTTCCCGGACTTCAGCAAGTCGAGAGAGTCGTATGTCAGTTGTATCTTCTCTCCTCTAACTTCTTCAACAGCCTGGACATATTGATTCATTGTCAATTTGTCATTGTAGATGAGCGTCTCTCCCTCCCACTTAGACAGGGACAGCGATCCCGCGACAAACTTTGCAACATCCATCGTGTAGCTCATGGCAACGGGAACGTCACCGCTTCCCGGCAGCGCCGCAGTACGATTTGCAATATCGATAAAAACGGTCCAGTCATCAAGATGTGACTTAAGGGGAGGCGAGACGTAGTAATCGATGAAAAAGCCTGTATACCATGCGGAATATTCCAAGTCCGTTGTCTTGAGGAAGTCCATCACAGCGGCCTTGGGTGGACCAAATGGTAGAGGCGAGCTAGCAGAGAGTTAGCCAGAGGTCATGAATATAGGGACCTTACACTACTACTTGCCTCGCGGGGTATTTAATACCCCATATACTAGGAATATACCTCGTGGTGACATTGGACTTTTCGGAAGCGACGGCAAGATTCATCTCGTATAATCCGATTGCTTTAGCACTAAGGGCTGAGATAACAGTATCAATTTTGTGATACTCCAGTAGAGTCTTGATGTTATCGATGTCGCTGTAGTCAACTTGCAGAAATCTTGCACCTATCTCGTTCTCTCCCTCTTCGCTCGTCTAGAGGGTCCATTAGCCATTGATCATATTCCCTAAGATCGAAGGGAGAAAGAATTACCTGTCGACTAAGAATGAAGACATGATGTTTGTTGTCGGCAAGGATGGCCTCAACAATAGCACGACCCAGTCCACGGGAACCTCCTGCAACGGCCACGATAGAGGACATGCTGAGACGGTATAAAAGTCCGTGAGGTTGGGAAGTTTTCTTGTATAGAGCTTGTTTATGGGGAGCGAGTTAGATTCGAATATCGTCATATATAAGCTGAAGGCATAGGAACAGTGCTTTATATGACCGATATGACTCGATAGCTAGAGCAGCCCAAATAGTTCGGCGGAAAGGGCGGATAAGAAATACGTCAGCTTTCCGAACTAGCAGCGCTTTCAAAATGCGCCATCCGAAAGCAAGTTCTCTCTAGTCTCGCACCGCAGAATGATCCAAACAAACCTCATTCATATGCAGAAGAGCGGATATGACTTATCTTCCAAATTAAGTTCCAGCCTCGGTTATCGCCGAGCAATTAGTAATACATTAATAATAAACCTTATGCTAGTCTCGATGCAACTGCCGACGGTGGAGGAGTTGACAGATGAGAGCAATATGAAGCAGGAAAGATAGATTACAACATGGCAGAATGGCAACATTAGGACCAATCTTCCCCCACGGACAAATCGTTTTGGTTCTAAACTTCTGATGGACGCGCTAAACCGACGCTACTCCGCGACCAACAAGGCACTAGTGACTAATTCTCCTTCCTTGCTTCCTCCTGTGTCCATATGAAGATGGAGCCTTCGGCCTAGTGTCGGACTAGCGCGGTCGCACATCGATGCTGCAATGCAGCCAATGATGTCTCGGTAGAAGCTGGGATAGATACCCTCAAGATCCAAGTCCCCGTCCATCTAGAAATGGTGAATTTCTGTACCATCATTCATCTCTTTGCAGTAAATACTTGCAAGAAAATTCATTGCAAGAACATACCGCGACCCTTTGGAATTCTTCAACATGACGCACTGCAACGAGGTTGAGGCAGTTCTCACCAAGCTGAAGCCATTGACAGACCAGCTGAGCCCGAACGATTTCATTACCCGGGACCATGACGACTATTCCCGCCATACCGCAACATTTTCTGCCAACGCCAACCGCCAACCTGCTGTTGTACTTATCCCTAGCTGCGTTGACTCCCTCGCCGAAATGATGCGTTTCCTTTACAAGTCAGACTTGGACTTTCACATCCGCGGCCGGGGATTCAAATCTCCTTCAGCCCGAGATGTCATAGTCAGCCTCCTGGGCTTTACTGACTTCGACTATGACGCCGAGAAGAAGCTCGCAACAGTCGGCGTGGGGATGACGTGGGCTGAGGTCGCGGAGCGAATGAGAGAGCTTGATCCTGAATACAGCTGTTAGTACACTCCCTTCTTGAGAATGAATGATGCGACACAGGGGTTGTCATTGTAGCTGACAAAGCATCTGTTGGCAGTGACCTATGCCAGGACTCCCAGTGTTGGGGTTGGTGGATCTATTCTTCACGGCGGATTTTCCTGGATGAGCAGCGAATTCGGCATGATATCTGATCCTATCAATTTCATCGATGCGGAAGTCGTAAAGTACGATGGTTCCATCGTCATGGCTTCGACTGAGCCAGAGCTTCTGTGGGCCCTCCGAGGGAGTGGAGGTGGTTTTGGCGGTATGTCATTCTTGTCCTTATGCCGCAGGCTCCGCAGACTAACTCTACCAGTCATGACAAAGGTTGTGCTACGAGCCCATCAGTATCCAACGAGAATCTGGTCGGGCATGATCTTGATTCCGAAAGATCACTTACAGGCGCTTGCAAGTAAAATCAATGACTTCATATCAAAGCCGCAGCATCCCAAGTTGAACTTCTTGACCTTTGTTGTACAGCAGCACTTACTCCCTGCGGTACTGGAAACGAACCAGTTGAGTGCTTTCGCCGGAGATGTGATTGTTCTCCAAGTTTACGATGCTTGTGGAGAGAGCCACGGCCGCGAAGCATTTCGTTGGGCACTGGAGATGCCAGGTGCTATCGACAAGACCAGGGAAGGCGACATAAAATCAGTCCTCGATATGCAAAGTAGGTTCCCCCCCCTAATCAAAAAACGCGGCAGATTTAACCCATCTTTGCAGTGAATATCAGCGGTATGAACAGATCCATGGCTGAATTGCACGTCATGGCAATGGGTCTTGCCGAGGCGAATGAGGATACGGTCCTCCGTGCGCTCACATGGCCTGACAAGATTGCTGCCATTGACAAAGACATTCATCAACTCACCATGATCGTCCCTGAATTCCTTGTCTTTGTAGGATAACTTTCATGCCCTTGACCGCTGCGGAGACTGGAAGCTGACTTGGCCGCAGAGCCCACCGATTGGAGGCGTCGCCAAGGTTGCATGGCCTCGGCCCACGAACCTCAAGCATTACATATTGGTAGCGGTTGGCAGCCCATCAGACGGAACGGCGCTACAGAACGAAATGGCGCATCGACTTATCCAGCATGCCCCGGAAGACATCGTTGGATCTCAGGGATACAACGTCCTCCCTACGAGCTCAGATGAATTGGTGGATACTAAACTGGTAAGATATACGTTGTTGATAAAGTTAAAGTCGCACGTCTGACTTGTTCATAGGCCTATGGACCACACTGGGATAGACTGGTTGAGCTGCGTCGAAAGTATGACCCGGGTTTGAGATTCAAGACACTTATTAATCCTTAAGTGAGGCTGTGTTATTATGAAGGTGATTGATATTTGTATCAAAGTGATAGAATGCTGGAAGAAAAGGATGTTTCAAGATAGTTGTACTTGTATTAAACGCTCTTGATATAACTGTCGTCTGATCTTGTTAACTTAGCTGCTGCGGGAGTGTTACGTTGGGCAGGCCTGACATCATTGTTATGCAGTACGAAGTGTGGTTTTGGTACTATACTGGCTAGCATAAGGGTATGTACGACCACGAGGATACGTTGGATAAGAAGTTCTCTAAGCAGCTTCAGTTGGCCACTGCCTACAAGCTTCGTGCTGTCGTAACACATTAAGAGCACATATGAAGTTAAATGCAATAAATAGTCAGGGAGAGTGTTTCAAGTGAAAGAAGCTATAGGACAATAGATGGATGTAACGCGATAAGTCACCATCCCAGGGCTAAGTACCAAGTTCTTGGTATTGAATGTAAGTTGTCAGCCACAGGACTCAGCTGTACATAAAGGAGTGGGTACAAGTGCTATTAAATCATGCCATAGCATAAAATGTAAAGGCTCGACCCCAGCATAAGAACATCTACTGGGGAATATCAACCACGCCAACAATCAAAGCATTGGTGTCTGCTTCGCCAAAGTTGCCTCCGCTTGCGACGAGCAACTTTAGATTTCCACGATTGTCCTTGATGACTCGAAGATCTCGACTATAACCATTCTTCTGGTTGATTTTGACTCTCTTCCAGTTCTCCGGAAGTGCTCTGTAGTCGTTAACATAGACGTCACTATCACTGTTGCCGTTGGCGATAAGGATGCCGTCCTTGCTGCCAGCTTTGAGGGGGGCCCAGATGATGAAGGGTGAGCCGTAGGGACTCATCGCCGCTGTGTCATTGGACACGATTGGTTGGATGGGCCTGCCGAAAAACTTGGTCGGGTCGTTGGAGACGATGTAGTTGACCTGGCAGTTCTTTACCGGCGCACCGCAGTTTTCAAACGTCATGATGTAGTTGTTGTTGATGGGTATGTGCGCAACCGTAGTCATACCGGGGCGTCCGTCGTAGTAGTCCATAGCGACATCATTCACGATTGGGTCCCATTTTCTCAGATTAGTCGTGGTAGTGTGAACGAGTTTCTGTCCATGCTGTGGATCGCGCTGATCAGAGTAGTAGACGATCAATTTGCCCTTATACATCAGCAAGAACGCTTCCCAGATGGCCTTGTCACCATTGCGGACGGTCTCTGGACCTAGCCCGTAAGCAACATGACTGAGGAATGTGAATGTTTTGGCGCCATCTGTACTGGCGTACATGTCGATGTAGGCATGACTCTTGTTGCTGGGAAGTGACGTGCCCACTGCGAGGATGGTGCCGGCCGGATACCCGCCAAACCTCTCGGGCAAAGAGTACAGGATAGGCTGGTATGCCATTCCCCAGCCATTAACCTGGTCTCTGAATCGTGAGTGCTCTTTCCAAGTCGCCCCGCCATCTGTGGAGCGGAAGATTGGGAGAGACAACGGATCTTCCGGCGAATAGATCTCGCAAGTGATGAGAAGAGATTTATCGCTCAGCTGGAGAGTGCGAGCATAGAGGGTACGCGGATCAACCCAAGAGGTAGGCGGGGTGAAGACCACGTTGTTGTTGAAGTTACTCCAGGGACGTGGAGCTCGAGGTGAGATGGCGCTGGCCGAGGCCAAGGACTGCAAAGAACTGGCGACCGCCAGGGATGCAAGCATAAAATTGAACATTTTGCTGACAAGAGCTAGATGAATTGGTCAAGTATTGTTGTCGAGGCTATGATTGAGTGAATGGTGTCTTTGTGTAGAGAAAGACAGCTAGACTTTATATTCTCCTCGTTCAAAGACACGAGCAATAACCTAAGTTCGGTTCAGAGTTCTCTATTCCTTACTTCTCAGTTTTTGTCCTTCTTTCCATGGGGATCTTGTTACCCCTCATTCGCAATGGCCCTTTTCTTGGTACAACATCAGAAGCCTCTATGAGAAGTCGTATGTTTCAGAAACAAGATCGACACGTCGGATGCTGTCATTCTCATGTCTCCAGGTTTCCCTTTTAGCCTGTTACCCCAGGTTCAAACCCCTTTAACCGCGGAACTGGGACGAATCAACGGGCATCAATCCCCAAGTTCGTATTTCCAACCACACCAAATTTAACTCATAGTCATCTTTCCCAACTGTCTACGGCCAGACAGGTATGTCCTGAGCACTTGTTTAAAACTGTAATAGGAAGAAAAGACTCTACCTGTTCTATACATAGTCTATGTTGGTATGAAGCACTTTACCATCGCTTTTCCAACACAGGAATCTCACCATCAAAGCCCCTCATGTATCAGGGCATACCTAACGCCTTCGCTCTCATTGGTGAGACGAGCTGCATGTCGTTCATCGATAGAGTCGAAAAATGCTGGACCATGTTTGATGGCATGAGCCATGTCGGATATTGCTTTGATTACCTATTTGTCGTTAGCAACTTCACGAATGCCTTATTCTTCTACTTCATTCTCCCCGAGATCTCGTGCGTCCCACTCGAGGATATGAACGCGGGTTTTTAATAGCTCTTGGCCTGTGCCAGGAACAAGCAAAAAGCATGCAGCCCTCCGCCGACAAGGTGTTGAAGCCGACGCCGTCTTGAGCAAGAACACTAACAAGACGGAGGCAATCAATGGGGAGTGTAAGAGGCAGCTCAATGGAAGTTTTCGATGCTCTGCTAGAAGCCTTACATCTCCCTGGCACTTGGACACTTGAGATGGAGGCTTGACTAGAGTGGCTCTTGTGTGAGTGGACGTTTGACGATGATATCTGGGGGCAGCCGTAGCTTACTTTCCATTCTTGTTGAGTAGGCTACATTTGTGTACTGCATGCTTATTCAGAGGTTTTTAAAGCTGAAGTATCAAGTCATAAAGTCTATGGAGATGTTTTATTAATTTATTATACGCCGCTTATATAGCTTCTGCATGCAGTCCAATTCCAACCTCGTGATGTCTTAACTGCCTTGCCAACCCTTTTTCAAGACAAACACACCCCTTATACAAGTCAACGGGAAACGGGGTGAAGCTGAGGTTCGGTGCGTCAACTAGCTTTCTCACCTTCATCAACTTCAATAACAAAGTCGAGTCACAATTAGGCATCATATCAGTGTCTCACGCTGAGAAACAAAACCACAGCATAAAAAATAGCTATCACCATGCATAGAGAAACTGTGTATAATAATATGTCTTAGTTAAACCAGTCTCAGCCGCTGTGTTGTACCGTACTCCATATTCCCAAAGGTGGCTTTTCCTTGTAGATCAATTGTTTATCCTGTAAACAGGGTAAGATGCATGGGCGATGAGAGGGATTTCTTACACGTTTGACATCGATTGGTTGATGCAGTCTCCAAGGCTAAGTTTACTGTGGACTGAGCGATGTGGGGAATTTCGAGAACGACGGGAATGAAACATGCTGATTCGTGCTTAAGCCGTGGCTAATTCGGCATCAAATTAGCCTCGCGAATGCCTTCTATCGCAATCCCTAACTTAGTTAGTGTGAACTTGGACGCATGGCTGATGGCGCGGGATCTACTCTGTAACGGCACGCACGAAAGATAGTTTCACTGAGTTACGTAGATAATTTAAATTATCCACGGGGTTACAGCGAATAGGCAGTCTTGAATCCCGATTACTATTTTTGCCTCTTTATCATTTTGGTCCAAACTCCAATCGTCGGCTTGTTTTTCACCCCAAAAGAGGTGTCCTGGACAAGCCGCCATGCACCTGTTCACGTTTGTCTTCACGTTACTCAGCCAGACGGTGGTATCGCTTAAGTACCTGACTCACGGCCTGGTGACTTAATGAGGAACTGGACATACTTACAGACACCATCTGACACCTCATTCACCATGACTAGTACACATATTCCTCACCTTGCTGACATGGGCACGTTCAAGCAGTTGATCGTCCATGGCCAACCGTTTCTCATACGTGGCGCTGAGCTCCAGAATTCCTCCTTCTCTTCTGCCAAGTTCATGCGCGAGCTTTGGCCGAGGCTCGTTGGCATGAACCTCAACACGGTCCTCGGAAGCGTTACGTGGGAGATGATAGAGCCAGTTGAAGGGCATTTTGACTTCTCGGAAATCGATCGCATTATTCTCGATGCGAGAAATGCTGGGCTAAAGCTAATACTGCTATGGTTCGGATCATGGAAAAATGGTATGCCGGATCCTACTTGATGGCCCTGAGTGTAGGCACCTCTTTCTGACTTGCAGCCAGGCATGTCCAACTACGTCCCATCCTGGGTGAAACTGGCTCCGGACAGGTTCCCTCGGGTTTGGCTGCAAGACACAGGCAACCGCCTGAAAGCCACCGAGATCATCACACCTCTCTGCGCTGCATCCACCGAGGCCGATGCCACTGCCTTTGCAACTTTGATGAGGCACCTCAGAGAGCTTGACGAGATGCACTCGACAGTTATACTCGTACAGCCCGAAAACGAATGCGGCATTCTGGGAGATTCACGTGATCGCAGCGACATCGCTGAACTTGTCTATGGGCAGCCGGTTCCTGAAGATCTTGTGGCATTTCTCGAACACGACTGGGACAGCTTGCATCCAGACCTGAAGCATCATTTCGAGATGCCTCGCCCCTTGGCCTTCAGCGACAATGCAAATTCCACCTGGGCCAAGACGTTTGGCGAAGGCCCCTACACCGATGAGCTGTTCATGGCCTATCATTATGCCAAGTATGTTGACGTCGTCGCCAGGGCCGGCAAGAAGGAGTATCCCCTACCAATGTTCTGTAACTTTTGGCAGAACTACAACGGCGAGGGCTCTGATAACGACTTCCCTGTCCTGGCTGGAGGCGGCGGCATGCCCGGTGACTATCCCTCCGGTGGTGGTATCAGCAATGTCTTGGATATATGGATGCGTTTTGCGACAGCCATCGACTTTATCTCACCCGATGTTTATCTCAACGACTATATACACATTTGCGAAACATATCGGCATCGGAACCAGCCCCTTTTCATCCCTGAGCAGCGTCGTGATGAGTATGGGGCTCGCCGACTTTGGAAAGCCATCGGTTCATATCACGCGATCGGCGCTTGTCCGTTCGGTGTCGACAGTCTCCCGGAAGGTGAGACGTGCGCCTATACCCGACACTTTGGGCTAATTGCCCATGTCTCCGACCTTGTCCTCGAAGCTCAGCAAAGGCCTGGAGCCATTGTTGGTTTCTTCTTTGACGAGGTTACAGAAGACTACGTGGAATCAGAAGACCCGAGTACCGTGGTAGAGATGGGAGGATATCAAGTGACAATTGAGCGTTCCTTTGTGACGGGCGGACCTGGGCCCGGATACGGCATTGTTATTCTTCACCAGGAGAACAACTACCCTAACGAAACAAGGTTTTTGCTTATTGGCCAAGGTTTCCAAGCTATCTTCAAATCCCTCGACCCGAGATCTTATTACACGGGGATTTTGAGATTTGAGGAGAAGGAATTCAACAGTTCGAGCGGCAAACTCGATACCTTGAGACGGCTCAATGGGGACGAAACAAGAAGTGGACAGTTTGTCATCATGCCGAATGACGATCCGGATTACGCAGGGTTCCCAATCAGTATCACAATCCCAGCGAGGACTCGAATTGCTGAATGTAGTATTTATAGCCTGCTAAAGTAGCACGGATATAATTTCCGTGTATACAACATGAACGTGCAGGGAACTTAGTTTGCATTGATCCCATCACTCTTTCGAAGATAATAAAAAGTCTCATAGCTCATGGCGATTATCTAAGGCCATTGAGTAACTCTGTCAGAGTATTGTTTCTGTGCCAAAAACCATCCTTATCTGATACTGTTCCTTGCCTGGTCAAAGATATAGATATGGGTGGGGTCGGGTCGGAATCAATGAAATCATCTGAGGGTGGAGCATATTCCGTCAGAAATCTCGCCATCCACCCATCCATCTTACGCGGATCTGTTTCCAGTGATTCAATCAAGGCACTCTGAAACAGTGACAGGCGAGAGATCTGTCAGACCCCTACCGCATCAGTATTACCAAACAACTTATAATGAACGTGGAAGAAGCGGACATACCAGTTTTTCCAAACTCGGCCAGAACATTTTCAGTTCGAGTAGAGTCTTGAAGTTGGAGATTAAACCACTTCTTGCAGCTTCAAGCTCGCCAACCTCACCCATAAGTAGCACGTGCACTAGTACCGCCGAAGATACGATGGCCATATGCCCAACGGCAGCATGGACCGCTTCGCATCCCTTTCTTTCTCGTGAAATCTGCAACAGCTCGGAAAAGCGAAACGCGTGTGACTTGCAAAGCTGCGAATAGTGCAGTTTGTTGGAGGAATACAGCCGTCGGGATTCCAGGTAATTGAAGAAAAGCAGCGTCGCATAGTGGTGTAAGTCAAGATGGAGGTCTATAAAGGTGCCCCCGAGTCCCTTGGAACAATGCTCACGGATATTCCGGTCTGAGAGCTGCATGTGAGATGGGAGATTCAGCACCCAGTCGTCAAGCTGTTCAGCTAGTAGTTTGACGTGACCATCAAAGTCCTGCTGACACAAGCCACGTACAACGTTGCAGCGATTGAGATCTTGAATATGGCCAAATATCTTGGCCAGCATGATTTTGTACGCCCATATGCCCAAGGTCGAACCCGTTGATCCACGAAGTCTGAATTCAGGCTGTTGGAAGGTGGACTCGTCAATTGGGAGATCAACCGCATAGTCGTTGTCCTGGATTTGTCGTGGAAGCCCAGAAGCCGAGGAGCACCATCGATCTGCCATGAAAAGCGTTCAGAAGACTCGCTTTCTAGTTTCAGTCACAGCCGGGTTTTCAGATCGCTTTCCGTGAGGGAGTCGCATGATCTGAGCCATGCGGATTGCGATACCTTGGTCTGGTGTTAGAACCGGTATGAATAATGGTCTAGAGGTTGATCCTATAGTGCGTATTGGGGGGCCAAGCGTACCAAAATACAAAGCTTCGCTTTCTGGGTTCAGATTGGCAGAGGAAGCATTTGCGACAAGGATACACGTTTGGATGGTTGCTAGACAGAATTGTTCCAAGTTTGCTTGTAGCCTCATTTTGGAGGCTCTTGTCAAACAATCTTCAAGAGCCCTGACGGCGGGGTCATGCGAAAAACGGCATGCCAAACTGCATATTGCTAGCAGTAAGCCCGGATGAATTTCCCTTTGCTGTACTTGGTCTCTGAGGGTAGGCTCATGAAAGATACTCTGTGGCCGATCGTGAATAAAAGCCATGTACTTGGTGACTAATTCCCACTGTATCTGGGGCGATAGGAGGTCGTCAATATTCGTTATAGGCGAGATTGTCGTTCTTACTCTCTCTAGAGGTGCTAATTGTGTCGTAATCGATGCTTTGCTCAGCTCAGTTGAAGAACATGGCTCTCCCCGTTGCTGGCATGCGAAACAGGTATTTTTACCAGACAACAATCGGCGTTTCCTCTTTGCTGCTCGGCATTGCAAGCAAGCCTTGGCATTCTTCATTATCTGGGGTAAAGATAATTACCTAGACGGCCAATTAGCAAACTATTTAGGTTGCAATCATAGCTTAGCCGAGAGATACAAGACCAAGTTCGCATTAGCAAGCAGACTAACCCCGGGTTTTGAAATTGCGGGGAATTGACATACCGATGCAGTTAGTGGATCTGCCTCGGCACTTCAGGGCGGAAATGACGGTCTAGGCAATACGAATGGAGCTCGCCTGTCGCCCTGTTGAGCCAACTTGGACCTTGAATCCCGCGTTTCCCAGTTTATTTTTGAGGGGTAAAACGAGAACCGAACAATGTCCTCGGCTTCGACGACCAAGAAATCTAGCAAGAGGGATGAGTATACTTCCCATGCTTGGTAAGTTATTTTGTTGTTCTTATACCTCGTTTACATGCTAACCAGGATCAATGTAGCACTGAATGCCAGCGACGCAAGGTCAAGGTTAGTCTCGTTGACTCAATTGGTATAACTACTTCAGTGCTGATCCTCATGTTGCAGTGTTCTGGACAATCGCCATGCCACAACTGTCTTGGCAGAGGTGCCGAATGTAGCTATCAAGATCCGTCGAATGGATCAAGTAAAAGGAAGCGAAAACAAGCTTCGTCAAATACAAATAAGTATGATAAAACCCACTGTCCTCTCAAAAGACAACTGTCCAAATGTCTGGGACCTCGAAGCTGACAGTCATCAAGAAGACGCGCCGTTCCGCCCTCAAGTCTCTCCACCTCTGCGTCAGAAGAGACTGCACTGCTCAAGGAGCAGCTTCAACGCTTGCAACAAGGACTGGGTACCTTGATGATGCAGCAATCACTCAGCTTCGACTTTCTTAGTTCGCACAACACTGCGCCACTGCCGAACCAGACGAGTATCTCGGCACCCTCATCAGATGAACAGCCCCTCACATTCGGTCAATCCATCGAAGCATTTGAATCACAGAGTACAACACACAATGTTCAAGAAGGATCACCGAGCTCTATTCAAGATGACCGTCAACCTGCTGAGCTCACCTACGCCGAGACCGATACCTTTGTCCCCGGGAGTAAATGGCTAAACCGATTCGCTGTTGCTTCACAAATTCGTGATCTACGCTCCAGCGTCGGAGCAGATCCTGTTCTGCCAAACACGACTCCCTCAAAGAGCTGCACCGTCGTCCTTCCCTGCCCCAAGGACCTGACACGGGCAATAAAAATAGGCCTAGCCGGGATCGACTGTTTCTTCCCTTCCATCCATGGGACGAGTCTTGTAGAAGCGATTTCAGAGACCCTGAAAGCACTGTGCTACTCTTCTTCTACCCAGTCAGTTATCGTGACTGAGCCGCATCACTTGGTCATATCGATTCTTCTCGTCATCATTGCAGCCGGACAGAACCTGGACGATAAAGCTTGCCCCGATATGTATCTGGACAGGGCGTGGCCTGGCTCGGAAGCTTATTGGCAGAGTAGGAAACTCGTACAGCACTTTGAAGGGGGAAGTGAGCTGCAAACAAGCTGTGTCATCTATCACACCTTCTCCGCGGCGTATCTCTTGGCAGCAGAGAGGTTACGTCTTGCCTCGACCCACGTACTCAACGGGCTTCATTCCGCTGTCAGTTTGGGGTTAGGTCAAAGTCACGGATTTCCTATATCCTCAGAGGATTTTGTAGATCCCCTAGCATTATGGATTACTCTCGACTTCCTCGACAAACGTATCACTCAGAAATGTGGCATTCCATACTTTGTTGGAAATAGTCTTGGACATGTGGACTTTGAACACGAAACCAGCGCTCACATCGACCCCAAGAGCAAGGCATATCTGAAGACCATGTTCAGCCATGCCAGACTCTGGGCATCGGTATGGGATGGATTTCTAGCTCCGAACGCCCCGATGGCGAGCGATTGGGTTGAAATCCAAGCATTTGATGCCAAGCTCCTAGCTCTTAGGGAGCAATACCCTGACATTTTATCATGGAGCGGAGAGTCAGTGGACAGCACCGTTTTTGAATCCCCTTCCGAACCAGAGGATCGACGGCGTCTTCTTGTTTTTCTGGTAAGTCTTCAAATGACAGTTCGGGATGAGTAACACAGCACTAATTAAGCAATTCTAGAGATATCAATCTCTCAGATTGAGTATCCGCCAAAGGACGCTAAGTCCCCCAGAGACAAATGCTCGAAGGGTAGCATCTTGCTTAAGAATTTCCATCGAGTCCTTGGATGCAATTGGCCATTACCTGGACAGCTGGGGCGCAAACCCGAATGCTGGCTATATACTAACGTCTTCTCTGGTCGAGTCCATATACTACCTAACCCTCGGACACCGTGAAGGTGTGTCTATGCTTGACGCCGAGGCACTCCCGCTAGCGCTCCATCGAGCCGGGAGCATGCTAGAATCTCTGTCTGCCACAATCATGTCGGCAGCTAGAGCCTTCAAAGCCTTGCAGTGTGTGCTCAACTACGACTTTCAAGAGTTGCATCCAGACTATGACCTCATATTCCCACTCGCGGGTTTCCCAGAGTCCAACATGAACTTTGGAACGCCGGTTGATCGAGTCGAGTATCCCTCAAGTACAGAAACATTTGATTTTTCAAAGAGCTTTGACGCGATGATTTCAAACACGATGGCGGGATCTAGGGTTGAGGTCAGCTCAGTATTAGCTGAGATGTTGACTGAGATAGAGGCTAGATAGTCTTTGTATGGAACTGCATATTTCTGCAGTAGCTATTTACACAGAATGCTTCGAGATGAAAGGTTGTGACTGAGTACTCTGGGCCACGGATATCGACGTAAACCTTTGTAACTGCACTCGTAAAAACTCCACAACTGCCTGAGCACCCGCCTCGGTGACCTCACCTAGTGGAAACAGCGTAAAGGCATGGCAAGCACCCTCAACAACATGCAGCTCAGCTTCACTCCCAGCGTTGATCCACCTGGCAGCCATGAAAATGCTATCATCGAGTAGTGGTTCGATATTCCCCACGAGAAAATGCGCCGGGGGCAGGTTGCCCAAGTCAGCATACAACGGGGATACGTCAGGTCTTTTCCTCTCGCTGAACGGCATATGACCGAAAGCCGCCTCAGAAAACTTCATCATGCTCTCGCGGCTGATGACTATGTTCCTCTTGTGCGAAAGCAAGGAAGGCGTGTAGGTCAAGTCGTATATGCCATAGCCTGCACAGATTGCAGCTATTTGTGACTTGACATCGATGCCATGCTTGTCCCGCAATTCTAGGACAACTGCCACAGCAAACCAAGCACCAGCCGACTCTCCACCGAGCACTCGCAAGGGAGCTCCAAGATCACTGACGCCTTGGGCAGAAAGAGCAAAGAGGGCCGCGTCTACGCAGTCATCACGGCCTGCTGGGAATGGCTGCTCCGGCGCGAGTCGGTACTCCACAGACGCCACGGTCAGGCCGGATGCTTCGGAGAGTCGCGTCAAGTACCCATCGTAAGACGCATTGCTCCCAATGACGAAGCCACCTAAAGACGGTTACCAAGTTTCAACATGGTTACACTAGTGCGTGGTCATACCTGCATGGAAGTGGAGGAAAACACCTTTAGACGGTCCAGGCGGTTCAATCACCCGGAGTTCAATCCTCTGTCCGTCACGTCCGGTAGCGTAAACCAAACGCGCTTGGTTATTCAGTTGTAGACGAGTGAACCCGTGAGTGCCTTCTGCTCGTGCTTTTCGGTAGTCCTGGGGGTTCTCAAAGTCATGCCATTGCTTGGCATTTGCCAATTGTTTCTCGAGGAGATCGACAAGTTCGAGGCGAGCCGCACGGACTTTGTCGGACACGGACTTCGGGCGTACGTTGACCGACATTTGGTGTAAAGCTTGACCTGCGAAAGGCCAAGTTTTTCTTTCTTTCTTTTAGTCAAGATGCGGGTTCAGGTATATAATTTCCAGGCAGAGATGTCAGCGGAAGTCTTTTGGCTAAAATTGACCGATCTGTTGTCTATTTCCTCCCACTGTTCCTGTCCAGCCTCTGGCCTACCTCCGAGACGCAGTTGTGATCAAAAGGTTGCAACGGAATCGATGATTCCGAGGGATGGCAAATTCCGCGGGCAGCTCCGTGTACTCCGTGTCTCCAGTCTTCTGGTCTATGCAGAATCCTAATATTAGCTGACTATCTGATTGGCTGAAGTTTTGAGACTGACCTGACCTCCCGGGTAAGTGAATAAAACACAACTTCAGCATAATGCTCTAAGAATAAATACAGCAATTAAAATACTAAAATATAAGTAGTAAATACATTTTTAAAATTATTTATTATATTCACTTTCTGTATATATTTAATCTACTATAAGCCACGTATGTTGGAAACATACTAACCTCCCAGTGGTAATTAAGGCTCTCAGCTACAAATTTTAACTGCAATTACAAAATACCAATAGCTTTACGGCCAGAGCTAACGAATATTGAAAACACATTCATACCGATAACACATTTTAATTGCTTTAAAGCTCAGAGCTTTGTAAATATTTGAGTTATCTGAGGTCGCGAAATGAACTGCGGCCAAGCCACGTCCACACCCAATTCCTGAGCAGCCTTTAGAACCCAACCCGACTCTTTCAAAAACTGTCGACCAACCGAAATCAGGTCAACGCTACCCGCAGTGCCCTCCTGAACCAAGTCTCTAGCCCGGAAAGCATCCGTGATCTCACCGACAGTACCTATAATCATCCGTTTACCTGCCTTTTCCAGTGCCCCCTTCACCCTCGCGGCAATGGTAGCTTGCTCTTTTCCGGCGTCAAACACGCTGTGAGCGGCTTGTGGATGGTTGCCTGCGGAGCTGACATCGAGGACATCAACGCCCAGGTCGGGGAGAAGCTTTGCGAGGCGGATCGTGCTGGGAACATCCCAACTTCCTAGGGTCTTGCCCAGGGTAGAGTTTTCCATCCAGTCGGTCGCACTGACTCGCACGAACAGAGGCATGGATACAGGGATAACACCTCGAACAGTTTGGATGATCTCAAGAATCAGCCGTATGCGGTTCTCGAAACTACCGCCATACTTGTCTTTCCTCTGATTCGTGATGGGACTGACGAATTGGTGAAGGAGATAACCGTGTGCAACATGAATCTCCAGTACATCTACACCGGCCCAGACAGCTCGTTCTGCTGCTTTCGCAAAGCTTTTGACCAAATCGGAGATGTCATCGATGCTCATCTCTCTGGGCTCCCAGAACCCTCCCTTTGAATCTTGACTAGACTTTCCATCCCAGACAAAGTCCGAGCCTCCGGATGGCCCAACAACGTCATCAGGCCACCCGCCTTGAGATTCATCAGCTCTAGCACTTCCCTGTCCCATACGAGTGGCAACCCACGGCGCCAGAGTGCTAGCCTTCCTTCCGGCGTGGCCAAGTTGCAACCCTATAAGACCTCCCTGGGAGTGCACAAAGTCTGCCAGGTTCTTGAGGGCATCTCTCTGCGCATCGTTCCAGATTCCAGGGCAATTGACGCTGATACGACCATTGGGCGTAACACCAGTTGCTTCCAGCATGACCAGCGCCGCCCCTCGGAAGGCATAGTGGCCGATGGTAGTATGGTACAGAGGAGTCAGAACACCCGTCTGCGGTCCACTTGCAGCACACGAGTAGTGACACATAGGGGACACGCAAATCCGATTTCGTAGCGTGACGCCGCGGATCTTGAGGGGACGAAAGATTGTCGGAGTGTTTGGTTCAAGTTTTTTTGCAGTTCCTGTACTCGGATCCTGTGCTGGTGTAAAGAAGGGGATACCTGGAACTGCGGCGTTGAGTTGCGAGTGGCGAACCATGGTGTGTATTGTTTAAGCAAAAGGTTTGGAGAGATTATGATGAGCCGTGACCAGCATGTGATGGATGACCGATTTGTAGAGAATTATTATATCAATCCGTAAAGGTTAAATTAGGTAGGCCCAGTTCTTGGGCTTACTCTCACGAAATTGACTGTTCGGTAACGTGTATTTGTCGCGCCTAGACTAAAAGTGGTTTGACAAGTGTTGACCAATTCCACGGAAGTAGTAATTATGCTTGGGGTTTTCGGAACTTGACCATTTCCGAAACCTTGGGAGTCGCGACAAGCAGCGAGCCTAAGACTCAATGACTAACAGCCCGAGCCTGTTCATTCGTCTACTGACATTAATTAATTTAAGAACACTGCATGATTTCATAATTATAGGCGAACAGGGAATCATAATACCATACCCTTCTCTTCTCGTCTACCCATCCCCCAGGCAGAGCAGCTAGTTCAAGATGTCAACATATCAACCAATGAGCGCGCGAGACCGTGCCATCAAACACTTACAGAGTCTCACACCTGGACTAGCCAAGCCAGGGGAAGCCACCGAAGTTTATAAGGATGTTGACGATCTGGCCTACGCTCTATCTCGAGTGCCCACGTTTACACCTCGACCAGTGAGTATTATTGCGATTGGTGCGGGTTTTGCAGGTCTTTCGATGGCCAGGGCTGTTAGCACTGGCAATCTCCACAATGCTAGCATTACGGTCTATGAAAAGAACAGTGATGTTGGAGGCACGTGGTATGAGAATCGCTACCCAGGGTCAGTATTATGTTAAATTTGTGCACCGGCAATTCTTGAAATCTCTCCCTAGTTATTCATTTCATCATATACCTCGGTTTAAATTCTTTTTTAATCCGATATTCAAGCTAATGGTATACTAGATGCGCCTGTGATATACCGGCACCCAATTACCAAGCAAGTGAACCACAAGGCACCTGGCTGAGTGCCAAAATCTGACCAGTCTACCAGTTCTCCTGGGCACCGAACCCATTCTGGAAATCGTATTACGCTAAGCAAGAAGACATCCTATCATATATGAGATCAGTTGCTGAACAGCATGACTTGCGGCGATACGTGAAGACATCTCACAAGATCACCAATGCTTCTTGGATCCCAGAGCGCGAGGTATGGCAAGTCACTGTCACCAAAACTGACGGCAGGGATCTCATCATTTCAAGCCCAGGCGTTACAGATGGTGAGACGTCGACTACATTTGTGGAAGAATGTGATATCCTCATCAACTGCACCGGTTTCTTCAACCACTGGAAATGGCCCAACGTGAAAGACCGAGAACAGTTCGAAGGAAGGATGCTTCATTCAGCAGCCTGGCCACAGGATGCTGATAAAGACATCAAGGGGAAAACAGTGGCACTGATCGGTAATGGAAGCAGTGGTGTACAGATCCTCCCTGCCATCCTCAATGACGCAGAGAGGATATATGTCCACATTAGAAGTCCGACATGGGTCACTACCAACTTCGCTTCCAAGTTTGCAGGTCCCGGTGGATCGAATTATGATTATTCCGAAGAGCAAAAGGCTGCTTGGGCGAAAGACCCAGATGCATATCTACAGTACAGGCGCCAAATCGAGCAGGAACTCAACAGTCGTTTTGGTCTATACGTAGACCACTCTCCGGAGCAAAAGGTTGCTCGCGAGTATGGAATTCGTGAGATGGCCAACAAGCTTGGAGAGAGACAGGACTTGCTTCAAGCGCTGCTCCCGGACTTTGCTGTTGGGTAAGTCAAGAGGAAATCACTACATGGAATGCGTCACTGACCGCAATGTATAGGTGTCGTCGTCCAACACCCGGCAATGGGTATCTTGAGGCTCTGACGTCTCCCAAGGTACAGGTAATCTGGGGCACAGTCGAGGCCTTCACTAAGAAGGGCATCCGTACCTCGTCTGGCCACGAAACAACTGACGTCGACACAATCATCTGCGCCACCGGCTTCGACTTGTCCTGCGCCCCTCGCTTCCCAATCAACGGTCTCAACGGAACCAATCTCCAACACCTCTGGACCGAGAACCCTCGGTCCTACCTCTCAGTCACAGCGGAAGACATGCCCAACTACTTCAGCTTTCTGGGTCCATTCTCTCCGCTCGGCCATGGGAGTCTCGTAACCTCGATTGAAATGGTGACCAAGTACATCACCGACTTTGTGAACAAGCTTCAAACTCAAAACTACAGCTATTGCGTTCCCAAGGATCACATACCCGCTGCTTACCAGAAACATGCCCTCGCATGGCTTAACAAGACGGTTTGGGCGAGTAACTGCAGCAGTACGTTTAAGAACGGGACTGCTGGCGGACAGCTTAACAGTTTACATCCTGGTAGCCGGATTAATTATTTTGAGCTTCTGCGTACTCCAAGGTGGGAGGACTTTGAGTGGAAGAGTCTTTGCGAGAGTGAGGACTTGACTTTTGCTTGGCTGGCGAATGGATTCACGTATAGGGAAAAGAACCCGGCTGACTATCCAGATACAACGTAAGTCTTCTCCTCTCATTTCTACCTTCCTCCAAGCAGTGTTAACTAACAGTTGAACTTAGCTGGTTTATCAACTTTGACAAAAATTCTAAGCAGATCGAAAGACGTAACATAGAGGAAGAGGTTCGAGATGTCGTGAACGGGACCGCAAGGCTGTAGACAGACTAGATAGACTGCATCGCCTGGCTGAATATATATATAAACTGCATCTCTGTTTACTATTCCCATTGGTGCTACGTGGTGTATTACGAATGTTGATAATGTAGAATAATAGCGTAGTGTTGCTGGCTGAAGCATAGTAGAGCGTGAGGCATGATATCAATAATACTTGTGACGCTCCATTAGAATTAAGTATTCGTTACATCCGTAGTTCTTCTGGCTTCACGTCCCATTACTCATTTCAGTAATGCATTTATTACGGTAATAGTGGCAATACAAGCTGGTTCAGCACAAAGGTGAGAGGCAGTGAGAGACAATATCATTTCAGGGTAGTTATAGCTTGGAAAACTCAGAAACATTCTTTTCTCCTCCCAGCAACATCTTTGCAAGCTTGGCTGTGGCATCGGTTGTCTTGGCTCTTGCGCGAGTTGATCGGCCCTGGGGACCAGCATCTCCCAATATGTGTACCTCCCTCCAACTACCAATATCACCAACCTCCAGAACCGTCCCCCCAGTGTACTTGATCTCAGTCAGCAATGCCACCATCGCCTTCACAACTTCTTCAGTGGGCAACAAGAAGTCTTTAGACAGATCAACGTGATTCTGTGCTCCTGAGTTATTACGAAGCAGCGGTGTGTCAACTAACCTAGATATTGTGAGTAAGATTGACAAATCAGTAGGGAACTTTAACTTACCCCGGCGCAATGCCGACTACTCGGATGCCACACATCTGGTCGAGCGGTGCCATGCAACGGACGAATTGGCTGATAGCAGCTTTCGATACAGAATAAAGTGGAAGAACAACGGAGGGCTTTTGGGCTGTGATGCTTGAAAGGTGAAGGATGGTGCCTGGCTTCTTGGCCTCTCGCATCTTCCGGATCGCGATCCGTGTCATTCTAATGGGGTGGAGCATGTTAATGTCAAACAGCTTGTAGTTGAGTGTTTCGTCCTCGTCATCCCAGAACCCAGGAAAGGACCCTTCGTACACGCCAGCGCCGGGTACTACGATATTAGGTACTCCGCCGAGCTTCTTCTTGAAGACCTCAAAAACCTCGACTAAGTGTTCCAGTGAAGTTACGTCAGTCTTATGAAATACCACTTGGGGGTTGACTTGGTTTCCAAGAGACTTTAGCCATGCTACGGCAGTGGGACTCAGTGCGATGTCAGCAATAAGGACTGCGCATCCCTTAGCTCTGAGAGCCCTTGCAAGTTCCAGGTTGATCCCTTTGTTCAAACAGTCAGATCGAAGAGCAGAGGAATGTAATGAGAGTCTTCTTACCCGAACCTCCTCCTGTTACTAAAGCTGTGTTATGGGGAAGATCGCTCATGGTGACAGGATGAGTTAATGTGCTTTGCTACAAGTGAGTTATGAAGTAGGCGGTGCTGTATGTAGAGTCCTGCGATTGACAGTGAATTGAGATTCCAAGTTGAAAGTCCAAACTCACCAAATTTGTTTCTTCGCTGGAGGTCTGGACACTAAACGTTAGCGTTAAGAATGATAGGCGAGACTATTCCCTGTTGAACTCTAGCCTAAACGGAAAGGAACCAATTTTAGCAGGCCTCCTTTGCCTCCGAGTTCCGTGGGGCATTTATACGGAAACACTAACATAACAAAATGACCTTGAGGAGTTGACCGATTCCATGGAAATAATGTGGCGAGGATAACGTCTGAAAACCTGTAACATTTCGGCTCGACTTGGGTGTTTGGTTGGTTTTCCCTCCTCAACTTTCAATCGCATCACAATATGGTCAAGGCCTGAAAACGCGGGGTGACAGGCTAATCAACCCTTATTCCGACCTTCCGAATCTCGCTGAGACCATGGGATCACCGTGACCAAGATTCAAATATGCCAGTAAATACAAGTAAAACATCTTTACTATATCGCATTATATATAATCTACTCTTCCTTGTCATCACGCCTTGACCTAATAACATGAATATCATTTAAAACTAATTTGTATACACAAAGGTCTGCCCACACTTGGCGACTATGCCCTTCGGTACTTTCAAGACAAAGGAGGCTCGAGGCCCCATCCCTCTCTGCTCTTCGCCCTACCCAGTTGGCCTGGATGAATTCACCAATGTCCATATTCTTTCCGTCAAATATCACACAACATACGACGCCGTCAAGGATATGATCCCTGAAGAATGTGAGCTGGAAGATGAGCCGCTTGTTATTCTCACCCTCTTCAGCTACGGCATGAGTCCCATTGGCGCATACAACGAGTTTGTCTGCCAGGTCGAGGTCAAGTGGGAGGGCAAGATATTACCCTTCTCGATCGAGCTTATCCTCAACAATGAAGGTGCCATATATGCCGGACGGGAGCGCTGGGGTATTCCAAAGGTTATGGGTAACGTTGAGTGGGGTCCTTCCAAGATCAATTCATCGCCTAATGGAATCATTACGGGCCATGTTGAGCGTCCCGTGGGGTGCAAGCTCGTCCAGTTCGGGTTCAAGCCGCAGAAGAAAGTTCAAGACTGGGGTGCTCTGAGCGGCACGAAGCGCGAGAGTCTTCACTTCCGTTCGATCCCTGCGGCGAATAGTTATGATCCCCCAATTCTCAGGGAATTCATCCCTACCTGTATTGAGATAACTCATGCTGAGGTTTGGGCAGGTGAGGGATCTATTGGTCTCTTTAATGTTTCAGAGTTCGATCCGATTCATCGACTCGAGGTCGTGAGATACGTTGGCGCAACTTTGTGCAGAGATGCTAGAGCTGTCCTGCATCCACTTTCAAAGACCTTCCCTGTCTGAGGACCGATGGCACAGCATTTAAGTAGCATATTGGTTTATAAATATTCACATTAATATCGCATTGTAAATGCTCCATTCTTGAATCATATCCGGCATACATTTTGCCTTCATGACTGTATGTGAACTGGGTTGCAGATGATCTAGAAATATTAATAATCCAAGTTCCTTAGACGTGCTATGTAAATAGGATAATAAGATCAACCCAGATAATTACATGCCGTCTCTCTTCTGTTCTCCTGAACTATGTTTGACCACAGTGAAAATACTAAAATATGACTAAACGTGCTAAGTTGCTTTTCAGACTTCTGTATTTGGGCTTCCAGCTTCCTCAACTACCCACCTTATAAGCGCAGTAGTGATTGAGAAGCAAGCAGTAGATCATGATCGCATAAACGTCAAATGGCGTTATATAAAGAAGTAGAATATTCTAAGAAACTATAGGTTGGCATTATCACCAAGGTCTTGGTCATTTGATTCAACAAATAGTTTTATACTACACTGAAGATCCTCCATCAATGCGAATAATCTGACCAGTTATAAATGACGAACTTTCGCTGAGAAGAAAACAAATTAACGCCGCAACCTCCTCAGCTCGTCCCTGTCTCGAGATGGGCTGCTTGGAAACTCTCTCCTTCAGAAAGGTTGTAAACTCTGGGGGAACACTCTGAGTCATTGCAGTATCTATCGTGCCACTGAGCTTGATTTTAGCAGAGTCCAATAGACTTTCATGTTTCTCAAGGTAGGAATTGTTGAAACTTACGGTGCGACTGCATTCACTCTGATGCCAGTTGGGCCCTCTTCTCTGGCTCCCGTCTTTGTAAGACCAACCACTGCATGCTTCGAGGCCGAGTATTGTGCAGCCCCAGGGACTGCCACTAGACCAGCCAGACTTGCCAGATTGACAATACTCCCGCCGCTAATCATGAAATTGAGCTCAGCTCGCATGGAGTAGAAGACACCTGTGGCATTGATGCCCATACACAAAGCCCAGCTATCATCGGCCAGGTCGCGGATCTTACCCTTGCCCATCTGGACAGCGCTTATTCCTGCCGAATTAACTGCCCCATCGAGTCTGCCAAATCTTTTCACAGTGTCTTCGATCCAGGAAATAATTTGGGCGCTAGATATAACATCGACCTCTGCTATCATGATGTCTTGTTTATCACGGGTTGTGTGCGCGGCGAGAAGGGCTTGGGTGGCTTGCTCAAGTGGATTGAGTGATCTATCAGACAAGGATAACTTGGCTCCGACTGAGAACAGTAATTGAGCAGTTGCAAGACCAATCCCGGATGCTGCGCCCGTGACGGCAATAACTTTGCCTTTGAGGTCTTGCATTGTTGTTTGGCTTTGTATGGTAGTTTGATATGTGTTATGATGTTATTAGAGGACGTATGAGCCAGATGTGTGACCTTTTGATCTTGATCTACTTAGTTAATAAGAGAAAGATGGATTTCGGCAGCACAGTTTACGCCAGGTATCTATTGTTTTAGTTGACTAACAATAGACAATGATGCCTATGCTTCGTAAAAAATAGGTTGTATGTTGGAGGAGTTAGCCGGAATTTTTGTTTCGGAATGGCTGAATAGAGCGCACTAACCCCGCGGAACCCCAAGCTCGGGCACAATATTTAGTGCTCATAGCGTTGGGCATGATCAAAGTGGGCCGACCATTGCATCATATACCCGCCCAGTTCCGCGGAAAAAAGCCATGAGACGAATGTCAACCATTTCCCAGACTATAGTTAATCAGGCCGCTATGTAGTATTTACGACTAAGAGATATGCCAAATATATTGAGATGCTATAGCCTACCTCCCAAATCAGGTAACGATCCGTCATATACCAACGAGCTGGAACCATATCCTCTCTACCAAGCAGCAATATGTACACTCTTCATGTTGGTTCCATGTCCTGGTTTGAACTAACAGCTGGTGGCCTTTCTATCTTCCTGTTACTCTTTTGCCTATACAATCTTGCTCTTCCCAAACCTATTCCCGGAATACCATATAACAAAAGTGCCACAAAGCGCCTACTGGGAGACCTTCCGGACCTGGTTGAGTATCAGAAGCATACCGGGGAGCAACGCCGATGGTTTGCGCTGCAGAACCAGAAGTTCAACTCCCCAGTCTGTCAAGTCTTCATCCGCCCCTTCGGAAAGCCGAGAGTGGTTGTATCGGACTTTCGAGAGGCGCACGATGTCCTTTCGAAACGGTTGAAGGATTTTGACCGCAGTGATAGAGCCCGGGAGGCATTTGCGGGAATCATCCCCCACCAGATGCTTTCTTATCAAACAGTGGATCCCAAGTTCAAGAATCACAGAGAGCTGATGAGGGATCTCATGTCACCAAAGTTTCTCAACCAGGTAAGGTAGCTAGGCGCCATTGAAATACAATTCTGATCGGGCTTAGGTCTCAGCTCCCGAGATATACTCCAAAGTCAACACTTTGGTTAGACTGTGGCATGAGAAGTGCTTGCATGCCGCTGAGCATCCGTTTGATGGAAAGAGAGATGTTCAGAGAGCTACTCTTGATGTTATTACAGCTGTTTCCTTTGGCCTAGACGACGAGAATAGTGCCACTAAACGGCAACTGGATGACATGTTGGCCAGATCTACTGCAGGTGTCACATTCGCGCAGCCCGAGAAGAAGATTGTGGATTTCCCCGTTCATCCCTTGACAACAGAATTAGATGCCACCTTGACTATTGTTGAGAGCTCAGCAGTTGGTTTCTCGTCGCCGACACCCCGATGGCACTATTGGATTCTGAGTCAATTTCCGTACCTGAAAAAGGCCGCTAGAGTTAGGGAGGAGTGGACGCGACGCGAGATTGACAAGGCGGTCAAGGCAATCTCCAAAGATGGCTCCGAGAATGCATGGGCAACACGTTCGGCACTCGAGTTTATGGTACTTCGTGAAGCAGCCGCTGCTAATAAGGCCCAGAGACCACCGAGGTTCCACCGTCGGCGCATATATGACGAGGTATGCTTCCTCCATCTTTTTGTGTCGACTGATAACTAACAAAGCTGGACAGCTGTTTGGGTTCATTATTGCAGGGCACGACACAACGGCTGCTACTCTTTCCTGGGGTGTCAGATACATTGCGGATGCTCCGCAAGCACAAAGAAAACTCCGATCACTCCTTCAGAATGCCTTCTCGACCGCTCTTGCGGAGCATCGCCAGCCGACGATAGACGAGATAACCAGTGCATCTATTTCATATCTTGATGCTGTCATTGAGGAGACACTACGTCTCAGTGCGGTGCTCCCAATAGTAAGTCGAGAAGCAATGGTCGACACAACGATTCTCGGACACGCCATTCCAAAGGGCACCTCCGTGTTCTTTACACTAAACGGACCCAGTTTGATGAAGCCGGCAATCGAAATCCCTGAGGATATCCGGAGTGAAAGCTCGCAGGGGACAAAGAGTCGATACGGAAAGTGGCGCGCAGAGGATGTCGAGCAATTCATACCTGAGCGATGGATAGATGTTGATGACAAAGGTGTTGAGACTTATAACGCCATGAAAGGGCCATTCCTCACGTTTGGTAGTGGACCACGAGGCTGCTACGGAAGGAGACTTGCTTACCTGCAGCTTCGGATCTTCTGGGTGTTGCTCATGTGGAACTTTGAGTTTCTCCCTGTTGATCCGGAGCTCAGGACTCAGGATGTCGTAGAGCATGTTGGTGTGGAGCCGCGTGAAAGTTATGTACGACTGAGAAAGGTAGAGAATTCTTTCTGATACTAAAACAAGACTCTTGGTAGCTTAAGCTTCAAGTCTTGCATACAGTACTATAAAGCCTACTTAGAAATGCATTCTTAACCTCTTCACGACATACATCGCGAATATTCCCTTGAACTAATTATCTATGTAGACTCTTAAAACAAATATAAAAAAAAAGCAATGAGCTGGGACATGCATTCACTAAGCGGATTAGTGCAGATAGACGATAAGAAAGTTAAACGATACTAAACAGAGTTAAACGATGCTAAACGGAGTTAAACGAGGCTGAACGAGGAACAGGCAGGTCAAGAGTTTAGAAAATAAACATGACTGGTGATTCTTCCAGGAACCGTACCCACTAACCCACCAGTTGATGCGCTAAGCGCACCTAACTGTTGAGAGACGGCCTAATCATATGATTTTTCAGTCTTCTCTTCCTTCCATCCGTTCTCGTCACATTCTGTCGTTCTTCATCGTACATCGTTCAGGCATTCCAGCAGACCCGCTTCTTGTTCTGTTTCTTCACGAATCAGCGGGGCCCTTTTGGCATTTCATCGATCGGGTTTTCAACCATGGGGTGGCCATCAAGACCTCGGATGCGGAGGCCACACCTAAAGTCCAAGAATGGCTGTCTTAACTGCAGAAAACGTCGAGTAAAGGTATGTCAGTCTACGTATCCCTTCTTCCCATTCCGACCAAAGCTGAAACAAGGATTTGCCCGCTTTCTCAGTGTAGCGAGGAACACCCGATATGCCGGTCATGCGCGAGCCGTAGCACCGTTTGTGAATACCCAAAAGGAGTAGTAGAATCTTCCACATCAGTGTCTGTACCGCCGTTACGCACTTCTATAGAATCACCACCGAGAGTATCGCCGTTCCCTTCTGACACCTCACTATTAACAAGAACGTCGGCCTCGGCCACCCTTCCGCTCCAGAGTCTCGGTCATACAACGACTCAGGCATTGGAGTTGAACCAATTATATCTTCTTCACCATTGGACGGTCTCTACAAGTGTCGACCTTTGCAGATGTCCCAAAACACTGTACATATGGCAGGAAGCCCTTCCTGAGATTGGTTTTCGATATCCATTCGTCTTGCATGCTTTACTAGGCCTCGCCGCCCTACATATTGCCTACCAATCTCCAACAGAGCGAACGCGAAGTTGGCTAGTTGGCATGCATCATCATAACGAGGCCTTGACTGGGTTTCAGAAAGAGATTTCTCTCATCACCGAAGAGAACAGCGAAGCGTTATTTACATGGTCTATATGCAACGTTCTATATATCTTTGCTACATCCAATCCACTTCGGCAGCTTGTAGACGGAAACCCTAGGTCGTCGACATCAGTACAGAAGGAGAAGGTTTTAGGTACAGAATGGATTCCTATGATCCGTGGTTTGAGGGCTGTGCTTGAACCTACCCATAATTACTTCCGTTCTGGGAGAATGAAGGCTATAATGAGTCTGGGTAATTGGGGTGAACTCGACCCGGATCAAGACAGCCAGGGCCCTGAAGACGCCTATTTCTGTCGCGCCCGTGAGTCTTGGGGCAACTCCGATCGTGCCGAAGTCTATGAAGAGGCGCTGCAAATCCTTCGCAAATGTCGACTTTACTCGTCGCAGTTCCGCGAAATGGACTCGGAGACAAGAAGCAACTGGGGATATAACAAAGAGTGGTCTGCGCCTCTGATATTCATTCATTTTGCACCCGACTCATACTTCTCCCTCCTGCAGCAGAGACAGCCGCCAGCTTTAATCCTGTTTTCCCTGTTTGGAGCACTCCTGCATGGCGTGAGGAATTACTGGTTCTTAGAAGGCTGGGGGAAAGCGATAGTGGAAGTAATAGCAGATGTCCTTGGGAGCTACTGGAAAGAATGGTTGCTATGGCCTTTGCAGGTCATTCAGGACTAACAATTAATCAGTCTGATCCTAGTGATACACTCCGTTGGCAGCATAATGACTGAGATATATTCAAAGCGGTTTAACCTCGTAAACACCGAGTCATAGGAGAAGGCCAATATTATTCTATAGATGAAATGCTTCTCCACTTATTGCTGCCTTGCGGCTATTTCACTTTTCCGGAGCAAAAGCTCGTTGACTGATCGACTTCCTTCACTTCTCAGGTCGTTGTCACTACGCGTCAGAAGCTAGCGGGTAGAGAAGAGAGGAACGTACATCAATTTTAGAAAACTTTGAAAGTCAGAGTGTTTGACCATTTAACGAGAGAGAGGTCATCGTGAACCATGTCAGCATCGTGGATTGGTAGGGGCTGGTACCTGCTTCTGATATCTCGTCTCCTGACGGGCGGGGCAGGGTAGTCGAGTTAGACGGGTTTGAAGGGAATGTTGGCAATTGCTTTAGCATTGGATCTACAAACACGCTGCATGGTAGTCCGAGATACCTCCGTATAGCTTGAGTAACCGGTTTCGTTTAACGATGGAGTACCTATCTGGCCCCATCTTGCCCCATTTCAAGACCCGAGTCTACCACTTCTCCATCAGATTCTTCCTTGCAGTCCACATTCGCGCCCGCTTACCAAAGATATACATTGGTATCGAGAACAAACAAATAGTAAGCTGAATGATTCCAATCCACATAAAAACTCTTTTCGGCCCGTCTTTCTCAAGCCAATGAGACACAAAAAGACTAAATACAAGCCCGTGTGCAATATTCTTCGTGAAATTGAGCGTGACGAGGGCTTCGCCGGCGTATTGGCGGTAGCTATCCACGCAGAAGGTGATGGATGTCGTAGAGCCTAAAGAGCAGCCGAACGAAATAATGCCGAAGAAAATTGTTGGCACAATCCACTCATCGTGGACCTCGGCGGACCATCCAAAACCTATCAGTCCCATGCATGTTGTAATCAAGATAGGGAGAGCCATAATAAGTCTGAATTCGGGCTCGTATAGGCCTCCATTTCGACGAGCCATGGAGCGTACCAAGATATCGCTGATTTTACCGGCCACGCCTGTACCGAGAACAGCTCCGATAAAGGGAGCGAGGTATACAAGACCGGTTTGGATGGCTGTAAAGTTGTACCTATGAGGGTCTCGATAGATCATCGCCATCGTCTCGGCCAGAACGATCAGCCAGCCGATGGAGCATGAGTACATGATCGCTGACCAGAGGACAGCAGGATAGACGAGGAGAATGAATGGTCGTATCATAACTTTGAACCAGTTATCGTTGTTGAGACGGCCGTTGAAGACCTTCATATGCTGGACAAATGATTGCGCGGGCTTTTGGCGGAGGTCTTGTGTGTAGTTGCTGGGGACGGGATAGTTAGGAGAGGCCGTTTCGGGGTCCGGTTGTTTATCTGAGCCAGAAGGTTCGCCGTTCTTTTCATTCTCTGTTGGCGAGGGCGCAGCTCCCTCTGAAGAGATCTTGTACTGATCCTCTGGGTCTGCAGAAAAGCCAACATGCTTGTGGTTCTCGCTCGTGGAGCGGATCAGAGCCTTTTCATCAGACTTGTTGCCCTCTGCCATGGCTGACAATAATTGCTCTCCTCTGCGAGAGGACATGCGTCTAAGAAGACTAGGCTTGTGAGATGGCTTTCGCGACGGAGTTCTATCCCAAAATGTCTCTGGGACAAACAGAAACAAGAGGCAGAAGGCGAAAGCAACAACCATGGCCATGATGCTTTGAACAGTCAGCAGTACTTCAATGCAAAACGGTGAGGCTTGGCTTACAAGAACGCCCACCTCCATCCAAGCTTTCCAATAATGGCAGCTCCGGCAAGCGGGATCAAATTCTTTCCACCAAGGAGTAGAAGTGTATAAATACCAATCCGATAAGCCCTCTCGTGAAGGAAGAAAATCTCTGCAATAGTGGCAGAAGGTAAACATTCTACCGGACTTATTGAAATACCCTGGAAAACACGCGCGACCAACAATGACTCGAAGCTAGGCGAAAGGCCAGACCAAAGGGCAGTGCCGATAAAAATGATGGCGCCAGCAAGGTAGATCGGTCTCTTACCGTAGAGAATAGCAGTAGGAGATGCGATAACGGCTCCAATGCCGAGACCAGTCATGCAAAGACCCGTCGTCAAGGCAACTTTCTCAACTGACACATTGAACTCTTCCGCAACGTCTGTGAAACCAGCGGCGATAAGGGGGGTGATTCCACCGCCGATCATGCAGTAGAAACCCAGAGACAATAGCGCTGCATCACGACGCCAGCTAGGCCAATTCAGAGGGTCGTTGGCTGAATCATCAGGTTGCGGGTCTAGAATGATTGTGCCGTCGTCGGTTCTCTTTTTACTTGCCACGGCTGGTCTTGGTGTTTGGGGTTCTACGGCGAAGCCAGCGGGGATGGAAGAGTGGGATGTGCGAGCGTGGATGTTGCGCAGACCGAGAGGCTCGTTACGGTCTTCTGCGAGGAGTAAAACAGATCCTAAATGGGGTAAGATACTATCGGATATCAACGGCGGGAGAACTGACCGGGTACTTCGACGGTTTCTCTGTCATTGAGAATGCCCATGGTCCATTTGGCAGGGCCAATAGAATCGCTTGTAGAGTCTGCATTGTTCGAAGCTCTGTTTCCGAACAGACGGGTCCATCTGTTAGGGGTGATAGACACATCACTAGACGTCATTGTCGTTGATGTCAAAGCCAAGAAGCTGAAATGAGTCAAAGCAGAGTAGATGAGCTCCCCGAAAAATGAAGTCTAAAAGAGGGAAAGAGTCTCGTGATATTAGATCTGGGTCTAGGCCAAGGGAGATCAAGGATAGAAGAATGAAGAGGAAAGCAATTCTAGCAGAGAATCAGTCTAAATAAGATAAAGATAAAACAAATCAGATCATAAACACCAAGATATCGTCTTTCGAACTCCCCGTTGATACATCATGTGCAATCCGTTGAATCAGCCTCCGAAGCTCGTGTGAGTTCTGACTCTCACCAACTCGTCCATGTAGGCTGCATTGCGGATCTACCAGCAGATCTACATTTTCTAGGCAAATAGGCAAGCGAGCGGCTATCGTGGGCGAAACAGCTACTCCGATAGGATACACCTTGTTCTTTGTATATACCTCGTGAAAGATGGTCCTTGGTGTTGTCAGCCCCGACGCTAGTATCTAGCTCATGTGCCATGCTTTGTGGGGGGTGAGCATGATGAAAGTCCCCGCGCACGAGGGAGAAGATTCTGGGGCTAGCGTTACACCTGACAAACTGTATAAAAATATCTCCGCGGAGCCTGAAATTTAGAAAATTCTAATATCTAGATTATTGTATAATAGTAGGGTCCTATTAATAACAGAAGACTACATTATTTTTTTAGCTTAGAATTTGAAGTTAATATTATCAAGTTAGCTTTTTTCTTAACATATGTAGGCAGATAGCTAGCTAAGGTATGTAAATGCCTAGAGAAGAAGTCAGATAATATAGAATAAGCTTGCACTACCTAAAACAAAGAATTCAAAGTAATTCCATATCTTTTCCATATCTTGCATTACCAAAATTAAACGGGTGAAAGTGTCGCCTGTGCGGCTATATTGTCCATCGCGTTCAAAAAAGATAAAAACATTCTGCTGAAGATTATTAGTCAAACACAAGAGGCACGGAAAACCATCGGCGGGCTGTTATGTGGCCATTTACAGAGGAAAGTGTTATGTGCTCAGCAGTTGTCCCAGCAAATAGCTTCAAGAGAAATATCACAAACAAATGTAAGGAAATACCCATAATAAAATGCATCCAGATTCGTTTTAATTGCAAGAAGCGCCTGCCCAGCCTTATATTCCTGAACGAGGTAACTGAACGGGAGCAAAAGTACTGGGAAGCAGTGGACCAGTCGCAAGACAGGGAAAGTAGCTGTCTAATAATAAAAAGTAGCACAATAAATAGAACACAATGGCAATATACATGCAGGGGCTCAAGGCATGATATTCTCTAAGTATTGACTCGTGTCATACCTAGGCAGATCATATACATGGCAAAACTAAACGGTAACTGCTCGAGAACCGAGCCTACTCAGCTTTACTAGCATTTGCAGCTCCAGTGACAGAAGGATACATGCAGACTTATGCGATTATATCCCCACTATTGTCCCATTTGTTTTTGGACACCTTTACCTGAGTCTCGATTATTTCGACACCTCCTGGCCAACCAGTTTAAGTGCCCCTGCAAGAACCGCTCTCATAACCTGAATGCATACTACAGTCAACCAATGAGAACAGAAAGCCTCAATCTGCAAGTCGGATCATGAGATAATATCACTAATAAACGAGTCATGGTGTGATTTAACCGGAAGATCATCGAACTAAAGGTCACGGAACAAACGAGGCCGATCGGCGACAGCTAAAGAACTTCCGACTATAGCAACAATTACAATTGCAAATTGGAGCTGCATATGCTAAACACATTATATAATAACCTCCCTAGGGCCAAGTAGTTATACTGTGATTGATATGGATATGAAAACTTGGTAAATTAATTATAAAGTATAAGCGTAATTTAATTGCATTGCTAATAGAATATGCTTAATATAGCCGACGACTTATCTTGCATATCCAGTTTAGCAGTTGTCGGAGGTTCTAAGTTAGTATCCGACCTCCGATTAGGTTGGTGGGTCCTTTAATTAGAGGCTAGACCTAATGCCTTTACTGTTGTTTATGAACTTATTTAAAGTCTTTTTATCCCAGATTATAAATAACTTAAATCGATTTCTCTCTGTTTTTTATTTATTTAATAATTTTAAGAAACGTATAGGCCACGTTCTTTCTTACTATCAACAAACATGGTGTCATTTGCCCTCTTAACTGCTCTTGCATACCTAAGCGTCTCTGCCTCTAGCACTCCCAGGCAAAACGACTTTGCCACTCACTCAACATCCGATAATCATGCCAATCTATTAGAATATTCTATCAGTGATGAAAGGAAGTTCCGCGACTTGTCTTACAGATGGACCCATGCCTGGGATCAGAAGGTATTAGATGCGTCTTATGCTTCTGGTCCAGATTTCTAGTCGTCTACAGGACAAAGCGACATGGCTTGCAATAACCGCCCCTGAAGTTATTGCTAACTACACCGACTATCCAGCTGTCGGGACACTCACTATCAGCAGCCCTGCGAGTATATTCGATCACTCATTTGATGATAGAGGCCTTGGTGATAAACGATGCAAGTTAGCCGCCTTGTTAAATCATCAATACTAACTTACCATCGCTAGTGCACACACAACATTTTCTCGGCTCGTCCCTCTTTACCCATATCAGCAAGAGCGAGGCAAAGGGGGACTGGCAGGTTCGAGCTCGCCATGTCAGGGAAGTGAACGGTGAGGAGCGTCAATGGATTCTAGCGCATACGTCGAATTCACCTACAGTCTCATTGATGGGGACTGGAAGATCTCAGGACTGCGTCCTCATACAGTAGTGGCTACTACTGGACGACCTGAAGATGTTATTGGCTTATTTCCCTAAGCGCTCTGGAAAGGGAGACTTCTGGTGCAATGACTTTGGCTATGTTGCTGCTCTGCAGTCTATCCACTAAGGTATGCAAGCCGTGGTACATTAAAAGCTGCATTGCATTATGATTAAGATAGCCAGCACCTTAGCAAGGTCCCTAGCATTTAGTTCCTTGGTGTACTGACATACTATTGCTAGTATATAGTCTTTAAACGAATCCACCCTATAACATTATCCCTCAACTAGTCCTAATTTCTCTAGCTACAGCTACTGGCAGTAAAGCAATATTGACAGAGCCAGAACATATATGCAACACTGCTGGGTAATCCCCGACGGCGTATGTAAGACCGGGCTGCCTCGTAGGTGCTCAAACTTGCTATTTAATTCACCAACTGAAGCGGCTAGCACAAACGGCAGTCTTGTTTCACACGTACTTGTTGAGAAGATTAGCTTGACCAGTAGTACGAGAGCCGGGAGCATGTCTAAAACACGCTTGCAGAAGCGACATTTTCATGTGATTACAGTTGCGTAAGTAACTGACCAGACTTATATAATAGTTACCGTGCAAACTCACGAAATTGAGTAGCGCCTGTGGATCCAAGCTACTGTGGCCATTTGACCAATGGCAAAATGTCAGATCGTTGATTTTCCTTTGAACCAATAAAAGCACCAAAGACAGGAATTAAGATACCCACAGGCGCTACTCAATTTCGTAAGTTCATACGGTATTTCAACTCACCACGAATCATTAAACAGAGTACAGGGATGGTTCAGGGATTTAAGGAACATAAGGCTGATTTCTTGTCAAAGATCCCTGCACGGAACCGCCGTGCTTGCTTTTTGTTCTAGTCCTGAGAAGGATAAGACAAGGCACATTTGAATACCGACTTGCCTAAACAGGCCAAGTCTCACCATGATCAGCAGAGCTGAGCCTCTCCATTTTACTGAAGTACCGAACGTTATGTCACTGCTGGGAAAAGATTAGATCAATGTCAGCAGAGCCAAAAGAATATAAATAAAATCTGACACCTGTTATCTTCCACATCTTCATCCCTCATCATCTCTTAATTTGAAGCTTCTACCTTTCAATACATCGCCATGGCTCACCAACAAGGATACGCGCAGCATCAACAAGCGATGCAACACGCAAGCAATGACAGCGGTGCCTTTCCAGGCGGTACCTACAGCATCGCTCACCGCGACACCAACGCCGTTCTCAACGTGGATCTTCAGCAAGGAGCCGTGGTGCGCTCCAAGTCAGGCGCCATGATTCACATGTCTGGCTCTATCGAGTTAACCGGAAAGTCCAAGTTCTCTCTAGGAAAGCTCTTCACGGGCGGCAACTTGTTTGAGTCGACGTACACCGGCCCAGGACGTATTGCGCTTGGCCCGACGCTTTTTGGCGATATTATCACGTTGCACGTTGATGGTCATCAGTCTTGGACCATCGGCAGAGACGCTTTCCTTGCTTGCACTTCTGAGGTTACGAAAAAGAGAGAAACACAGGGGGTCGGCAAGGCTTTGTTCTCGGGAGAGGATCTCTTTGTCTTCCGTATTGAGGGTCAAGGCATTATGTGGCTGACGAGCTTTGGTGCTGTCGATCGCCTGGATGTAAGATTCCCTCAGCATGTTACTACCTGACACTGCTAATTGTTTTAAAAAATAGCTTCGACCTGGGGAGGAACACATTGTTGATAACGGTCATCTGGTGGCTTGGAGCTGCAAGTACTCCATCGAAAAGGCTGGTGGAGGAGCTATGACTGGATTGAAGACCGGTGAAGGTCTGGTATGCCGGTTCACTGGCCCTGGCTCGGTTTATGTACAGACGCGAAACATGGATGAGTTTAAATCGTTTATTAGGTCAGCTTCTGGAGCTTAGATCTGGTAGTTTTACATTAGCTCAGGCTTTGTACAAAGTTCCCCATCCCTCCAACCTTTCTCGTCCAAACGTGACAGCCAAAAGTGTGCATATAAAGTCATCAACGTCACCTGGTTTCCTACTTGCGAGTACATCGCCCATTCGATGACTAAAGACTGGTATGAATCCGACGGCTTTCTCATTAACTCCTTTCATAACTCTTTTCCAGGCGTGAGCTGACGTGGCATCCCATAAACCCTCGTCACCCGTACAGGTAACACCTCCCGGGCAGCCGGACTAGCCAGTCTTGAGTGTCGAGTATATAGTCACTAGTAGTACAACTATGAGGTACGTGCGCCGAATGGACTCAGCGTAGGCCCAGGAACGCCAGAATGAATCGAGATTGCCATCGAGGCAGGGTGTGAGATGTGTCGTAGGTGTAGGCTCGCCAGAAACAGAATTTCCACTGTTCAATATGTTCCAGGGTTATGGAAAACCACTACAAGAAGAGGCACTTTGGATCAATTGGTGTCCCCAGGGCATCAGGACATCCAGTCCTTGTTCGGCTCGGGCGCGTGCATTAATGTCTCCGTCAAAGAGGCAAATACTTATGTAGACGATGAGAGCCTGTGTGCGAGAAAGATGCTTTGAAGTATCTCTCATGGTACTATCGACGGAATCCAGCGACTGACACTCAATGAGGGTACTGATGTTAGGCATAAGGCAGCTGTAGTAATTACGGCAATCTGTATTTTAAGTAATATTCTAATCTAATAAGGAGTAGATATACTACAGAGAAACCAATTTTGATAAGTCTCTTTTATAAAATATATATAATAACATAGGCTTTTAAGTAGGAATAAATCCTTACATGATCTCTCTGCAGAGCATATCCTAGTTAATGCTTTTTCTAAGGGGATATAATAAGATAGTAAGAAAGATATTAGTTTATCTATCTAACTTATGCTTATAAAACTATTTGCTCTTAATAGAAGAACAAAGAAACAGCGACCTTAAGGTATAGGTATATCTGCTCTTTGAGCTGCGTCTATAGATTATTAGTGTTCTTCAGGTAGTGGGAATCTCTTGATCCTACTACAGAAGTTAGCTGTTGCGTGCAACAGTCAAGACCCTACATATCGAGCCAAAAGACATCAGTCAGGGTACAATGCAGCGTAATACGATACAAAGATATGTGTCCTCATTTCGGCGTCTCCACCAGCAAATGACCCGAGCTTGAATTGGTCTTGATAGCCAGCGAACAACGGAGGCTTCGAAAGGTGAGCGTTTGCAGGATATTTATTTATTAATGGTTACTTGTGATACGCAGCCTGGATTCGCTTATCTGTATTAGATAACGCCTCAAGGCTATGGCTGTCCAGGGGTAGTTTTTAGTCACCTTAATAGGAAGAGTAACTGCTAAAGCTATCTGGTTGAAGAGGTCTGGTAAATTTAATATGACACTAGATTCTTCATTCAGCAGTAAGTACCCTGATGAACTGGAATGGCAGAAACTGGCAACCCGCTCAGCACCGTTCCAAAAGGCCGAGCCTCGCCAACTTTAAGATGATTTCGAAAGATACTCAAACGAATTAGTGGACCGATGCTAGGCGACCCGTGGCGGCTGTATGTCTGCCTGTGTTGGCTTCTTCCCAAAACACACACTGACTAATTAGATTAGTCGCTGGAGGTTATTCACGAGTAAGGCGCACGATGCAAGCATCAGCTATCAGGTCTATCAACTCAAAATAACACTCTCATAAACACACTTCAGGCAGCATACCAACGGAGGTTATTCAGCAGGACCGCACGTAGACAATTCCCTGTTCCAATCTCTTCAATTTTCCGTTCTTCATGAACTTTAGATTGATGATGAAATCTGCCTTCTTGATGAACTTTGCGCTCTTGATGATTTCAAAGGCGTATAAATGTGCGAAGGGATTTCTCTTTAGACCATTGAGATTCCTATACCAGGATGAAATGAAATACACGTGCGGTTAGCGAGTATGAATCAAGGATATCATAGGCGGAAGCGGGTTTCGCTGCTCAAGTTTCCCGTCGCAGACTCGCCGCAACAAAGGTTATAGTTAATCCCGCTCAAAGGAATAAGACGCCAGTATTCTCAAGCAGGGGTGAAGTAGTTGGTACTAGCGATTTTGCTGCATAACAGTAGCGCTATTGTTGGTTGCGTTTACATCTTTATCAAGAATCATTGATAAATTGTCGGGCTCGCGAGGGCCAATCCACGATTTGATAATGCGGGCCAAGGTAGTGATACTGCAAGTTTATGGCCGATTACATGAACGAGAAATGACAGGTCACCAATCCCAAGCCCAGCTAGCTTCTTGCCCCTGCAGATCACGATTATAACTGCAATCATAGCGCCATGGGCAGCACGAAAATACAACATCGGTGCGGCTAGTCTGGCAGATTTCAGTGGCTCATTTAAAAGATATTTTTATCCACAAGCCTTCAGTTCAATCTATATGCAATTTAGCTCATCTAGCACTCGTGCTTGGAGCGGTAAAGCTGGGTGAACCTAATGTCATCGATAGGAAGGCTTTGAATGCTGGGTTTAATACTAGAATGGAGGTTTAGAAACTGAAAGAGATGACTAACAAAGACCATAAGAGATAGCAAAGTAATGATGAGATCTGTAGATAAGCGGCTAATGCCAAAACATTGTTACAGCAGCTGCAACAGAGAAGAAGTCGCTCACCGAGAGCTGCATTATACCCTTGCTCATTTTTGAACCTGGGAGTACCGGTGTATTAAAGACGTAGAATGCAATTCTATCAGCCATCAATATGTTAGAGCGCTAATACATTCTGCTGGTAGCCACGAAGCTTGATATCGAGGGAGCACATGTCAGTCTGATTTCATCTTCGCACCAACGATATGAAAACTGACGACCTTGAAACCTACGGTATTAGAAAGCTTCCGTTCTTCTTAACCATTTACTTACGGCACAAGTCGTCTTTCTCTGTGCTCTACCTCTAAAGAAACGTCTCGGTTTGAAGTATAGTTGGTTTCCTTGCTCATCTGTTCCCCACAGCGAAAAGCCCGGCGAAGAAGCTGGTGTAAGAGGGAGGCCATGAGTACGTACAAGTAAGTGCAATATTATCCACAAAATTGAGCACATTGGAGAAACAAAAAAGTCTTAATATCATCAACAAGTTAAGAAACGCTAGAACAACGAAATATCATGGCCACTAAAACTTAGCCCGATCTAAAAACCACCGTGTTTACAATCCTCACTTCCAGCACCCCAGAAAAAGCTCCGCCAGCACTACCAAGACTACAAAAGACCATCCTCCCAAATGCTGCTCTTTACTCGCTTTCTAGGGCAAGTAGTAAGCATACTAGGCCTAGCCGAATTTTATAAATGGCATGAAAGAAGTGCCAGTTATTATGCCGCAGTCAATCTCAAGATGTATATTCTCCACCTGCCTCATTAACCAATTATCGCCAACTGACCGACTGGGACGCCGGGTCAGTGCTCATGAGCTCGTAGAGGTCAGGGACATTCGCCCATCCGTTGGGTCGGAATCAAGCGACTGTAGTCCCATGCGGATTACTTATCTTCTCTGCGCCTGGTTCGTTTCATAGGGTATTAATTTGTTTATAAGTAACTTGGATAGAATCGCTGTAAGAAAGATGTCCAGGTTTGCTCGGCGTTCAGGTGTAATATAGATGGACTTATGCCAAAACATCAGATGATCGTATGACGGTAGTTAGATGGAGATCCAAGACGGACTGTATTGCACCGTTACCTGTACTTCGAAACACAAGAAGAGACTCTTTCTGAGGATAGTTATCTCAACCTCACTAAGCCCTGACTATACACCGGGATATATCCTGCGTCTCTCTTATGCTTGTATAAATGTGGTGTGGCCAATATTTTAATCGCTAGGTTGTAATAGGTTTCTGTAGTCTTCTCCAACGCATGTACACCGTATTTCCTAATAGCTTCTTATAAGATTTATTGAATATTAATCAAATATTTGTTACTACTCCTTAACCTTGATTCCTGTATAAAATTACCACCTTGGACCAGTGCTTATGGTGCTTCGTGGATCCCCGAGGGGCTTCTTGCATAGCCTGGAGGATATGTGCCAGGGTCTCCTGTTAGCTCAGCTTTGGTCTGAGAAGTGTCAGGCTGATACTGTTGAGGAAGATCAGCAGGAAGTTCAGAGATTGGCCTATCTTGCTTCTTCCTCGCAAGCCTCCTCCAAGCCAACCATCCAATACCCCCAAAGATCAAAAGTCCACCAATCGTCGCACCAGCGGCCACGCCTCCAGTCGCTGCCGAAGATAGTCCAGGGCCTGACTTTGTCTCTGAAGACGAATCGGTTTCATCGCTCGAGGATGAATCGGTTGGCTCAGTATCGGTATCACTGGCTGAATTTATCGATGTTTGCAGTGTAGATGCTTGTGTCGAGAATGCCAAGGTCTTTGACATAGATACTGATACAGTGACAGTTTCGGTCTTGTCGCGCCTCGGCGCGCTAACATTGACATACTGAGATTTAGCCAGTCGAGCTTTATCGTCAGGTTGATATAACTCGAAATAGTAAACAGAGTCCTCGTTATTGCTTAATACATCTGCAATATCGTACTGAGCCTGCCAATAAGTTTCTGTTTCTGTATTGCCAAATCAGTGAACCAACATAGGCACGAGACTTTTCACATCCTACCTTTTAACTGAGCACCAGCCTCGATGTCGTCCAGAACTTGCCAAATCCAGAGTTCGGTACTTTTCAAGTTTGTCTCATAGAGAATCGGAATCTTATCTCCTGTGTTGTAGTGTTGGTTGAGTACCATGTCTCCATCGACATCTTGTTCTGGGTCCCATTCTGGAGGACGGGCGAATTTGGAGTAGCATGACCCCAAGGTAGCGAGCAGTGTAAGCACTGGGCTAATTATTGTAAGAAGAGCCATTGCATAAAATTCAGGTAGTTCTCTGAGCTGATTGAAAAATAAATAGTTCTAAAAGCAATCTTATTGCTGTTCGAGGCGGGCCGCCGCCTTAAAGTCGAATTCAATTGCACTGCCAAAGGAGATATTCCTCCCTTGCACCCAACAATAGAAGGAGCAGCTTTGCACATGCCTGGAGTACATGGCCTCCATATATGGCTCCAGTGATCCGAAAGTCCGAGCCAACACTGACATGGATGTTTGAATGAATCAGTATCGTCATCTCCGTTATCATGCAGTAGTAGCCCAGAAAAGGATTAGCTGCGGCCTAGCTACCTGCTCATCTACTAGGGTAAATGATGATGTGATTTGACGCCAATCTAAGAGGGAGGAAGAGTTAACTTGAATCACAAAGCTACCAAGTCTCGTTCACACTAGACAGAGTTTCCCGACCACCTTTTTATGAATACAGACCAAAAGAGTCTTCTATAGTTGAATCATTAAAATGCCTGATCCAAACCTACTCCCCATTTCCTGCCGGGTAATATGTTTCCTGATTTGCCTAGCTGCATGCAAAAGTGGGACAACCACAACCAACAACACAACAACCAACAGCTCTGAGCACGGTCACAAGACAAGGCAGTGAAACTCGGAGGTTCTGTACTTTCCTAAATCTGGAAGCTCTTAAATTAAAGCTGATAGGCGAAGCAGATACGCCGAAACTGACATCCAGAAAGGGGTATTCCCATAATTCAAGAAAACATTGCTGAAGGCACATAGGAACATTCAGAGCCCGATCTGTCAATACAATTATTTTGATATGCTACTCTTGTTAAAGCATAAAGTGAGTTTCTCATTAGTCCAATCTCAAAAAGGAAATTGTAAAAGACGGTCAATCAATGCCAAGATTGGAGGCCGAAAACTATCGGCCAACCTTGCTCAGACAACAAATTCTCCTTTTGGTAAACATCACATTGATCCACTGGGCAACCTATAGTTACATCCATACTTACATGAATATATTCCCTTGCGTATCTTGTCTAGAATAATCCTCCCTCTAATAATTTGTCTATGAGACTTTGAACTCTATCCTTCTTGCCAGTCTTTGCAGCTTATGTCTGCAGTTAGTCCTTTAGCACCGCCCTGGCTAAAGTCAATTTTCAAACTGTTAAATATAGAATTCACCGCGTTTTTATTCGTGTCTTACATGGCCAGCATTGACTGATTCTTGTATTAGACTTGTTTTTAATATAGTATTTTCTACCAAAGTTTGTGCATATACAACCATCCAATCCCAATCTGTCATTAAGCCCCAAGTCATTAGGCCAGTAAAGTAGCATATATCTGAATTACTGTTTCAAAGTGATCCGAAAGCCGTATAAAAGGCATAACTATCAAGCCTGAGTTCCATTTTGAGATCCCCCAAAACTCAGCATGTGTATCTTCAACCTATCAACCAAACTGTCAAGCTTATTGCTAAACTCCGAAGCAGAACCATCCAGTATATCGGCGCTGACATGTCTGTCAACAAAGTCTGCAAAGTGCAACCGGGCCTTTCGTTCCACTTCCCGATCCTGCTTTTGGGCTCGTGACTTGTTCATGAAAGGCAGCGTGGAGAAATAATCCAGGTCTTTCGTTTCGGTCCAATTATATATCGTGGGCTCCCTTACTACTTGGCATGCTTTATCTGCAATGTATTTGTTGAATGGAACCAGAACCTCCTGAAATCCATACTGACACCCTGCTGTGTCAACTATCCACGACTCTGTCGTAGATAAGAGTCCAACTTTGATCACCGTGTGCGGGCAGTTACTTAGGTCAGGGCCAGGAATCAGCTTCGGTGGAAGTAGTGGCTTTCCGATACGGATATCCAATACCTCGATAGTCGAGGGAACTCCTGGCGAATGTAAGAAAGGCTTCATAGTATGTTATTCTTATCCCAAGTGACTCGCCTTCGAGAAGCTTTCTGGTAAGACGACTTAATAGCGCGGTGGCCGTCGTGCATTGATTGATAGTGAGAGCTGCCTCCCTATGCTGGACATTGGAGGTTAGATGCTCTGGAAAAAGTCTCCATTTGATATGAGAGGTAGCTATTCTTTGATTTTGGTAAAGATAGAGCGTTCCGTCTTTAGCTTCGATTTTTGTGAGGTTAATATCATATCGAAGATCCCGATAAGTCAACAAAACTGCTCGAAGTATGATGGCAGCCCTCAACAATTTCTTTCGTTGCTTCATAACACGGCAATGGCTTTTGTGGTCAGTCCAATGCTTTGTTTGACAGTCTCGACTACAGTAGACAACTGTATTGGAATCTCCAGGATGGTAATTTGGCGCATCTATGCATCCAGCGCACCGCATGGTTGCCTGCATCCCGCAGTTGGCGCATGCTGTCGGGTGAACAGCCTCCATTCTGATGGGTGATGATTGGTGTTTGCAATGGGCTCAATGTTGGAGCTGAGAAATTTGTAGGCTAGGAGCTGTCTGAATACTCGGAGGATCGGTGTTGTGAATTCTTCAATCTTGGCTTTTCCTCTTTGTGCGAGGTTTGGAATGGTAGGCCTCCCGCATTTGTTGAGGCCTCCTACAGGAAGTCTACTGCAACAATGTATCCAATCACTCCAACTACTAAGCACGTTACATGGGTAGGGTTCTACGTGTCACATTATCCGCTGGTTATAGAGCCTGGTTGGCCTCCAATGGCCCATATAAACCCATTGCTCCAGCTTCAATCTTCTCACCGTTCGGGTTGGAGGTATAACATCAAACAAAACCATCAAAGCCTGCTGATACATGAAATTATGTTTCTAGTATAGTATGAGAGCCCCTATTAACTTTCTCTCTGGTCTACCGACCTAGATACTAATTCTGCACATAGACTACTGTATCGTCCAATACTTTCAATTTTCCCCTCGCTCCGGCGCCATCGCACCCCACAGTTTGTTTCGTCTGCAACAATCCTAGCCGACGCCTGGTCACCCGATCATCAAATCGCAACGGAAACGCAGATCGCCCATACCACAAGTGCAAAAACTGTCAAAAGGTCTACTGCTGCGCTCTGGCAGGGGCTCAAAGATGATGGGATACACGTCGAAACACTAGTCCTCAGCGCGGCATCATTGGGTAGAAGCAAACCTTTGTTGGAAGCCGGACGTGACGAAGTCTGGGAAGACTTTGAAACAAACACACGCGCAACCATTGACTTCAACATGAGGTTCTATGGTCAGGAGGCTCAGGAGATTCAGGCACGCAAAGTAAGAATATAACATGGCAGTGATCGAATCGGCACTTACCTGTATAGTATACTAACTAATCAGGCCTTGATTAGTCTCAGTACTTGCGTGACCTACATGAGGCATTACGCAACTGACTGTCCGTCATATGGCATCACGAAGCTTGCTGGTACAGACTGTCTTCGACGGCTGGCGCTTGAGGTTGGGTCGAAAGAAATGTAGATATCTATTTTCAATCCCGGCATCATCTTCAATGAACTTGCCGCGGCGAGTGGCATGAACGATACCACATATCCTTGGGATGACACTAAGACAGCGTAGGGTGAGATCGCCCAATGGCGCAGGTAGCTGAATAGATCACAATTACACCCTTGGGATGACGGTAAGCACTTGAATGAGCTTTACATGATGAAATCCTAATCCTGTGAAAGAGAACCTTGCGGGAAACTTCGCTGTGTGGGCGGCAAGTTCCGAGGCGGAATTCATTCACGGAGGTTTCGTCTGGGCGGCTTGGGACATGGAGGTGCTCAAGACGCGAAACGAAGATGGCGTGAAGAAGAATCCGAGGTTCTTGATGGTTGGTAATGAGGCCCTATCTGTGAAAAGGTGGGTTTGGCCCGATTGGTTCGCTTGGTCACCTATGGATCAACGCTCCATTGGTATATAAGGAGCACTGCCGGCCCCCTTCTAGCATAGAATCAAGGCGCTTTTAACCCTCTCTTATGTGACCCTCTACTGTGCGTGCCACACTATCAGCAAGTGTAGATGGTATTTGAGGGAGGGATGTGTCGTAGGCGGAGTGGTCAAGTTCTATCGACCCATATCTACCGGCTTAATGGTGAGTCGCGGTCAATTCCAGCGGAGATCTATTATGTAGCTTTTCTACAGGAGATACAACGGCTCAAGGATACTCAAGGTGTATTGCAAGTTTGCAGAAATTACTTTTATTATGATGTAAGTAAAAAGGAACTTGGTTATAAGAAGGCTGCTTTGTAAGCATTGGGAAGGCCTTATTTATGCTTGCGACTTGACAGGGAGAAACGCTACTACACCAAATAGCGTATGATTAAATCAGTCAAAGCGGACCACAACGAGGATGGCTATAAATTTTACTTCGAGGAGACTGCCAAGGTTGATAGAAACGGCTGCAAGCTTCTCTACACCAACTGCTTTCTTCCTTTCAAGGGCCGGCTGCTTTATTCAAGACACCGTTTACGGACCCGAAAGTCCGCTAGGACGGACGTGGACCCGGACCAACTTTAATACTAGCGTTCTTGTCTCGGCGAGATAGTTGCTCCGCGAACAGGAGATCAGAGGCGGGAAAAGGTCAATTCGGCAGTGGCTTGAACCTAAAAAGGTGTACATAGCTGATTACTCAACAACACCGTCATACTCCACGGGGGGTTGATAAATGCGTTTTGCTTCCAACTCTAATAAATAGGTTAAATGGTACTCATTAAAACCCACGATCAGTACTATTAAGTTCTACGTCTTTTTATTCTAAATCTTTATTATCATCATGACTACTATGAAAGCTCTAGTCTCTAATCGCAGCATCGTCACACGACTCATCAACGCCACACGCGCAAAGGCCATCGGAGGCCAGGGTGGCCGTGTCCAGGACGATGTACCCATTCCCACCATCTCCTCCAACGAAATCCTCGTGAAAGTCAAAGCTGTAGCCCTGAACCCTACCGACTTCAAGCATCTCGACATTATCTCTCCCACCAACTCGATCATCGGATGTGATTACGCAGGCGTCGTTCATCAAGTCGGTGACTCTGTCAGAGATAGGTGGAAGGTCGGCGATCGTGTCGCTGGCGCTGTTCACGGCGGTTTATATCCTGACAAAGGCGCCTTCGCAGAGTACTTGAAGATTGATGCGGATCTGGCCTGGAGAGTCCCCGATGACATCAGTGATACAGACGCAACTACATATGGAGTCTCTGCTGTGACAGCCATGCTGGTCCTCAATGTCCATCACGGGATCCCTTTCGTCGATACTAAACCTGCTACTCCCAAGAATGAAGCCATCTTCATTTACGCCGGAGCAACAAGTGCAGGCCTATACCATATCCAGCTTGCAAAGGCAGCTGGGTACACAGTAGTCACAACTGCCTCGCCCCGTTCATTCCAGCTAGTAAAGCAATACGGCGCCGATGTCGTATTCGACTACAATTCACCCTCCGTCGCAGAAGACATCATCAAAGAGTACCCCAAGATCACAAAGGCGGTGGATTGTTTCTCCGAGGGCAAATCAACATCCATCTGCGCCGCGGTGCTCAAGCCCAGTGGCGGTAAGGTGGTTACGCTTCTGCCGAATGGTAAATCTAGCACTCCTGGTGTAACTTACGACCTTGTCATGTCGTATACGGCTATGGGGCATGCCTTTCAGTGGTTACCGCCAATTGGACCCAAGTTTGAAGCCAGGCCGCAAGATCGTGCGGCCCTTGTTCGCTTTTATGAAAGTCTACCACGAATTACTCATCTCCTGAAACCTATCCCGACGATTGAACTCAAGAACGGTTTTGATGGTGTGCTTGAGGGACTGGATAAATTGCGGGCAGGTCAGGTAGCAGGAGGCAAGCAGGTGGTCAGGTTTAATATAGGAGAGTAACAAATTCAACATTTTAAGCTCTCATAGTACTGGGGTGACTAGATTCATACGTAATTAGCTGTGTTTTAATTTATTTTACTCTTCTTCAAATTTACAAAGTACAAAGTCATTATTAGGCATTTGTCCCCAATACCGACGTCGGCAGACGCATAGGCTCCGCCCCTCTTCTTATCCTCCAACGATCACTAACTTCAACCAGCTCTTCACACCCCTCGACCGCCCATGACCACTTAGTAAGAAAGCCAGGTGTAGCCTCCCAACTCTGCATGTCGTGCGGCTCACCCCAAATAATGAGTCCATTGCGTCCGGCCGTAAGTTCGTCCGTATCTATGTAATTCTCCAACATGAACCCCCGTGGCTGTTCCGTCTCGGGGGTACTGGCAGAGAAGCTAAACGGTGTTCCTCGCTGCCAAGGAGCTGCTGTATAGCTCATAAGATCGCCAACGAGATCCCGCCATAATTCGAAATTGTCGAAGCGGCCTTCGCGTCGGATAAGATTGTCGCGGAGGCGGGCGAACGGCATGATGTTGATCCAGGGGAAATGGTATTGAGTTTGTTGTAGTATAGTAGGGGCGAGAGAGGAAGGGATATTGGGGTTTGGGGGGTAGCGGGTTGTGTCGTCCAAGCAGGGGCCAAAGACGGGACAGGTTGTTGGGTCTAGTGATATTGTATTGATAGTGCGTTTGATGGAGATGAAGGCGCGGTAGACGTTGAACTGGATGAGATGGAGGAGCTGGTCGGAAGGAAGGGGAAAGTTTATGTTGATGGGCTGGGGGGTTGAGTGTATGGTCATGACTTGATCGATCTGATCTGTGGATGATGGTGCTTGAACGGCAGTGACGCTCTTGGTAGTGGAGGGTAGTGTGCAAGACGGATGGTAGTTTATGGACACGGCAGTTGGGTCTGTATCTGTGTCTTGGGGACAGCCATCATCAACTTCATCAACGCGCCAGCGCCTGACCTCAAATGAACTCGACACTTGATCTATCCCAAAGTCTTTACCCTTAATTCGTTGTCCTAAATGAAGTAATGAGCACCTCCCGGTTATTTCTGGCCAAAGGGACAACTCACGACGGGCTCTCTGGTTCTTCCGGTTCTGCAGCTTTCTTCGCTGCTTATTCGCCTCGGCAATTGCGGAGTAATTATCTCTGAATTCCATGTCAAGGCGATGCGTTTATCGACTTGGAAATGTAATAAGAAGAAGGCGATGAAATTGGCGGCCGAGTTCCTTCGGCGAGAAAATGCTCCGCCTGCGCTAGCGGCGCATGCCGACTGTCGAGTCCCGCAAGCTAAACTGGATAAGGATAAACTGTCATCAGACCCACATTCGCTCCCTGGAAATTCGGTGGGACGGGCTAGACCTGAAAAGGCAGGAATGTCATCAGCCAGGTACACCAGCTCACCCTACAGTTCGATACTGAATAATCACGATACATGTTTCTCAGACTTTATCTTTAGTTGGCTGTGATAATACTGTCTGTAGTGTTTTGACCCCATAGGATGGCGATTTGTAAGTTATTCTCCGCGATGTAGTCCGGACTGGCAATAGTCTATAATAAAACACTGCAATTATGTTTCAACAATGAGAGTATATAATGTTCAATACTTTACTTCCATCCAGCCTCAACATTTGTTCTCAATTTCACACAACTCTCAGTTTAAGTAACGACTACAACAGAATATTCAGCTCGCTTTCTATATCTGCAACCAACCATGTCTTGCTACACCGCTGTCCACGCCAACACCAAAGGCCCAGGCGATGCTCGCCCAACAGCCCTCCAAATCATCAAAGACGAAGGTCTCGAGGAAAAACGACAGGGCCAAATCTTCGTCATCACCGGCACATCCTCTGGAATTGGTATCGAAACTGTCCGCGCCATCGCCGCGACTGGAGCGACTCTCTACCTCACAGCCCGCGACCTCGACAAGGCCAAGGCTGCCTTGGATGGCATCTTCGACCCCTCCCGTATGGAACTATTCCAGATGGATCAGGGATCGCTTGCATCTGTCCGCGCTGCCGCTGCTGCTATTTTGAACAAGGCCTCCAAGATCCACTGCCTCATCAACAATGCTGGTATCATGGCTATTCCTGACCTTCGCTTCACAGCCGATGGTCATGAGCTCCAGTTCGGCACCAATCACCTATCTCACTTCCTCTTCTTCCAACTTCTCAAGCCTGCACTCCTTGCTGCTGCCTCGCCTGACCTCCCCTCACGCGTTGTGGTTCTTTCGTCTTCTAGCCATAACATCCACGGCATCAACGACTCTGATAACTACGCCTTTGAGCACGGCGACTACGATGCCAACGTCGCTTACGCCCAATCCAAGACAGCAAACATCTACATGGCCAATGAGATCGAGCGCCGCTATGGTGCAAAGCACCTACACGCCACTAGTGTTCACCCAGGTATCATTTCCACTGGATTGACTAGGCACATGCCCCCCGACGCTTTCAAAGGCATGGAACATATCTATCCCACAATGAAGAGTGTCGAGCAAGGAGCTGCCACGACGGTGTGGGCGGCTGTTGGTGAGGCTTGGAAGCATGATGGTGGCAAGTACCTTGCCGACTGCGATGTGGCAAAGCCCAGTGTCGGTGGAGAGGACAAGATGATCACACCTACGTATGCTTCGTACGCATACGATGTCGAGAAGGCAGCAAGGCTGTGGAAGGACTCTTTGAAGCTAGTGGGATTGGAGGATGATGAGTAGGCCTATAGGATCCAGGTAGAAGAGTTATCTGTGCCGGTTTGGGGTGACCGTTGGCTGGCTATGCTAGACTTTACAGATGGTATTCAGGGAAGGTGATGAGGAACCTCGCGCTTAGTCTTCTATAGATTCGATAACTATGTAATTGAATGTCTCTTGATCTGGTATTAAACAACGCAAACTGGCAATGCCGTAAATGGTAAATTAATTCGGCCAAGAGAACATGTCAGCACCAGACCTTAACCCCCACTTCTCAAGTAGACTTTTGTCATCACCAGCCCACTCTCTCAATACCTCAACACCCTCATAACTGACCAAAATGATGATTCCCAACTCATCAATCTGGTTCAAAGAAGCCCCCTTGATACTGTCACGAAATCTCGACATCTCCACCCTCAGCCAGGCTTTCTGCTTCCTGGCTTCATGCCACTCTGACATTGATCTTGCGTTCCAAATAGCTTCTTGTCCTGCAAAGCTTAACTTGGCAATCGTCGAACTGGGATGGTACCAGCCGAATTCGAGAAAAGTGTAAATGCTGCCCAGAAGATCTGCAAATATCATGGTTCGCTGGACGCTCTCTGCTCGAACCCAATCTTTCCAACTATGACCAGACTTTGAAAGTATCGAAGAAGCATCCGCCGTCTGTACTTGTAAGATATCAACCCATCTGGCGAGTGACTTGGCGTTTTGCTCAGCTTGTATCTTTTGTGAGCTGTCGTCTGAGAATAGCCGCATGGACTGGTATATAAGGATGGCCTGTATGGAGGGCAGGAGGTCAAGATTCATGGTTGAGTAAGGGCTCGGAGGACTCAAAGCGATTGCTGTATCCGTAGCCTTTATGAGTAGCTCTGCTCGTCGTGCAATCTCCGATGCAACCAGAGAGGCATTGACCGAGTTGCATGTTGTATACAAAGAGCAAGCAGCGAAAGCGTCTCGCAATGCAGTGGAGCTGCTGATTTGAGAATAGTGGATAAAGGACGTTTGTCCCGATTCCGCAAAGCTCTTGACCTGATGGACCAGTCGACTTGCAGCATACTCTGCACGTTCTTTGAAAGCATTGCCTGCATATACGGAACTAGTCTTTGGACCCCATGACGGTACCAAAGAAGTGCCGATTGTAGTTGCAGGGTAGAGTGTTTGTGCATTCAAGTCTGTATTTGGATATGACTGGTTCGTGGACTGAGGATAAGGGTCTGGGGTAAATAGTGATATGGTTCTTCCTTGGCCGGAAATCTCCTCTATGAGCGGCACCAGGGGCGGGGGAAGGGTTATGGGAGTTGGGAATAAGGAAACATCACAGTTTCCTGGGCGAACTTCTGGTGGGGATGAAGCGTGATCGGAATGAGAGGTTCCGGTACTGTCGGTTTGATCATTCCAAACAATCACTTCGGAGCTCTCAGCCACCTCTTGCGCGTCTTCAGGTGACATCCAAGCATACACACAAGTGACCCGCCTTGAAAGACATCGTCCGCAATGCGGAAATCCGAGGTCGCACCGCCTTTTACCCCGGACACAAGCCGAGCAGGATCTTTGTCTTGACGATACCATGTATGCGAGGCGCTTTGTGAGAATGCTGATTGATTTTTGGCTATGAATGAGATGGTTGTTGCAAATACTCGAGCTAATGGGAAAATAAGTCGGTCAGCGCCGAGCCCGACCATTCCGAGCCTGTTTCACTAAGATGCGGAGTTCCGCACGCTAGACTCAATCCTTAGGGTAGTCCACTCCCAACTTATACAGATGTCGAAACCCATGACTTGGAAAATGGGTATAAATAACTCCTCATAAAGCTGTTCAAGTTGATTACTTCTTTTCCATTTCACAACATCACTCATACCTTCCAAAGCCAGTCACAAACCCGATATTCATTCAACATGGCCAACGCCCTTGAACCCACTCTCCCCGCTTCTGCCCTCAGTAGCTGGATGGAAGATCTCTACGCCCGAATCTTTGTCCAGCCAGACGATGAAGTCTCGGCAAGTACCATCAAAGAGTCAATCTCAGAAGATTTCACGGCCAGGTAACCAACCTCCAAAAGAAGTCTCATACTGATAGAAGCTAATTGTGCTGCTTAGAATCAACCATGATCACTACACGCCACAATCATTCCACGATATCATCATGAAGTTCCGTGTCGATAACAAGACGACTATTCATGAAACCAAGGAGCTCCAATCTTGGGATGCACCCGATGGCTCAGGTGCTGGTTGCGTCTCCCAGTTTGTTCGCTTTACCGACTCCAACAAGGAGACTGGCGTTGGTAGCACGTCTTCCACCTTGCTGATTGCTAGCATTAAGGTTGTCAATGGGCGGAAGATATTGGTCGAACTGACAGAGGTGTTGAAGGCAGCTGCTTAGACTCCTTGGCGGATAGAAGAGCCGAGGTCAGCGCTATCGAACCCACAACGGTACATAGACTGCGGCTGCTTAGACTAGCAAGCTATCAAATTCTGCTTCTCTACAAAAGGGCTCTCAGTGTAGACTGTGTCACATTGTCATCGCTATTCGTATTAACAAGTCCACAGGATAATATACCGAACCACCTTCCAAAGTCTTGCCCGTGTTGTTGCCATGTCGCCGTGCAGCTCCTGTCCTTTCCATCGACTAACACGTCCATCCTCCACAGTGCTCCTCTGGCTCAATACTACTAATCTAATAATATGCCAGACGCCCATTTCCTCATCCTCTCCGTGGCATCCCCTGCTACTTCTGCTTGGTTCTCGATGAGGATAAAGTCATGACACTCACGCTCGCCGACTTCAATCTGCACAGGAATCGAACGGCATTTCTCTTGAGCAGCTTTCCCAAATTCGACGATTGCATCACAGAAAACCTCGCGCCTACCAGCAGTGACATAAAGCGCGCTCGTGATCGCTGGGAGATCGCTCAACCATGAAAGATCTCCATCCACGGCAAGGGCTGGGTGAGCTCCATTGACTTTTGGCTCCAGGTCCTCACTGCGGAACGAGTGTACGGAAGTACGCTGGAGTAAGCCTGCAGAGAGCATGTCGACGTTGCCATATTCTTCAAATGAAGTTGTGTCTGTTCGATCGCTGAGCCAAGGAGACACAAAGAACATCCCTGCGAGTGGGCTTTGTAGCTTGACTTCTGGAGCAGCGGGATTGGGATGCAGGAGGTGATAGGCGAGTTGAGTTGTCAAGTTCCCTCCGGCCGAGTCACCACCGACTATCAGATCACACGGATTCACGCCGCTTTGAAGTAGATGATTGAGAGCGGCAGAAGCTTGGCGGAGCTGATCAGGATATTTCCCACCTGGCGCAAGCGTATACTGCAGCACCGCAACAGCAACCTCTTTGTCCACACCAGGTCCACCATTAACGTATGCCTCCCAGCACCAAGTGAAGTGGCCTGGTAGAGGGGGCGCGACATATCCACCGCCGTGCAAGAACAGGACGAATTTAGACGCTTTCTTGCGATTCCCGATCCACATGATAGATGCGTCAGTGCCAGCGAGGGGCTCAATGTCGAGGTTTAGTCGAGTGTGATGGCCCTGGTCTCGCTGCTTCTTGATCCAGGCTGTGTAGACATCTATCGTTGGTGTTGAGAGGAATTGAACCTGGCGTGGGGTGAAATTGCCTAGGAGGATGCGCCCAACCATGCAGGTGAACCACAGATGTAATGGGACTTTGTATTTGATGGCAAGGGGCATGCCTCGGATGAGAATGCTCATGATGGTTCCGGGTACTTTGGGATTGTGAGTCTAGGAGGCCAAAGACACTGTGGTGTGAAATGACATCTTACCTAGAAGTATCTTGACCGCAAGGCCCAGTTTCTCTAAAAGAGATAGTTTTGGGATGGTAGTTGACTTCATCGCTACTTGGTATCTTAGTCTCCACTAGAGTCGTCTCGCTAGGGTTCTGGATATAGATGTTTCACAGGTTCGAGCATATATGCGAAAGAATTGTGGACTTGCAAAGTATTGGCTTAATATATCTCATCGGAATATCATCAGCCATAGAGAGTCAAGTGATACAAACAGAAAACCCTCGGCTCAGCATGGCGGCAATTGTGCACGGCAAGTAATAGAGTTCACGCTAGTTTATGCTTGGTGATATAGTTAGGATCCCCAAACCCCATTCTGAGGCCGTGCTTTTAGATACCCCAATAACCCAGGATTTCCCCTGCTAATGAGGTACAACTTCGCCAGTTTTCTCCACCACCAAACCCAATGTTTTATTCTAGCAAGCCTGACAAAGAATCTGAGACAATCTGTCATGTCTTCGGTATCTTGATGTCCTTGGCCTAGTTGGACAAGCACGTACCATTAAATGAGGTTAGGCTGTTCCAGAATATCCTTTCTCTCTTCAAACCAACAAGCCGTAAACAAAATAATAATTTAGACCTCTTTAATAGTTTCATATTACGGTAGAGGAGTTAAGACAGTAGCCTAACATCAGCTTATTTGAACCTGAGCTTTATTGCTCTTTTGTTAGGTCGCCCGCACAGACCGCACCTTGACATGCGATTTTTTAAGCTTCCTCGGCGCCTATTTTTTCCTCATCTTGGCTTGCTTTGTTGGAACATGTTAGAACCAACTCCTATAAACGAGAACGTCAGCCTGACTAATGATATACTACCTTTCGGATCTATTGGCCTTATGTTTCTGGAACGCTTGGTTATCTGGATCGCTGGCTTTGCAGACTAGAGACGGCGGCGATGTTAGTTGAGAGGATTGAAATGCCCTGAGTTGCTATTTTTACGCACCTGCTCTTGGGTCAAGAGACTTTCTACTCTTGACCATCAAGTCCCAGAGCCCTCCATTTGAGTTGTCGCTGTACCTCTCAGTGATAGCAGGTAATGCGCTTGCTGCACTGATAAACAGCAGCGCCAGCGTTTTCCTTAATGAGACCATTTTCACTTAACAGAAATTCCAAAAGTACCGAGTATATTGCAAGATAACTAGGTATAAGATTGCATGACTGGCAAGGTCTTGCGGTATATAAGCTTATCCTTAGACTTTACACCTTTATGGCTTCCTGTGTTTCAGTCATAATAAGCGAGTAAGCCCTCTTTAAAAGTTCAATTGCCGTTCAGGCCTGGTTTTGTTATGGGCTTTTAAAATAGAGCTATCCCGGCTTAGTACGTCGCTAAGTGCTGCTAAATAGCCTGACACAGCCAATAGTCCGTTGTCAGGAATGGGGAGGCTTGAAGTAGGTTAAATATAGTAATTTTAGTAGAGCTGAAATTTCGTCTCGCGCAGTGCATGCAGCTGACAGATGCTCTACAAAGCCTCGATTGCGCTACTTTATAGAATTTGACGGTGCTTGGTATTCTGGCGTACACCGACTTCCTTAGTGAATTATGAGTTGGCACATGGATGTCACGACTGTTCACTATGCCAATGGCTTAGAAACAAAGGTCCTAGTTGTTAGGAAATTTGGACTTGGGGCTGAGATAAGTTCTAAATTACAAAAGATATGATAAATAAGAAAGTTCTAAGACTCACAGAAGGGCTAAAAGTCCGGCAAGAAGAGAAAGTACACCAGAGGCCTTCTTGATAGCACCACTAATAACAGGGACAGTGCTGGGGTAAGAGCCTTTAGAACCAGGGGCGCCAGAACCCTCTGTGTCTCCTTGGGAACCAGAGCTGGAACCTCCGTTTGAACCACCGCCGCTGCCGCCACTGGAATCTTCACTGGAGCCTCCACTTGAACCTCCACTTGAATCTCCGTTCGAGCCTGAGCTTGATCCTCCACTGGAACCGCCATTGGGGCTGGGGTTATAGCCTCCTCCGGAACCTCCATGAGGAATAGTGGAGTTCCAGCTGATACCGTGGTGGGGTTTAACAACGCCCTGTTGGGAAGGACATCCGAATGTGTCGCAGGTAGGAACTTGGCCGTTGCAGTTATCAGGCGTACCCCAAGACTTCTCCCAAGGCTGATAACTAATCTTGCCTTGAGCGCAAGTTGTGCAATCTGCTGGAACAAAGAAGGACTTATAGTTATACCAATCTGGGCATTGTTGAGGCTTGTAAACCTTGAGGCTGGCGCATTTTCCGTCTGAGCAGAGATGGGGAATATGCTGTTGGCCGCCAGGGCAGGGCTCAGAGATATAGACCCATTGGCCGTTACAATCACTGCCGTTGACCTCGACAAAAATGTAGACGGCAACGGTGTTAGAGCTGCTTGAATGGCATTTCCCATCAATGCATACCAGAGTGGCGGTGACGACCTCGGTGGCTATGCTTTCACCGCTAGCGACAGTGGTAAAAGTGGTAATAATGGTCTCCTGGTTTGTTACCGTTTGGGTGACAGACTCAGTAAGAGAGATAGCAGCCTCGGCCTTAGCGTAGAGTGTAAGAAGGATATTGCTAGAGATGGCCTGGCGGGCTCGAAGCTTGCTCTCGACTTCACCTCCACAGAATTGGGTCTTGTCTCCAGGACACTCAATATCGCATTGGTCCAGGTTGTACCAGACAGTACTATCAAAGTCATACACATCACCGCAGTAACAAGCACTAGACAAATTATTAACGCCTTATAATATGAGGACCAGACTTACGTATCATGGACGCCAAAATGAGCACGTCCTTCGCAAAGGCCAGCACACACGTTGAGGTCCATCAACGGGCTGGACTCAGCAAGGGTATAGGTAGGGAAGCCAGCGGTAGACCCTGCACATCCGAAGAGACTGAAACCGCCGACATCACCGGGAAACCCAGCAATTGAAGTAGTTGTTGAAGAAGCAGAAGAAATTGTACCGGTAGAAGTACCAGTGGGGAAGGCAGTCTCGCCCTCTGAGTTGGTAGTGGTACCCTCGGCGTTTGTAGCGACAACTTCACTACTGGCACCAGGGGCAGTCCCAGTAGGGAAGATAATTTCACCGTCAGAGTTGGTCGTAAACTCTTGACTGTTGGTTTCAGTAGCAGTCTCGGTAGGGAAGATGGTTTCGCCTTCGGAGTTGGTAGTAAACTCTGCGTCGTTGGTTTCGGTAGAAGAACCAGTCTCACTACTAGTAGGAATACCAATACTGAGGGAAGGAATAGGAGTTGAACTTGCACCCTGAGCATCCTTGAGGGCGACCCCTTCAATGATTACAGGGACGATTACATCGCCGCAAGCTTGTTGGAATTTATATTCGTTGGAGAGCTTCAGGAAAAAAGGGTTGGTAGATATTTCAAGACTGCCGCTGAACCTCTCGGGAATAGGTTCAATCTGGACAACCTCACCATTGGCGACAATTTCGAAAGCACAAGGGCTACTCTCAGCCCGCTTACTGAGTCCGCCGCACATGCCTGGAGTGCATGTGATATTTGTAACTATGAAACGTGCCACGTTAATACTTAGGGTAGCAGCTAGAGATGAAGTCAATTGTTGTTTAAAAGAGGAAACTGCATTGTTGGGGAGATTCAAGGAGGTAATGACGATCGGAGCAGGAACAGGAACAGCGCGACGCTTGAGGGTAGAGTCAGTGGCCACAGGAGACATAAGGCTAGATTCATGGCATGTTAGAGCTGCTGGAATATTATAATGACTTCTGGGTGATCCTTACATAGTATCTCCGTCAGGTGGTGGGTAGAAAGAAGCACCCGGGCCCAATATGGCGTCTTTGAGATTGAGTACAATTGGTGCAAGGACTGATGCTGAGGATGAAGTGGTGGTCTCAACACTGGTGGCAGTGGTTTCGATACTCGCGGTAGGCGGGACAGAAGAAGTCTCGAATTCAGTGGAAGAGGTTGAGGTCTCGACAGCAGGGGTGCTAGTGTTTGTAAATCTCGTAAACTGCTTAAATTGGCCAAACGCACTGGAGGCGCTGGCCAGGAGGAGGCCTGAAGACAGGCGCATGATGAAGATTAACAATTGATTGAACGAGTGACAGGAAACGAATGTGAAGATCAAGTGTCGGCGGCGTGAACAGGGGTTGGGGATGGACTATATACATCCAGCTTTCCGATCAACAGGTGACATTGTGCACGTCTTGCATGCGGAGCAGTCACATTCCAACGCAAACTTCACCAACAGTAACGGTTGTTCGGCATGGGCAGTATGAGACATTTCTTGTTCTCGAGTCTTATCTGGCCATGTAGACAATGACAAGAATGCCCAAACTCTGAGTCGAATTCCGTAGCATTGTTTTTAGCGAGAGCCTGCTAATTATCCCCCTTGCGCTGTCAGAATCCAATAAAGCCCCTCTTTTCCGCCACATTTTCAGTGGAATCTAAAATATGTCAGGGACAATAATTCAATCGCGTTCGGGTTAGCGCTGAACTCACACTCGTATTGGTTGCCCGTTTAAACTGCTAACGGCTAAACGGGGGAAGATACCACGGGGTTGGTAACTCTGTGGCTGGTTTGTTGGAATGTGCTTAACAGAGGCAACAAGCAATGGACGCCTTGATTTTTTTTAATCGCTATCGAGACATTTTCTGTGCTAGACATAAGTGAACCCTTGATTCCCATGGTAACGCAAGGGGATTTAATCTATTACTTGGCATAGTAATGGAGTCAGGAGCCAGGGTTTAAACCAGGTGATGAGCGACAATGTTACCTATTGTCTAGGAAACAATTCATTAAAGTGAAGCACATAAGATGATGATCTAGCTAAGCTAACATATTAGACTTAATTATTACTCTTAGGGTTAGGATTGGGGTCTGTTATACTATAGAAAGCTATCTTACTTATACTATTTATATAAGGGTGTCTTAAGTTTGTAAAGAAGAGGTAGATATAAGAGACATAATATATAGTAAGAGAAAGAGATATAACGAGATATATAAGAGATTAGGGATAGTAAAAATATAGGAAAGAAAGAGGTAAGATAAAAAGAGGATGTAAAGGAAAGAGAAGATAAAAATAAAGTTATTTATAATAATTATATATAATGAATAAAAAATAAAAAATGTATATAATATATATAATATAACTATTAGAATTATAATATAAGTATATTTTTTAATTTAACTTTTTTTATTAGTGCTTTTTATTAGTACTCTTTATTAATAATATAATAATTATATTATTTTAATACTTATTAAATAAAATAAGTTAGTATATTAAATAAATAATAATCTTACTTATATTCTATCTTAACAATATTTTCTGTTAATTACAGGCCTATCCACTACCTTAGATTATTCACCTGCCAGATACCCTAATTCCCTATATTTCCCTACTATATGCTCGGCCTTGGCACCAACCAAGTAGCAGGTTATATACCACGACCATGACTCGTACCGGCTCTAGACCCATCGACAACGAATTACCGGAAGTTTCCACCACCATTGCATCGAGAAAGAGGAATACCACTCTGTCTCTTAATACACATAGTAATAGCACCAGCAACCCACTTAACACCCTCATAAGAACCCTCCTCATGCGCATCAGCCATCCACGTACCAGTCTGCTGCATAGACCCAACACATCCTCTGAACTGACGTCCGTAACGGCGGTTAGTCCAAGGTCGAGTAATAACAACACCAGTTTCACCATCGTGCACGGTACCGCGGACAGTGACGGTGGCTTGAGTAGTCCAAGTGCGAGAGTAGTTGATACCAAAGCTGGCACCGAGACGGTCCTTGACGGCTTTGAGATCGAGACCTGCGCTGACGGAAACGCCGTTGGAGATGCTGAAGGAGGATGCGACGCTGACGTCGATGCCACTGCGGCCAGCGCCGATGACGACGGGGGACATTTGCACGTCCCAGTCGACGAAGCGCTCGGTGCGGTCGGTCACGTAGGAGGTGGTAGAGCCGCAAGACTGACGTTCCTCGAGATTGCGGGGAGCGACGGCCTTGGGTCCGGCGTCGAGCCAGTCTTGGTCGATTTCAGGAGTGATGGGGGAGATGCCCTCTGACTCGAGAAGTTTCTCATAGACGCTGACATGGACAACCTCCACTGAGGGTATGTTAACTTATGATGAGTTGTTCAGGTGAGAGGAGGACTTACTGCGACCTTCGCCGTAGAGGATGACTTCATCTTGCTTGAGTACGTGGTCGGGGGTCCAGAGGGTCGCGTTGAGATCTCGCTCAGTCATGAACGGAGCAGCACTGGCAACAGCGGCCAGGCTGAGAAGGATAAACTGAGGGGCAATCATCTTTCGAAGACTCCAGAGAAGGTAAGATAGAGAGAGGTTCTTGAGAAGTTGGAAAAGAGGTGCTGGTTGAAGAATGAAAGCCGTTCTGCTGCCAAGAGCAGCTCACACCTTTATACCCAAGTATGGCAGGTCGGAAACTCAAATCGTCAAGGTATCTCGTTCTACCAAGGCCGTTGATAATTCACTCATCACTACAACGCCGGCAGTTGCTTCTCATCCGATTCCGGAGACTCCCTCGTAATCTCCCAACGTGCCCAAACTTGAAGCTATTTGCGCGGCTATAAAGATCATCCGTCGACAGGATATCAATGTATCGGTGATTGTGGGTTTATCCCGTCTAGGTCTCGGTAAGACCCGAGCTTCTGGTGCATTAGGAAGGTGACTCGCTAGTCGACGGGTCCAACTAACACTGACGATCACGACAACAAGGTTGATACGTCGGTCCGAGATACGGATTAAATTATCACTGGTCGAGTAGCGTTCAGAGCTATTGCTATAACGACTTCACTTATGGTGTTTTCGTCCACGAAGTTGTGATTACAAGGCAACTGCCAAGCCTCGTGGGAGAGCGATAGGACTTGGAGACACGATGTATCCTGGTTATCTATGGTATAGCATGACTCGAGTACGAAATTGGCAGGTCAGGTCTGGAAAAAGGGTATAGCTTCAGATAACAGCCAGACAATGCTTGGGCCACGGGTTGGCATGAAAGAGTTGGATCTTCCGTCTTCGGAGTCGTCCTTGAGATTTAGCCGCGATGTTCAGCATATAAGCACTCTCGATCCCATTGTTGAAGCCCAGATCATCCATTATCACATTCTTCTCTACCTCTCTCAGTCCCAGCCTGAATCTTGATTGTCCCTCTCTCTCACATCACAAGTCACAATGCAGTTCCTCAGCATCACCTCTCTTCTCGCTCTCGCGACTCTGTACGATTCCCTAGGGTCCACCCCCACACACCTCAGTACTAACAAGATCTCAACAGCGCTTCTGCAAAGCTTCACAGCCAAGCGGTCTGCGTCACCAACCGCCACTACGACCCCATCGGAGGAACGCCATGGAGCCCAAGTTACAACTGGAAGGTGAACTATGAGATTCTTCCCGGCGCTACGAACTGCGCCTGCAACTACTACAGGAACCGCAATACTGGCAACAAACAGTGGGACAAGTGCCCTGACTGTCGCTTTGTGGGACGCCCCAGGTGTAATGTCTTGATAGAATGAGGCGCTAACACGAAGTAGGATGGTCTTGTCTGTGAGTCCAAGGACTGGCATATTGGCGGTGACGAGGTGAGTAACCTAGCATACTGTCCCCAGTCCCTGTCACTGGGTCTCTTTTGGATTCCTGGCTGACGATGAATCTCAGTTTACCTACTATTGTGAGAAGAAGTGCGGAGCTCAGGGAGCAGAGGCCAACTAGTATGGAATAGCCTTGTCGTCGGTTCCGTCAAAAGGACCCTGAAGGACAGTGCAGGATTAGAGTAGAAGTTGTGATAGGTCAACACCAAACAAGAAATTCGTATGAAAATCGGAAAGCGGCATTCGTGACAGCTCGGCATTGGCCGTTTACCATGGGTCCGCAGCTCTGGATGCAAGGGTCCCGCAGTTTGACAGATGAGACATGACTCGCGCTGATCATCAACGTGCTGGGCACCGAGATAAGCAAATAGGGAACGGCTCGTGGTGCATTAGTGCTCCCTCGTTATTTGCGACGAGCCATCAGTAGTCTTTCCACGAATGGGGTTTGAAGAATGGTGGTTTAAACTTTGCAGGGAATTATGCGCGCATTGATGTTCAGCGCTGATTGGTTCATCGTGGCACTGAGATGAACAGACTTCCAGATTCGAAGTTTCGTGCATTTCCCACAAACCTTGCTAGTTAAATGCCAACAAGCTTATCAGACTCATGCATCTTTGACGGGAAAATCGAAGTCCCTGATCCCTGTTCGCAATGGCACTTTTCCATGGCTACTGCAAGGGACCTAACCATTGACAGCCCACGTGCTCTAGAACCCGCCAACCGAACCACGACATTGGCCCCTTGTTTGTTGACCGACCAGACCCTTGATGGCCAAGGTGCAGTGGAGCAATGGATAAATAATAGGGCTCTTTTCCCGGAAATCAGTTGATCCTTTTTGTCCAACGGTTGTCGTGCGCTGCGGGAATAGATGATCCGACGACCCTGCAATATCTCCATTGCCGAAATGAGCATGTGTCGATCGACATAGCTCAATCTGGTAAAACTTTGGTACCAATCGGCTACCAGACCCGCAGGATGAATTCCCGGATTCAGTGTCTGTGACAGGCGCCAGTTGAGGAAGCGACAGCAAAGTTGTTTTTACACCAATTTGTTTTGAATCAGGTTGCAACACAGATGTGAGATCAATCTCGTCAGTGAAGAATCATGTGACATAACTTTCGCCGCCTCGTTTGACTTTCGTTCCTGGAACCTTGGACTGGTTGGGGAAGCAAGCAGAAGAATATCAGCAGTCTCGCTTTCTGAGCGACTCTTGCCATCACACCATTCTCCGAGACCATACTCGTGATGCGACAACTCAGTAAGAAGCTCACATCAGCAAGCGAATGCATCCAAGTTGGGTGAACAAATAGGACAAGTCCTTCGAGCATGAAGGGCAGGCAAAGCGCAGCATCAATAGAATTCGACACAGTAGAGACAAGACTAGAGCCTTGCTAGCATGTCGCAGGCTTTGAAGATCCGTCAACATACTCAGATTCTGACAGGGTGAGCGTTGTGAGCACTGTGTGCGTGGATATCAACTCAACTTACTCTTGACGTACCCGGGTCGGAGGTTCTTATGCATTTGCTCTCCATACGTGGTTTGATCAGCTTGTTGAGAGTTTATTGCATAATGTTTTGCGCTGTTTATATCATGAATATTTATTTCATTGAGAATCTGTCTAACGGACTGATCGGAAAGTGGATGGAAAAAAGTTCAATGGCCACAAAAGGCGGATCTGATAATCGGCGAAGTTTAATCAGGCTGTCAGACTTACGATGAACTATAATTTATCAATCTCAGAACGGATACAAAGATAGAGTTCAATCAATAGCTACCTCCAAAAGTTTAACTATATCAATTCTTTTGTATCGAAGTTTTGTTCGACAACACGAGCAGGCTTCCATCATTGCATCTCTGAGCCACGGGACAATTCATCATCTCGAGCGCATGGAAAGTATATACTTTTGCGCGAATAAATAAAAAACTTATAATGCATCTATTTCTTTGAAACAAACTCTGTGTCTTGCCTGAACATGAGCGCATTAAATGTTCTATATAAGAGCAGGTTTCTTTCTTCCTCACATACTCTTCCAAATAAAATTCTTCAACAGGTTCTCGTTGCAAAATGTCCTCCCAGCCAAGCTCAAGCAAGGAGGCAATGGCTGTCAACCCACTGCCGCCTCCTAAACCCCCAGAGAAATTGGCGCTCCATCTCCAAGGCGGAAAGGTCATCTTCTTCACACTGAACACCCTCTTCGACCGCGACCACGCGACTGAGCGTGGTCTTGAGAAGTGCAGGCAGCTCAACCCGGACCTTCGGAACAAACCCATGGAAGAGCTCAAACGGGGCTACCATGCTGCCATGACTGCGGCGTACCGACAGCTCCTCCACCGCCAGATCCATGGGTCAGGTCCGCGCGGCATTCAACCCAACAGCATTCCACAGGTTTCGATTGATAAAGTCGGAATGATTTTTCAACAGCTTGATCTTAATCTGCCGCCGGCGAGTGAGCGGCAACTGATCGGCCGCGAGTTTGCTGGTGAATTCAGCCGCAACCGGTTCGAAGTTCGCGGCGCTTCTCGGTATTTGGGGGAGTTGAAGCAGCTCAAGTACGCGATTGTTGTTGTCGACGATGTTGTTGAGTGGGATGTTGTGAAGGATCTCAATTTCTGGCACTACATCGATGCTTTGATAACTCCGGCAGATCCAACAGTGCGCAAGCCAGACGCTCGCGTGTTTCAAAAGGCCCTGGATGTATGCCGAGTCTCTCCGAAGAATGCTGTCATCGTTGGCGCTGCGTTGGATGATGATATTGTTGGTATCATGGAGGTTGACGCAGAGCCAATTTTGTACAAGCCAAGTCATAATTACGCTCTTGTGGAAGTTAAGGGCATGCGTGTTCTGGTTGTTCGCACCATGGCTGAGCTTGTGTCGGAGATAAAAAGCCGACCGGAAAAACGAGGTCTCGTACAGTATCAACAACAACAGCTACTTCCTGTACCAGCTCACCCACCAATGGTCTACGCACCCCAGGACCAGGGATTTCAGCATGATCGGAACAGTGGACCCTCAGGCCAATATTCCCATAGAGTTCCAAGCCAATCACAACATCCATCTTCCGATCCGAAGGCTGGCTACCTAGATAGGCATGTGAATCAACCTCGAGAGCGATCTCGACCTTCACCCCCACTATCGGAGCCAGAATCGAGCGATAAGACTCCACGAAGTCACGGGCTGCCAAAGGCCCAGGATCGTGACCACTCGATTAGAGATTTTGAAAGGGATGTACGTCCGGCACCTCCTGCGAACCGTGTACCCTCGAAGCGCCGTCATGATGAATCTGTGGTTCAAGGTACTACTCTACCCACAACCCCTCAGGTACCACCTCGCCACGACCAGGGGTACCTCAATTACGCTGCAATGGGAGAGTACAACTGTCCTGCGCGTGGATCATTTCACGGTGCGTCGACACAGGGGCGTCGTCCCCCTTCCCCAAAGCCGGCCACGGTATTCGGGAGTACCAATGACCACCGTTCCCCTGGAATCCATTCTACAAGTCACCCGTCCATGTATCGACCGCGGAGCCCTTCCCCACCTCGATGGCTACCTCGGATTACACCTTATCCGCTCACCGAAGACTATGGGATTTCCAGCCCGCACGACGCCGGGTATCAGGATCAGCAGCGCTCTTGGCATTCTGGACGTGACTATGAGGTCTTGGGCAGGACTTACCCTACCCGAGATCAATATCAAGCTGGAACTGCAAGTTCGTATCAAACTTCGCATGAGCCTCGATCGAGAACCCTGTCTCAGCAAATCGGACCATCGCCTGGTGTATTTGACAGGCCTTGGACAGATGGGTCCGCAAGAAGGACTGCGTCAATGAGTGAGGGAGATGCTCAAAGGCCTTGGGAAACCAGAAATGCTGGGCCATTGAGTGAAAGGACACGGGAACGTGCGGATGAGCGCCAGCTTCCACGTCCAGAGGAGCGCAGTATGCATCCGTATCGTCGAGAAGTAATCGACTTGACTTCTGTTGGTAGAAATGGACAGCCCTCTGATCCGGCACATGCATTCACTGCTGCAGGTCCATTCGTTCCTTACCATCCATTTCGCCTACCCAGTCATGGATATTCAAACGGAACTCACCTTGAGCCTCGGGGCACAATTCGACCTCAAGCTGCAGAACAGCACGAAGCTGGCCCTTCTAACCAACAGCCCTCGTCTTCAAGAAATGAAGAGACAGTAGCTCGTGGCGGACGTCGGGCCGAGATGTCACTGAGTCGCATCATGTGTTCCGGATCACAGACTCAGTTCCTAGATGACTCATCCCCTGGACATTCGGGCCATAATCGGAGCACAGTTCCAGATCTAAGCGGCCTCGCTCAAAGTGCTCTTGACCTCAGCCGAGAAACTCCACGAGTTGATTCGGCTTCCAAGGATGTAAGTAAACCCCCGATCGTAACGTGACACGCTATGGGACTAACGTTTACAGGTCGGTGAACAACCCGAGGCTGCTGAATACCAGGGGCGACAGTAGCCGGTTGAGTACCTTCCCAGCGCCTGATTATGCGGGCTGCGTCTGTAAATCCCGTTGTGTGGATTTTGTTAGACAGATTTGGGAAGAGTATGTAGTGGACCAGATAGTTCAGGTAGCTAAATTGAATCTGGTCACGTACTTCTTTTCACGGCATCTGGCACCTTTGCAACGTGAAAATGACGGTGTTGTTTTCGCTCTCCAACCGCAGGCTTCTCAAGCTTTGTCTCGCCCATCATTGGCCATGCTATGTTTCGACAGTGGTGAGCGGTAACAGTAACCTTATCCTAATGTCGTCATGGACTTGTTCACAGCATCCTTCGATATGCCGGAGTCCTAGCTCTCGGTCAACAGTGTGTTACCCACGTGGCCCTCTACCTCAATGGTCAAGGGGGGGTTTCCTCCATTGTTCCCTGGTACCTGCAAGAAAATTCGATTTTATCACCGTCTGCAGTGCGCGACAGTGTGAAGATTTCACTATCCCGTCCCGTAACCTTCGTCCAATTCTCCACCTCTTTGTCCAAGGCAGTATCTGCCGACTCGAAATCCGTGGTCTTGGAGGCTGCATGTGCAACCGCCTGCCATGCATTACCCAGTGCAGATACTCTCGTCCACTTTAAAAAGAGGCATATTATCAAGCACATCAGAAAGAGGTGTACAGCCACAAGAATGATGACCAACTTCAGCCCTAGCTATCGTACTTGGATGAGCATGGTAACTGCATGCGTGGCTGTAATTGGCACCGCAACGTTGTATTCGTCCATGAGATAGTAGTAAGTCATCTGGAAGAGTCGTGTCAAAATAGCCTGGATCGCCAGTGCCAGATCCCCAGTCTGTTCGATGACGTCTCGAAATACCAGGTTGTGTTCATGATGGGTGTGTTCAGGTAGGTCAAATAATCCTGGGTTCATACCCCACCTAAAACCTATATCGAGGACATCATAAGAAGGTCGATAGAATACGGAGACATCTCTGTCCATGAAGGAGCCAATCTCAAGCTTCAGGATTCCACGGCTTTCGTCGTCTTGAGCATTGGGGCCAATCCCTAACTGGAGAAGGATAGCCTCCGTATTATTTTCATTCCAGGCTGGCTCTTGACTGATAGTTTTCCCAGACATGTTGACGTGATATAGCCTGGTCCAATTGGCAACAGGACCTGAGGCTTGGAAATACATCTATAAAGAGTAAAGGGTCAATCTATGCGGGGGAGCTGAAAGTGAACTGCCCAAAGGTAAATATTTATTACCGCCACTATTGCTTGGCATTACTTCTACATTTTTCTTGCTCACACTACATATATCTTATAATTGCTGTTGTCTAACAAAACGACGAAACGATAAGCCATTTCCGACCCAGGGAATGCCCGGTAAACCCCAGAGTAAAAGCCTGAGCCTAGAAGCTGGTACATGAGGGCTAAAGAAGCGACAGACGCCCGCTTCACCCCAAGCTTCTAGTTCTGCTGCTAATAAGAATAGCAGAGAAGTGAGCTCTGAGTCCTCATCAAATCCTTGACCTTCAAATCATCCGCCAAGCCCTTCATGAGAAGTGTATCATCTAGAGAAGCAGGAGGAGGTTTGGTTCCGTCAAATTGGTCCTGAGTCTTGAAGCCAGTGAACTCCATGCTGCGAGTCTTAGGATCCTCCTCCTGCCAGAGTGACCAGAGGCGATAGATCTGGGCGTGGTGAAGGAAGAAGATAGGATCTGATCTGTTAGAAATGATTTTTGAGAATGATGAAATGGGGGCACGGGACTTACCATTAGGGGAAGTGTTGGGAATCATATCGCCACCAATTGCGCTGTGGATAGCACCGTGAGGACCACCCTCTAACTTCTGACGATATTCATCGTAGCCCTTGATCTCCTGGACCTTCGCAACAGCTTCCTTTGTGTAAGCGTCAGATAGCATATCTCCAACTTGTTCACTTCCATCGTTCCATCCTCGAGCCAGGCAATGGGGATCGTAGTTGGTGGTGAGGTAGGCAGGAACCAGGTCCTTGAACGGTACGTCGTCGAGACACTTGCGAACAGCTCGCCCGTTGTAAATAGACTCGGCCTTGTTGAGGCTACCGTTACCGCCGAAGCCGGTCTTGGGGCCCTAGATGGTGGACTTGGGCGTGTCGTCGGCATCGAGGGACTAGTCCTAGTAACTGAACGTTAATGTCAGTATATGCATCACGAAGGCTATCGGGAGGAGAAACTTACGGCATGAATTCTCTGTAACCGCATTCCTTTAGTGCACCCTCATAGACGTGTACAAAATATCGGTGCCAGGGGAGGAACGAGGCAACGGAGTAGACTAAACGCCATGTAATTTCAGCACACTGTCTTGTGTCAGTGAAGGGAGGATTGGACGGTGGTCGACGTACTCTGCTTGCCCAAATGAGCGTGAACGTAGGGAAAGTCGTCGTAAAGAGTGGTGTTCAGGCCGAGACGAGATGGCTTGGTTGAGAGGCACAGAACAGCGTCGGTGTACTGTTGACGGGCTGCATCATCAAACTCGCGCCATTCGACACGTTTGGTCGGGTTCTCGCAGGACTTGGAGACTGCAGCTGCGGCGCAAAGAGCGGGAAAGGTAAGAGAGATAAAACGCATCATAGCCTGTTCAATGAACGAAAGGATAAGGATGTGTTTAAAAGTGCTAAACGATTGGAAAGAGTGAGTGACTTGCAAAAGGAGGATCAATCTATGGACACTTGTATTTTCATGTTTATATATCTGTATCCTGTTGTTGTATGATAATCTGTGCTGATCGGCAAACTCCCTCGCTAGCTGATAGTGAATACGAGAGATACTCCATGGCACTTCGTTTAGTTCCGAGTTGCTGTCCATTGGCCCTCGTTTAAGGCTTGCTATCTTTAGAAATATACCGACGATCACCATTGAGTATCCACATACGCAGTGACATATTAAAGGGAGGGTTCAAATGCAGGCGTTGGAACGAAGCCCTGTTTGCAGGGCGATAATCTAACTTTTATGAAGCCAATACTATAATTGCAATTTTCTGTAGTTAGAAGGTCTCTAATGAAGTGACTATACCTATATCAACTTCAAATTTCCCAACCAGCACCTTAATATCGGCGAAGCAGTAACCTCTACCCAGAAGCTCTTGGACCCACGGATTTGTTTCAGCTATTTTGGCTCCCGGATTTATATGGGTCGAGCCTTGGCCGAGGCTGCATTATGCTGATATAAGACTCGTGTAGCAAGTCCTGCTTTTACAAATGCTACGAACTGCAAGGCTGGACAGCAGAGACGACCGACTCTCTGCAACTTGATAGGTAACCCAATCTCGCCCTCAGGAGCGTCATTTCGGGGTGGAGACATTCGATTCGGAGCATAAATTGCCATTTAGAGGGTATAGATGCGCCGGAAACACTATTTCAATATTCGGTAAAACCGAACCGAAAATTTCTGGAATATTGCCCCAATGTACTTCGTGCAGAAGGAGAGATACAGACGAGTCATGGACGTCTTTGGGGTAGAGGGTGGCCATGATGACCAGCCATAAGTTGTATGTTGTATTCGGGGGTAGAATACGGCGGCTTTGGCGCGGAGGTAAACGGAGGAATCTAATAGGAGGCCTCATAGACTCAATTGATAATCTTCTACTTTTAGGTGCAATACGGATGCTTCGAAACAGAAACTCAACTTTGACTTTGCATATTAAATGCTGCTACCACGAGCTCGATCACGGTATTAAATTTATTTAGAACCTCAGAATTCATTTGAGGTCTTGACAATGTACTATTTGGTGATCTCGATCACTCAGTGAAATGAATAATCACCTTCAAGTTCTCAAAGCCCCGAACTTTAAGCGACTTTGATTATGTTGAATAAGGGAGATATTATTTGTAGTTTAATGTATTCTCCCTCTCTGTGTGCCGCTAGGTAACGCTTTTACACGTGAGAATTGATATTGATAAACTGATCTCGCCTAAATACACTCCTCCAAGGAGTCATTCTTTTTTCCCAAAAAGCGAAACACTTCCATGGAACTTGGTGGTCACTTAAGCGGCTCCAGAATAGCCTTATCCTCGATCGTGACAACACGCTTCGCAACAACATTCAGCCGCGACATAGAAGAGTAATGCCCCATACCCCATCAAGCAACGATACACCGCGCCCCTGTTCCTACAACCCTCAGGAAAATTTGGCAAGGTATCAGTCCTAGTTCTGAAGAGGTATCAAGCGTACCTGCCGTTGAAACCATCGCAGAACTCGGGCCCAAACCTGTACGCATACGAGATTCGTTGCCTGAACAACGACAGGCTAAAGATCAATTCAACTAAGCCTCGGTTCAGCAGCACCGAAAGGACCTACCTTGGCTACTTATTTGATCTCGACAAGAAGTACGTGCAAAACCCTCACAATACAGCCTGATCCACGGTGCTGGTGGCTTTCATTGGTGGTATCGGTCATCAGTTGACTGGCCTGTCTTAGAATTATAGCCCGCAAGCACGGGTAACGTTATCCTGAGTGTCACATAACGGAAATATCATTTGCCGGCCGCGCTCAAGAACGTGCAGAGCTTTGCCCCAGTATGAATTTATTAGTCACTGACATCCACCAGGACGTACATACTTCCTCTCTTTTAGATACGTCCTAGTGATTGTCTTATCCCTCCTCGAGCCAGCTGGGAGCCCGACAGGAAGAAAACTGCGGTGTAATTCTCACAGAAATGCGTTGTCACTGCTTCAAATCCAGCCCGATGCATTTGAAGCTACAGTATTTGCTTTTGAGGCCTTCCATGCCAAATGGGCATGATGAACTGCCACCAGGAAGCGCCTTTCTGGGCTTCATTCCGGGATGTATGACGTTTATGCATGCATGCAAAGCATGTGAATTTCTTACCTGCAGACCCAGAAGAGACAAAGAGTCAAGTGATACGTTTGGAAACGAAAAAGATAAATAGAAAACTGATTATTGGCTCTTGGCCGTCGAATGTGGTCGTATTTATGCCAATCTGTAATGTAATGCATAAGCGTGACAAAGCAACTGCATATGCGCGAGGCTGTATAAGGTAGATATGGCTGTCTTTTACTACCAACCGGCTAAATACAGATCGGAAGAACAATTATGAGACACTGCTTCTGAGTTGTTAGTGAGGATATCTAGACTCGGAGCCTGATTTGCAAATACGTTTAAGATCTCAATTGTATCCCCGTTCAACCCTTCAACGTTTTCCCCCCTGCATTTCGGTTAAGAGACGGCCAAGTCAACCCTCTTATAGAAACCTACAAGTAGCGATGACCTTATCTTATCTATCAGAATTCCCGACTTCTAGTGGCATCGGCATAGCCGTTTTCTGCTTGCTGTCATCCTGGTGTCTCGGAACAACCTTTATAGCATGGTATCGCCTCCGACACGTCCCAGGCCCCTGGTTTGCAGGACTGAGCTACATCTGGAACGGCTGGATTGCCTACAGTGGTAAACAGCACCATTTATTCGTTGCTCTCGATGAAAAATACGGCTTGTTGGTGCGAATTGGCCCGGAGGTCCTGCTCACTTCAGATGTTGAGCTCGTCAAGCGCATGTCGGCGACAAAGAGCTCATATGGCAAATCCTCTTGGGTCGACGGTGTTCGGTTCAATCCGTACCACGAAACTATGTTTGCAGTGAGAGATCCTCGCCAGCATGATCGCGCAAAAGCAAGGCTGGCCCCTGCGTATAGTGGTCGTGACACGCCCAATCTCGAGGGCGCTGTCGACCAGCAGGTCAGCAATCTAGTGTCCTTAATTCGCCGCCGCTATCTCTCAGATCCCACGTCTTGTGTGTTCCGTACACTGCCACTTCTCAACGTCTTGTCGTATTTCACCCTTGACGTCATTTCCAAAGTGGCGCTCGGGACGGAGTTTGGTTGCTGTGCTTCTGACTCGGATCCGTACAGGTTCTATGAGGGGTTGGATGAGCATATGCCTTTGATGGCGCTGACAAGTGATGTGCCGTGGATCAGAGCTGTAATGTACTCGACCACTTTTCTCAAGTTCCTTGGGCCACGCGAGACTGATACTCATGGGATTGGCCCGCTGATGAAGTAAGTGGCCGACCGTAAAGCAATTCGATGGAACAATCTTGGACTAACGTATCGTGCTCAGAGTTACAAATGACAATGTCCGACAACGCTATAGTCAAGACCAGACAGAGAAGACAGATATGCTCGTATGTCAGAGTGCCTCACTTTCCTCTATCCAACAGGTTCGTTGAACGACCATTGATGTCTTCTGCTATCAGAGCTCGTTCAAAGTCCACGGTCTATCCGAAGGCAACGCCCAGTCCGAGACGCTTTTCATGTTTGTCGCAGGGTCCGACACCACTGCAGCGGCCATTCGGGTCACTCTGTTCTACCTCATGTCGTGTCCCCGCGTCTATCGGAAGCTCAAGGAAGAGATTCGAGGTGCCATTCGTGAGGGAAGGGCTTCAAGTCCCATTACTGCTGCTCAGGCACGCGAGCTGCCTTATCTCCAAGTGAGTCCATTTACGTATACTTCACCATATACGGAATACTAACTCGAACTCCCTCCCGCCAGGCAGTTATATATGAAGGTCTTCGTATGCGGCCAGTGACAACAGGACAGCAAGCCAAAGAGGTACCAGCTGGAGGCGACACCATCAACGGGTACTTCATCCCCGGTGGCACATCCATTGCCATCAATTTCTCGGCTATCTTAGGTTCCAAAGCCCTCTTCGGCCCAGACGCCGATGTCTTTCGACCCGAACGCTTCATTGGTCTTTCAGCCTCCAATCTCGCCGAGATGCGCCGCAACGTGGAAATTAACTTTGGTCACGGCCGATGGATGTGTGCTGGAAAACCGCTGGCATTTATGGAGCTCCAAAAGGTGTATTTCGAGGTAGGTCGCGAATCAGATTATATTCTAAGCGTTTAATTTTCGCTGACTTGCGACGGTATAGTTGCTGCGGGCATTCGACTTTCAACTTACAGAGCCTCTTAGTCCCATGCGGTCGGAGAGTTACGCTTTGTTCCGCGATTTTGGACTTAAAGTGCGTGCTACAGTGGCAGAAGACATGGAATAGTTTTACTTACTTGGCGCTTGCCAGGGCCTGTAAGTGGTCAAAGCCATTACCTCTCATTTGGGCAGTGTATTATGGAACGTCTCGGCCGGCAAGTTATTTGCCAGAGCCCCAAATAGTCAGGCTTACGACGCCATACAAGGCTCAGCAGATCACAAGCCCTTACTGCGTGAGGAGAAATGGAAAAAAATGATCTTCAAGTCACGCATGTATGTTATGTCATGTTCGATCAGGCCAAGTCTCCCGTGTTAAAGGCCAAGCACGAGCTATGGTTCTCATCTCTTTCTCCTTCCACGCTTACTCACCTCGTGTATCAGCTGGATGAGTTCTAACTCGGAGGCTTGACGCAACAGGCCATTACAAACAAACTTGCTGGTCTCAGATGTAAATATCCTGGGATGTCGCCTAACCATGTCATATTGTCATATTTATCAAGGGTTTCCATCTCAATTTTGGGTCTCTGTGTGCTCGCTCTTCAGTAAACCGTACTTACAGAAACTGGTAATAAGTAGCAAATATATAATGTCTCAAATCTATGTAAGCCGAACAAATATCTATGCGCCACTAATGTGACGGGCAAATAATTCACCGAGCACTTGGGCGCTCTTCTTTGGGTACCGCTTCTGGTTATTGGCAAAGTCAACAAAAGTGACGCCGAACCTCGTGCGATATCCCTCGGCCCATTCGAAATTGTCCAGCAAGCTCCAAGCCATATAGCCCTTAATATCAACCCCATCCTCGACAGAGGCTCTAACGACTGACTCTATGTGGCTGCGGTAAAAGTCGCACCGGAATGTATCCTCAACTATCTCATCCACCGGCACATCATTCTCTCCTTTGATGCTCGTGCCATTCTCCATAATGTATACCTTGGGGCTATATTTATCGTGGATCCAATTCAATAGGTGTCGGAGGCCCTGTGGATTTGATCGCATGTAATATAGCCCTGATTCGCGGCCAACGGTTTCTCCTTTGCCATTCTCCCAAGTAAGCTCCGTATTCCCCATGAAATCATCAGCCGACGGTGGCGAATCTTTATGCTTGACAAAAGTTGACGAATAGTAGTCCAGAGCAAAGAAGTCGTTACTGCCTTTGACGAGGTTGATCTCCTCAGCCATCCAGACAGGGAGACGATCCGAGAGCTGTTCTCTCATGCTCTCAGGGTAGTAGCCCCGGTAAATTGGATCTGCAAACCAACCTAGGAAGAAATCGATGAATCGAGAACAAGCTATCTGGTCTTTTTCGTCATCCGGATTGAAGGGGTATGCCCAGTCGGCTGTACAGGTGTGTTAGCATCCGACGCACTATATTGTCTCTTTCATTCGTACTTACAACTTAGAGTTATGCCAATCTCGCCGCCACTACTATGTTTGAATTCCTCGCGATAGATCTTGACTGCTAACGCGTGGGCAAGGAGGATGTTGTGACCAACAATCCAACATTCGCGGCTACTGTCTCCTTCGGGATCTTTCGACCTGTCACTAGATCTGCCAGGAGCAAAAACGCCGCGATTATAGCCAAAGGTCGATATAATCCAAGGTTCGGTAAAGGTCATCCAAATCTTGACTTTAGGACTCAGTGCCTTGAAGACAGTTCGAGCATAGTGAGCAAAATCAGCCACGAACTCCGATTTACAAAGAGGTCCACCGTATCTCTCGTGGAGAGCCTGCGGAAGATCCCATTGATAAAGAGTCACCATGGGCTGAATCCCGGCAGCCAGTAGGTCGTCAACGAATTTGACATAATGTTGAAGTCCCTTCTCATTCACAGGGTCGTGACGTCCTCCACAGGGAATCACGCGCGGCCTGATAAAGGTCAGCGGAACCATGGATGGGGTAAATAAAGACGGCCATCAAGCTTACCAAGAAATGGAAAATCGATACGCTCTGGCACCATATTGTTTCAGCAAAGCGATGTCATCAGAAGTGCGTTCGTAGGAATTTCAGGCCACAACACCGGAAGAACTATCAGCGATCTTACCGGGCCTACAACAGAATTCGTCCCATATGGATGGAAGCCTACCATCTTTGTCGACGGCACCTTCGATCTGGTAGCTGGCTGTGCCAAAGCCCCAGATAAAGTCCTTGGGAAGCGACATGCTGAAAAACAGATGAATAAATAATAATAATAATAATAGTAATAGTAATAATAGTAATAATAATAATAAAACTGACTGGACTAAGAGCCTGATGAAAGTCGTTTATGAAGGTATCCCGTCACAGACGGAACTTCCTTTTTTGAATCTCCGAAAACGTTCTTGACTGTAGGAACTTCTCCTTTGGGGAGGACCGCATATTTAAGCCTCCACTAACGTTAGAGCATTCTGAGTATGTTTCACCACCGGAACCAATATTCCTTTTGGGAACAAGGGGACTCAGCCAAATCACGCCTTGCTTGGATCTCGTCAGATGTAGCGGCCGTGTTCAACGCCTTCCACCGCCTTCTGGGTCGCTACATGGAAAGGGAGTGAGGCAAACCATTACAACGCCAGATTGAAAACGCTTAGTAATTCTGAGAGAAGAAAGTGACTAAATAAAAGCTTTATTAAATAAGTTATAAATGGTTTAGATATAAAGGATACCGATATTGCTGCGCCGCACGATCGTGGCCTCATGGTCTGTGTATTCTACACAGTCCTTATCGGTGGCTGTGCATTATCGACTTGGGTCGATCTTAGCTTCTACTATCCCATACCTAAGAGCGAGTCGTGGCAAGGCCTTTACTTTATCTGATGCCGATGTTGGGCTTTAGTCAATCGAATAAACATTATAAAACAAAACTACCATCCCTCCAAGCAAGCTTGCTACTTGTTCCATTTCAAAGATGGAAATAACAACGGCCGGAATGAAGAGTTGAATTGGATATGCCAGTCTCAACGTGTTCACTATGCCCACCAGCAAGATGCTAATAAACACAAGATAGAGGGCCCCGAGACCAAAGTACAGTAACCGAACTTTAAGGATCCGATGAAAGAGGTTGGCGGTGAGCTCCAGGGGAAAGCTTGTGATGGATCTGGTTTAGGGCAGTATCCCCAAAAATGAATTCCATTCAGTCGATAGTGGCAGATATATAAAGAATGCCACCATAACTGGGCACATGCCCATAGTTACTGCCATGAACTTGAAGAGAGTAGATTCTCCAGAGATCCAGAGGACTCGAGCGTCGTCACGAATAACGATTAGAAATATTCCATTCATAATGGGTAAAACAACACCGGCAATAAGGCATAGCAACGCGCTCGAAGCCCTTAAGCTGTTGTTGCGTCGGGTATTTTCTAGGCTCCACTAGCAGAAACACAAGCGCAATCAAGGAAACCCAAAAGCAATTATCGTTGATTCGCAAGGCAGCATCAATAGTGACAACGCGCGGGAAGATTTCGAACATGTCCGGACCTGGCTTGTCGAAAAGCACTTGATTCTTGTACTGATAATCATATGCTTCCGAGACTGGGCCCTCGGCTCCATTTCCGATGACGATATGCATAAGGTTGGCTCTGAGATACTGCGTCTTGTGGGAGGGGAGGTTCCATAACTGTATGGCGAAATGTATCATTGCAATTAAAGGGTATAAAATAGCCGCAATGAAGTCCGAGGTTGGCTGGAAGCGGTAGACGGGATTCCATGTCCAGGATACAGATGTGGCGGGTAAGATGCAGTACCAGGCTGCTATAGAGCCTGGCCCGTAGTATCTGGGCGTCGAAAGGACAACGGGGGACGGTGACTCCATAATTGCACATGGAAGACTTGGACTTGCGAACTAGATTGATTTGGAAAATGATCAAGGAGCTGGAGGTGGAAAATAGGCGCCTACGCTAAGCCTGAAATTGGAACAATATCGTAAGTGGCGCTGATCGAGAAGATGAGATTTACAACATCTCCCTTTAGCCTACCACATCAACTCATAAAATTCAGTAGCGCCTATAGGTCTATGCTATAGGAAGCTACTTTGGCTATTTAACTATTAATGCTATTTAATAAGATATTAGATCTTTATTTATAAAGATAGCTAATAAGATTACTACTAGGAGGCTAACGTATATCTCCAGGCGCTACCGAATTTCATGAGTTACTGCGGTAGTGCCTTATTATCTGATTTAAAACTAAGAATAATTGCAATCACTTAAATAATAGTATATATATTATTTAGCTTTAGAAAATTCTAGAATCTATTTAATTCGAGTTAGGCCGCACCCCAGTGGTAAGATTCAAAAAACACGAAGTCTTATGTAGTAGGTCAATTAAGAGCAGACAACAACGACGTGACATTCCTCACTCAGGTAAGTAAAATGAGAGCAGACGTTGATAGGGTGGGGGCCACATGAAACATCAAGAACGAACAGGTGAACGACCGCGCCGATTGGATGACGTCTATTTTAGCACGCAGAGGAATCAATAATTCAATTTTAAATGTGCGAACAGAGACAGAGTGGGTAAAAGTGAATGTGTTGATGTCTCCAAATAAAGGCCGATACTGTGTCAGTCAACCGTAGAAGCGGTATCGGATGTCTCAAATCCACCCCCGGATAGACACGGTTGCACTTTGCTCAATTCCATTCCAAACTGGCATTTCCAGGCCCTCATGCCTGGCCCTTTGACGCCTGGATGATCTTCCGAGCCATTTCTGGCAGAGTGTCAGCCATGACATCCATCGTGCCGAATATATCTGCACAGGATTCCTTCTCAAGGATATTGCAGTACGCACCCTTGTATCTATTCCGGTGAGCGTTAGAGAGGACTCAAATTAGCTTAATGGGGCGCACCTTACCCTGCCTTCTTCGCCGACGAGGCGTCCCACATGTGCGCTGCTGCAAACCATTTCTCATCGCTGCCCAGCTGGTCCAGCAAAGGTTTGTACGCATCGAGGGCCGGCTTGCCGACCCCCGTATCATCGCAAGAGACAAAGTTCTCAAGCGGCATATCGATACCGTTGTTCAGGAAATATCCCCGTACCTGCTCTGTGTCCCCAGCGGTGAACCCCCAGACAGTGAACCCTGCATCGCGGAGCAACTGCAGGCACTCGGCAGCACCCTCACGCAAGGGGAGATCTTTGAAGTGGCCAACGATGTAGGCCAGGTCCTCATCCGCGGCAAAGGATCTAGGCTCTTTGATACCGCCGATCCACAGCATACGGTAGAATATGCTGCAGAAGACGTCGAAGAAGCGGTGGTACTGCCCAGTGATGCTTAGGTAGGTATATACGCGCTCTGAGATCTCGAACCACATGTAGCATAGCATTGTGGGTTTGACGCCCTCAGCGCGCAGGCGATCACCGAGTCTGGTCTCCAGAGCGTCAAGGATGGAATCGTAGGTAACGATGGTGCCTACAATGTCAAAGACGATGTGCTTGCTGGTGGTCTGCATGTTGAAAAGATGGGAGTTGTTCTTGTATTGGAAGTGATTGAGAAATTTTGAATGGCGTGGAGAAGAAGAGCTTGAGTGATTACTACAGTTACAGGAAGATACCAGCTGCTTCATGTGCGTTTTATATCACCAGGACACAGCTATTTGGCATACATCGGAACGGATCCCGAGATAAAGCTTCGTCATTAATGATTACAAAGGATTATAGTCGCGCATTCTGTCGGCTTTTCATCTCGACACCTATTCAAATCGAAAGCGGGGGTGGATAATACAAACTATAGTTACTGAGAGTATTAGTTTCACCTGGGTTGTCGCGGGCTACGGAGTTCAGTGCAATTCTACGTAATAAAGAGGGCGTCACAACTCCGAGCTTGGTTAACCAACTCGGTAATAATGGCTGCCCGGTACATCGGAGCGGATGAGATAAAGCTGCAATACCGGCAGGTTCGGCTAAAAGTGGAGGGATAGACAATCCCGTGCCGGTCTATATTCGCTGTACCCGTGCCTTGTATCGATTTGCTGTTGGCTACCAAAGACTCTCCAATACGCTGGATCTCCTCATCCTCCCAGCGTCTCTTCGAAACTGTAGAGCCATGGCATGGTACCCTCCGATCCCGCACCGGAGCACAGTTCACTTCCTTCTTTCATGAGTTGCGATCCCAGGAAACTTGACGGCTTCCAATTCTCCTTCAAAATACAAACAACGGCCGGCATCATGATCATTAGTCGTGTTTGCCAGAGCGTTGTCGCTTCATGGCGTCTACTAGAGAGAATCCTCCACTTCCTAGCCCTTCGCTAGAGTGAGCAAAATATACATCGAAGCAATCAATTCAATCATCAAGGTGGCCATGTGAAGCCCGATGCCTCTCCGAATATCTCACGACTTCTTTCTTCAGATAACCGTCAAATCTCAGCTTATACGGGAACCCCGTAAGCTTCTGTTCATTTCCACAAATATCTATCTAGGCTTGACACCCTAGACTTTCAGATAACCGCCTATCTTGCTGATCGTAAGCTGCTAGCAAGCGTTCTCTCTAGGTCCTTCAGCCTCTCCATTTCCTGAACCCGCCATTGTTGCCTGGCGTAAAGATCGGCCAGAATCCTGCAAAGATCATCATGTTGCCTCTGGGCCGCGTCCTTTGTGTTTTGGTCATAGGGCCCGTTTATGATATCCTCCGCGGCCGTCCTCTGCGCATTCCTATCCCTTATCTCCGAATCGGCAGACTCTGTATCTCTTTCTAGTCTCATTATTCCATCTCCAAGAGCGGATAGTTGTGCTTGGATCTTGGCTTTAGATGGCATGGTGTTCTTATTTTAATGTAAGGTTGTACGAATGTTGTAGTGTTCTCGGTTCTTGTTGGGAGTTTGCTTTTGGGAAATGGTTGAAACCCAGAGGGAGAGCGCGATTTTATACCTTCCAGGCCTCGCTTCTCACTGATGTTCGTCATCTAATTAAATGTGATTTGTGCTATCGGCGTTTGCTAATCAGACTGGTAGCTAATTCTCGGCATCACAGCCTCTACCCCCAACGGGACATATGGTTTCGTGTTCACAGTAAGTAAAAACGCTGAATGGTATGTCCTTGTAACTCGACACTCGATAATCGTTCACAATACCTCTGAAAAGGGGTTCAGCGCCGTATCAATGCCCATGCCCACATTCCTGTTGATCAGTGGCGGCGGCCAAGAACGACGTGTCGAGGTCATTGCTGTTATCTGCTCAAGAACAACCACCATCCCCTATCCTCCTTCTCATCAAAGCGAGGGAAACGCTCCGAAGCGTCCAACCACAACAATGGTATGCCAGAGTCCAATCCCTACGGATTCTGAGGACTGCCTCTATTTCACTTTGCAAATCATTCTTAGATCCGGCATGCAGTAAAGGCCTTGAAGGCTTTAGTTAATTCGGAGAAATATGTAGCTAAGCTTTCTTTGCTTGCTGCCCCGAGCTTGCAAGCCATCACCTAAGTTGCTGAGCGCAAATCCCTCATCAGCTCCCTCTCCTTGTCTCTATACCTCTGCAACTCCCGACACCGCAGCTCTTGCCTATTGCAGAGATCTGTCAGAGTCGTACACAGCCGGTCATGTTGCCTTTGTGCCGAATCCTTTTCGGATTGACTGCCGCCCCCGTTTATTATTGACTCCAAATCTCTCCTTTTCTTCATCATGTCCTGCATTTCCCACCTGGCGGTATCGTGGTTTATTTGCAACATCTCCATATCATTTCTGAGTCTGTTGAGCTCTGCCTCGATCTGTGTTTTAGAGGGCATGGTGTTGTAACGGTGCTGTCAAGTGGTAGGAATATTGTAGTGTTTTGTTTGTAGTTCTTTGGGTAGTTTACTTTGCGGGAAATGGTTAGAATACGGAGCTCGGGTCGTTTTTATAGTTTGATGGCCGGGCATTTCACTGACCGGTATGTTGGAATGGAACATTACTCTCGCCAACACTGCATATCCAGGGAACTATGGGTGGTGTCACGGCGTACCTTTGACAGAAGCAGTGAATCCACTGATGCACATACTTCGTTAGTTCCGAGCTGCAGAAAGCGGCGAGTGATTAAAGCTCAACATAACCACCTATTCAATGTGGTCTACTTTATACTACGCACTCGCAGGGTCTGGTCAGCACCGTGATTGAGCGTGTTGTCAAGGTCAATGCTGTTAGTGAGTGATGGCGGCTGAGAATAAGGAATCACACTCACTGCCTTCCAGAACATGTGGTGTAATTATTCATAGATCAATTGTCATGATGCAACCAATACTTGTTCACTATAGACTGTGCCTCATTAAACCACATTGATGGCCTCATTCCGATGCCTATCAAGGGTCTTGAGGTAGCCTCATATGCTGAAGCTGATTAATAGCTAATATCCATAATATCTGAAGTCATAGCGAGATACATCAAGACCTTACATTAAAAGATATGATTATCTCAACATGTAGTTGGATACTGGAGAACCAAGTCGCTTTCAGTGCGCTTCTACACTGCCAACAAGACTCGAGTACATGATGACTTGATTAGATCGTCACTGTATAGTTTCTACCAAGGGACAACTCCTCCTCATCGCTTCACGTATAAAAGGGGGGAAGTCATAGACGCATAAGCTGTGATTTAAAGGCCTATGCCATCTCTATTGTCCTGTAATTTGGCTTTGAACAATGACATTGAATGAAGCAAAGAGCTCTTTGAATGTAGGCGATAGCCTAGTTTGCTGATTGCCACTGCCTGCTAAGCCTTGTCTCCCTCCTCTTCAGGTCCTGCATCTCCCTGTTGCGATAGTCTTGCTTCTGGCATAGATCCACTAATTGTGTACAAAACTCTTGATGTTGCTGTTGAGCCATGTCCTTCTGGTCTTGCTCAAAGCTCCCACTCATGATCGACTCGGCAGCCATCCTTTTTGCCATCACCTCTTGTATTTCCCAACCCACTTTCTCAATATCGGTTTCTACCTTGTCTATTTCATATCGGAGGCTATCAAGCTCCGTTGCGATCTCTGTCTTAGTTCGAAGCGGCATTTTGTTGTGGGTATACTGCCAAGTATTAGGGGTATTGTTGAATATCTTGGTTTGGGGAACAGTTTGTAGTGCGTACCTGGACCAGCTTTTATAGGCTGCTTGGCTTACGTTTTACTGGTTCACGTGGTCGACTCGAACGTGGCTTTTGCTGTTACTCTCTGTCTATCGACATGAGGAAGGTTGGATTCACAGTCACGACAATCCTCGGAGAGTGAACATGACTGGACTGTTGTGCCATTCATTGCTGTTAAATGTCATGAATAAGTGACCCGCAACTTGTAACCATCGTAAATGGCTCACAGACTCCTCAGCAAAGTAGTGGCGTGAAGTGTCACTATTACTACCACATTGCTATGGTTAGTGACGCAGGTAGAAGACATTAAATCATACCGACGGCTTTCAGCATATCCTGTATCCGCGTACCTGCTCTCATTCATACAACGCTCATTAATGACAAACACTGTCTGAGCGACCTAGGTAGTTTCTCTTATTCTATGGCATGGCAAGAACATCAAGGCAGCCTCACATGGTCAACGGTATTAGAGCATCAGACCCCATGGCAAAACAACGATTACATTGTGCCTCGACGTGACCATCGTTAATGAAGCCTCAAAACACGCGTTTCAGGGGCAGTCATATCAAGATTCAACACCCAGCTAGTTGAAAAGGCTGTTCCAATGAACAATTACATCTAGCCCGCTATCGCTGCTAGGAAACCTCTGAGTTAAGGACCTATAAACGCCGGACAGTAATTAAGTGACGCAAGGTAATTTTTCATACAATGTGATGAATATCACTTTTAATATTTCTCTAGTCGTTGATAATTTGTGCACAGCTCTGACTTCCTGCCTTGAATAAGAGACATTTCAGGAAACTCTACCTGTTCATTAGTGCACCACTTGCCTATCTTGAGCTTCGAGCAGATAAATTCGGACCAGCTTGATGGCGTCAGGAGTCAAAGTCAAGCCCGTTGACAGCATCTTGACAGGCTGCAAAGTCGAAGCTGGAGAAACTGTAATCAGAGAATTGTCGACTCGGAGGTTGGATGCTTCGCACTACCCGAAAAGCTTCTTTCAAAATCGGCAATCCCTTTAACACAGTCAGCAGCCATCATTCCAACCCCATAAACGTTGCCAATACTAGTAACCCTAGCTTGAAGCTAGTCAAGCCGTGACATCATGGTCTTTGCTTAGTGGGGTCCGTGATTTGCCAGATGCTAATTATAGAGGGTCCACTTCGTATGCTACGCGGTAGATCGGCACTTTGAGGCTTGGAATCACGAGAATCAGCGCCACTAGTTCAGTCTTTAGCTGGGGACCCTTTTCATCAACGTTGCATTTTCGATCTGAGTTTCCTCTGCCCGTCATGTCTTACGTTAGTATTGAGCGGCAGTTAGTGTCGCGGGAAGAGAACCTATTGTTTTAGCGGCTTAAAGTTCGTAATTTCTCCTATGGTGACGTTGGCAGGGATGGTGTAATGTTTATTCTGCACCCGGGGACAGCGAGGACCATTGAATCAATGGCATTGATGCTAGATCCGCAACGTAGTGTTTACTCTAGCTCATGTCGTATTGGGCTTGAATGTCAGTTCGTAACATGTCGATCTGTGGATCATGCGAGTGCGAGGGTGGCCACGGCAGTTGATGTATTTAATAACATTTAATATCTGCTCATCCCCTATTGTTTCATCTCATTCCATTCATCCTTCCATCACTCTTCTATACCCCCAATTAATTCACGATGCATCTGAATACGCTGCAATATTTGGTCATCGGCCTCGTGGCCAATGCTTCAAAGTCGTTAGCTGTGCCGACGAAACGAGAAGCTGTGAACAGCTGTCTTGTCCAAGCCGAAGTTCCAATTGATAGCAAAGGTACTCCAACATGGACCGAAGACGGCACCGCCTACAATCTGCGCCTTCAGTTTGAACCCGTCGCCATCGCAGTCCCTACAACAGTCGCTCAAATCTCCGCCGCTGTCGCTTGCGGCTCAAAACACGGCGTCGCAGTCAATGCCAAGAGCGGCGGCCACAGTTATACATCCCTTGGTTTCGGTGGAGAAGATGGCCATCTCATGATTGAGCTGGATCGCTTATATAGCGTCAAGCTTGCCAAGGATGGAACCGCAAAGATTCAACCTGGCGCTAGGCTTGGCCACGTTGCTACTGAGCTTTGGAACCAGGGAAAGCGTGCTCTTTCTCATGGAACTTGTCCTGGTGTTGGTATCGGTGGTCACGCCCTGCACGGTGGCTACGGAATGGTCGCACGCAAGTACGGTCTCACGCTGGACTTGATGAAGGGCGCTACTGTTGTTCTCCCCACCGGAAAAGTGGTTCACTGCTCCAAGACCGAGAACTCCGATCTCTTCTGGGCTATTCGCGGCGCTGGTGCTTCATTCGGTGTCGTCGCCGAGCTCGAGTTCGACACTTTCGCTGCTCCTGAACAGATCACATATTTCGATATTGGTGGCCTTAACTGGAACCAGCAAACCGCTCCTCAGAATTTGCTGGACTTTCAGGAGTTTGGAAAGACTATGCCTGCGGAAATCACTATGCAGATGTTTATCTCCAAGAGCGGATACAGTGTTGACGGTGCTTTTGTTGGTACTGAGGCTGAGCTCAAGAAGGCTCTTCAGCCTCTGCTTACCAAGTTCAATGTTCAAGTCAGTGCGACGACTGTCGATTGGATTCAGCTGGTTACTCACTTTGCTGGCGCCAATGTCGATATCAACCCTACCAGTGCTTCATACGATGCAGTAAGTCTATCTCCTTTCACATAATGGTGATTCTTCGCTAACAATTCGCAGCATGACAACTTCTATGCTAGCAGTCTTCAAGCGCCTGAGCTCACTCTCGTTCAATTCAAATCCTTCATCGACTACATCTCCACCACTGGCCAAAGCAGCAGTCACTCATGGTGGTTGCAGATGGACATCTCTGGCGGCAAATACTCCGCGATTTCCAAACACAAGCCCACCGACACAGCTTACGTTCATCGCGACGCCCTTCTCCTCTTCCAGTTCTACGACAGTGTTGCTCAGAACCAGAAGTACCCCTCTGATGGTTTCAACCTGATCACGGGTCTGCGACAGAGTATCTCCAATACCCTCAAGGCGGGTACTTGGGGTATGTATGTCAATTACCCTGACTCGCAGCTCAAGGGCGACAGAGCTACGGAGATGTACTGGGGAAGCAATCTGCCCAAGTTGGAGTCGATCAAGGCGAAGTACGATCCCAAGAACATCTTCCGCAACCCTCAGTCAATCAAGCCCAAGGCTTAAAATAATTTGTATAAAGAGTTGTAGATTTTCTGTTGTACATAGACTTGTTATTTAGCGGGTTTCATCGGTTTAATATTATAGATTTGTTATTCATGCAAGACAAGTCCCGGGTAGCCTCTATTTCCATCAATTTTTCTCATCGACCTTTAGCTAATTCGGCAGAGCAATTCACCCGCGCTTCTAATATAATAGATTACTTCACTGAGTAGAATTTTTCTTGGGTTTCAGCTCGAAGCGTAACACGTCTCAAGGGAATCTGCTTTTACGGCTCCAAAACCAACACACATAACGGAGATGTACTCCATGGTTAGACGTTGACTCCAGCGGACTATTAGGGTGTAACTGAATCTCTCTTCAAAGGTGAGACTTGATTAAGACATAATTGAAATTGCCTTTCAACTTCCCCTTCTAAGTTGAGGCATAAATAAACATCACTCTGTAACAACAACGTTGATAGAACCAACAGTGTTGGTTGTCACAGCTCTAACGCATTTTGAGTTAGTTCCCCTCTGAAGTGGCTGATATGATTGGTTCAGCTGTCAACTCACCGTATGATTTGCCCACCGGCTGCCTAACTGTGCCCGAAATAACGGGTCCGGCTTTAATGCCAGCGAAACAACAACCTCGCTACGAATTACTTAAAAAGTCTTCCCCTTTTCCATGATCACCTCACTCAACGACCTCTATTTTATCACCAGTTCAGTACAATAAAGCAAACCATCACCATATCGCAACAATGTCGGGTCTAAGCGACCGGATGTTACACCTAGACATGGCTCTGACCCAGAATGGGACACCAGCCACGCCTCATCTCCGTCAAGCGCGGATCAAACGAAAAAACAGCCCTACAGACATCAGCCATTTAGTCTTCGGTCCGCAACCTGGGAAGAAGCACCAATTGTGGATCACAGATCGTATCATGGAGCCTCAAACAATTCCTCACTTCTTTGAATTTCTCATGACTGGAGAACTTCCTGGCGACCGAAAAACGTCTCGTCCTTTGCTTACTGTCGAGGAGGTCAAGAACTTGACTAGACCAGCTTCGGAATGGGCGCCTGCTCCACTTAATCGACAGGCGAGATCGACTGGGGAATGGATAGGTATTCGGATTGGTTCGTACGAAGACAGTTCTAGACTCTGGCCAATTGCCAAAGAACTTCATGCTATGAAGTCGAGGCTTTGGGAAGGGGTGCCACCGATATCTGAGAGACGATGGCAAGAGTTGGGGCTTGATCATCCGGACAGATTCCCCGAAGCCTGTAGTTACTTTGTTGCGGTCATCAATGTCTTTATCTACCTGAACACAAAGCGCACCAAGGCGGCTTTGCGAAAGACTTATAACTTGATATGGGACCATCTCAAGGTGTTTGAGCAGGCGATCAATGCAAAGAGGAAAGCGGAAGCGGAGGACGGCGTGTATGAATATGTATCAGTCACTGGTCTCTGGTATGAGTTCATCAGAGCCCAATACGACTCCATCTGTGAGAATGCGCACCACTGGATCATCCAGCACATTGATTGCATACGAGAGTCAATTGTGCAAGAGCTCGCGCTGCATCAACCCGATCACCCGGATCATTACAGCGATAAACAATGGGAACTGACAAACAAGCTCCACGACCTTGCCGAAAACACCTCTCAGGCTGATTACACCATAATGATGCCCACGGATGGATACAAAGGCGATAGTCTTCCGGTGAAAGAGGACGATCGACTCACAGAAGCCCATGGAGGTGGCTTTCGCACAGAAACGATCAGCTGGTCTGCGAATCTAGCATGGCGAGCGTCTGACTACACCAAACGTGTCAGATATCTCGACCGGAAGGAGATGTACAGTCATTTCGAGCGTGAGGACTTTAGACAGCTTCGAAGCTCCGTTGGCGTCACTGACCCAGCGTGTATGGTTATCTCGGCCATTAGTCAGATTGACGCACAGGCTATGGCTAGGGAAGAACTACGAGGTCTTCCAAACCATCCAGACTTTGTGCCATGGATTGAGTATGCTCGACGAAAATCGAACAAACGTTTGGGCTTTGTGGCGTATAGACTCTGTCATGGATATAGTCCTGAGAAGTGGGATTTATTTAAGGCGAAGTTTGAGGCTGATATTTCTGACTGGGGGCGAGGGACGGTTGGCATCAACGATATACGCAAGGCGTGCAAGATCCACTGGAGTGATGGTCAAGAGAAGGACATTGCAGATGATGATATCGAAGCTGCCAAGAAGTAAGTTTAATGATGAGAAGATAATGAAAAAGGCTAACAATTATGCAGGCATTTCGAAACCATTTCAGATCAGTCGGTGCATGACAGGGTATTCCTCGTCATTGACGAAGCAACCATGAAATCATATCTTGAACCAGAGCCTGGCAAAGACAAATTCGTCGTCGCCGTTGACGCGAAGTACAATCCAACAGATGAAGAGAACGTCGAGTCACCAGGCTACAAAGGAACTTTGCGCATACTGGGGAGTCTTCTTTGGGATGAACTCGGCGCTCTGTTGATCATGCAAAGCGCGTTTCTTGAGAATCTCTGGCCGATGGCGATGCATGATGCTGAGGGTGTCTATCGCGGCATCAGGGTTACATCAGTGCTCAAGTTCTCAAGCTATCAAGAGAATTTGAATTGGAGGCTTGCGAGTGAGATTGTTCCCAAGTTGGTAGCTTTTAGAAGGAGACTTGAGTTCAGACAGAGGAGGTAGAATGGTGGAATTAGATAACGAATGGTGAAGGAGATGTCGCTCCTCTAGCAACTAAGCCCTGCCAGCCTTTTTGGCATCCATCCGAGCTTTGATGATCTTCTTCTTCCAACCAAAACACTGATTGCACGCTACGCCTTCCGGTCAAAATACATTTTTCCGCGGGAAATGGCCGTGACTTACTAGCGCTGTCATGTTTCTTGCACATATAAACGCCATCGTGGTTGATGGAGGCATGTGGACTTTCGATTGCATCGCGCTCCACAGAGTCAAACTACATCGCGAGTAAGGAGTGTAAATAAATAGTTTTGCTTTTAGGGAAAAAAAAGGAAGGCCAACGTACTCCGTAAAAAGCGTCGTTCTCCTCACGTAAGTCGACACTGCAATCTTCACACTATGGATAATATGTTAGTTATGTATCGGCCTGGGGAAGAGATGGTATACTGACAATTTCTGTGAGATGTTCTTGGCAGAACACTGCGTCGTTGATCTCAACAGTGGACATGACTGAATCAACTACGAAATGGAAAGACTTAGTATGGTGCAGATAGAGATGAAATGAATGTTACACAATGCAGAAAAGGTCTTGTCTTATAAAGTGATGCATCTTGGGGTCACGTCAGTGGCGGGCGAGATCTGCGAGACACTACTGCAGTGCAGTGCTCGGACCGCAGCTGAAAGATGGCATGGCCCAATAGTGAGGTCGGGAGCTAAGCGTCAACTGTATGTGATCGGCGCTGGTATTCTTGCAGCGAGGCTATTGGGTGGATGTACGAGATTATTGACTAGAATCCTGGAACTCAGCTGCCAAAATGAGACATTCTTACCCTCTTATGAAAGAGACATAGTTTTTGTGATGAGGTGATAAGATTGAGGGGTAAAAAGAAGCTGCAGTCCCAACACAAAGGTAAAGAGCACAAATTAACACAAGGTACTCTTTGACTTCATCGATGCTTAAGGAAGAGACCTAGACCAATTGAGTTGAAGATGAGGACCAAATTCTCAGGCGATGGTGTTAAGTGGAACCCAGGCTGAGACGAATATAATACATCAAAGTATATTGATTCAAAAAGAAATACTATCTAAGTACATGACTTATTATATATAATCTATCTTGATATTTAATATAAACAAACACTCATCATGGACTAGTATAACTGTTGATCTACCTGTCTCCAAATCTGTTTGAATTGAGAACCGTTTTGGATCGACATCCTGGCAAGGAATCCACAATACCCTCCTAGAACCTTTCATGAGCCAGGCTTCGGACTTTGAGTAGGATAGTCTGAGGTAACGCGGGTCCCAGTGACCTTTTGCGGTCAACATTGGTATATCTTTAGAGTTCCCACATTCCATGTCGTATTCGAGAACACCAAAGCCTGTGTCGAGTCGTTGCTTGGGGGTTAAAAAGGTCATAGTTGGAACATCGTCAAACAGAGAGTACCTCCGAATCCAGGTACCATCATTCGCATTTCCAATGGCTATGAATTTCTGGTCAAAATCCCGTGCAGAGATCGCAAGCATACCACTTGAATCAAAGGAAATTGTCGAAATCACTACAACATCGAGTTGTAGAACGTGTAAGTCAAAACGCTGCGTTTCCTTTTCGCACATGATGTCCCATATCACTACCTGAGAATAATCTTCGCCCCAAGCAATTCGGCCGTCAGCTGTAATGGTTGATCTGCGGTCTTCGTATCGGTGTGGGATAGATACCTTCCGCAAGCATTTGCCTGTCTTTAAATCCCAGAAATTCATGTAACCATTATAAATTATGATCTGCTCTTGTCCCCAAAACTGTATGGTCAAATAGATCTTCCGAAGGGATCCATAAATCGGGTACTCTCTAATCCGTCGCTCGCGATAGTAGAGGCCCGTATCGTGGCCGAACTTAAAAACAACAATGGCACCACTGTTGGTGGCTACAGCAAAGTAGTCGTCGTGACCAAATGCTAGTGACTCAATTTTGTAATATGACCCCCGGGGCGAATTTTGAAGTGTCTTGGGGAGATGGTGAAATCTGCCATCGACTGCTATGCTTAACATGTCGAATTTTGCGTTGTTACTGATGACAGCAACCTTGCCACTTGGCGATGTGATAAACGCCTTGACTATGCTGGCAGACTCTTGGGTGGTAGGTTCTGAATGACTCAAGATTGTGTCCAGGCTCCAGATCTTGAGAGTGCCGTTTCGAAGCCCGAGCGAAGCAAGTTGGCGATTTCTTCCATAGCATATTGTCTCAGCAGCATCGCCCCGTACCTGCGCTACCCGTCTCTTCGCTTCTAAATCCCATAATTCGATGCCAAATATCCCACAAAGGGCTATTGAACGGTCATCGGCTATCCATGATGCATCAAATACATTCTCATGGTCGAATCGCGCAATCTTCTGCACGGTTATGGATGACCCCCAAGAGTACAATACGAGCTCTTTCCAACCATGGAACACTGCACAGCATGTCCGATCACGGCTAACCGTGGCAGCGTTAGGATGTTCTATGCCCGTCAGCGACATTAGCTTGGACGTTTGATGTGTCGTATCAAGAGCCCAAATAGAAATATCGTCCGATCCTAGAATTAAGAGAGCCTGTGGATGCGAAAGAGTATGTGTCCAGGCAATATACTTGACAAAGGAGCCTGGCATTACATGGCAGCTGTCCGTTTTTGTTTCGCTCGCCATATGCCAAATGTCCACGGTGTGGTCGCCTGATGCTATTGCAAGTAGTTTTCCGTCTGGAGACACGGATAGAATGGCTGATCTGCGACTTTTGGGAACTCTGAAGGATTTACTGCATTCCCCGTTAGGCAGATGGAAGATGGAGAGTTTTGCTTCGTATCTTGTTTCGCCAGATAATGTGACAAGATGATCTCCGCTTGGATAGAATGTAAATCCGACCAGGCGACCCCCCGGAGATTCAATCGACTTGACAAGGCAACCAGTGGAAGCGTCCATCAAGAGTAAACTGTCGGCGTTACTGTTGATCGTTGCAACATGCCCACCATCAGGTGAAAATTCGCACATGGCCTTATGTGCTATACCCGGAATAGTCTGGAGGCAGGCATCCCATCGTTGGAAGTTGGGGGAGAATACATCTATGGATTTGTTGATTTCCTGATTAAAGCATTCTTTGATCTTGCTGAGTTGGGGAGTGAATATTAAAGCTGAGTCATAGAGTTGAAGTGGTGCAACATCCATGATGGTTCTGTGTGTAAAAGCGAAGCGTAAAGCGTCTTTGACCAGAAGCTTTAGCTCGTCAGAAACTCTACCCTCCTGTATGATAGTTAATCGCCGATTTAATTTTCTCGAGATATCACTACCTACCAACTTATCTTCCAGTCTCTGCATCGCCTTGATTGCCTCTGAGGTACACCGCAACAGACTCATAGCCTCAAGCCAGTAGTGGTACTTATTCTCCAAGAACTTGGTTATCATAGTGTAACACAAGCTGTTTTGGTGTTGATCGTCGGTCAGAAGCCATGCACAGAAGTGATCAACCCAGTAGACGCCCATTGCGGACTGTTGTCTGCGAGGGTTGAGGGTCTAGGTGGGGTAGCCATAACCTTACAAAGACAGAGAGGAATAATCTCAAGAATAGAGAAACTGGCTCAAATTACATCTCCCATGGGGTTTTATTGCAGTCTTTCTAGTTCCATACAAGGTTAAAGAGGGGTAACTATATACACAGTAAGCGCGAGGACCCTTATCCCATTTGCTTATTCGATGACTCTATCACTTCCCACAGAGAGCCATGCGGTTGGCCTCGTGTAACCGACACATCACACGCTATCATTGGTAGACTTTCTGGAGTTGGGGACTAAGGTCACTTTCCAGAGCCTCGTAACCGGAGCCATGCCTGAGGCATTCAAATGATTATTGGAGAGGGTAAGCGAATAATGCTGTATAGACTGTAATATAGTAATAAAGACCCCTAATAAGATACTGAATAAATAGGACCCTTTGGTCTCTGGGAGCCAGGAAATACATCTATCTCGAATCAGAGATCCCTAATAAGCGCAACTTTAAGAAGGCATTTAGTTACAGTGCCTGAGCTATATTCTGTTATAGAAGGAAACAGCTGCTACTCTTGGCCTCCGCCTTGAGGACTCAACCCTTCACCTAAAAACCAACATTGTCGTCTCTGAACCTCGGTATAAACCAATTCACAATAAGCAAACAGTTTGAGCTATTTAGGCTCAGCGCCAATATGCATTTCTATAACTCTATCTTCAAACATTTTAGATATGACTTTCTATCAAGTCGGCCCTGGGCTTTAGTTACTTTCTTTCTTGAATCTGCGGCAGATTATATTATAAACTCTCAGACCCTTCCTATCTGGGAAAGAGCTCTTACATACCCTAGGTAAATAAGGACCTATCTACATGGGCTCGCAATGCTAGCCAGCAGGGAAATCTGATTCTCTGGGTTTGAACACACCAGACCGCGAAACTATCATCGAAATCGACCTGGTGGGGACAGGGCGGGCATTTCTGAGATGGTGGGTGGGGGGGTTGAGCGATAACTCCCTTGTCAACATGGTGAATCCACTCCGCCGAAAGATTATACAGCAGCTCAAATGTAACCTTTGCATCGCAGTCAAACAACAGAATGACTCGGTCTTTGATTTCAATAAGTTTTACATTGCCAATGGTGGCAAGCACGAAAAAAGCCCGAGCCCGGACTTCGAGACTGTCCCTGCCTTTGTGCAGTGCACGGATAAGACGCTTTACATTGTTGACTAGCGCTGGGCTACGGCTTTCCTGATATGCGTCGCGCTCCTGGTCTTGGCCGGCTGCTTCAGCGTCGTCATCTAGAGTATAACCATCGCGCCCGACGTGCTGGGCTACTCCAGCTCCTTGGTCCGCAATTCAAAGTACCTCCACCTGCCCAAGCACAAGCTCAACAGCGGCATGAGCGAGAGCGAGCGCCTCCGCGTCCTCAAGGGCATCGAGGTCATGATGCAGAATGTCAAGGCGAATGCCGACGTTGGCCGCATCGCTCTAGGCTTGAAACACGATAAAGCCGAGCCGCTGAGGAAGGGGAGGCTCTACAGATAGGAGAGATTTCCAGAATAGGAAGTTGTTTAATTGCGACATGTTCGGTACAAGAAACTTTGCTTGCCCTCTCAAGAGACACTTTGAAGAGGTACCTCTGAGTTCATGAAGTCTGCCGCTTTCCAAGCCAGCACCAGCTGCTTCTGTCCCAGCCGTCATATTCCCTGCTCAAGAAGCCCTTCTTGGGCGCGAAACCTTCTGGAATCACATGCAAACAGAACATGATCGTAAATGTTGCGAGCACGAGACACGAAATACACACCCTGCCACCCTACTGAGGCCCTGTTATGACTCACATTACCATTTCCAGGTATGGACATGGTGGGGCTGGTTCATGTCCCGAAACGGCTATTGTCGCCTCGCTGCAATTACGGCAAACCCGAGACTGCTCGTCCCATGGGCTCCAGAGGGATAAAATGGCATCGCCATGTAACTGCGAGCATTTACCTGAGCAGAATCATACAGAGCCACATACGCCATGGATGCCCTCGGGCCAAAGATCAGGGTCAAGACAACGATGCCAACCCTTCCGCTGGCGACGCCGCGGGCCAGCATCGAGACGGAGCGGCTGGTGCTGCGGCCACTGTCGCACGAGGACCTGAGCGACTACCACGCGCTGCGCACGCAGCCCGAGGTGGTCGAGTACATGTCGACGGGGCGGGCGGACCGTGACCTGGATGAGACGCGGGCGGTGCTGGACCGCGTCGCCGGCCCGGGCCGCGAGGCCGGCACCTTCGTCTGGGGCATGCGGCTGGCGGCGACGGGCGAATTCGTCGGCGCCCGGACCCGCTGGCCCTCGCTCGGCTATTACGTGCGCTGCGAGTACTGGGGCCGCGGCTACGCCTCCGAGGCCATGGCCGCCGTCGTGGCTGCCTGGTGGCGCCTGCCCCGGTCCCCGGGGGTGGAGATGGAGCTCAACCCCTCGTCGGTCGGGCGCGCCGTCGCCGCCGGCGAGGAAGTGCCCGAGCGCCTGTTCGCCTTCATCGCCTCCACCAACGCCGGCAGCATCGGCGTCATGAGGAAGCTCGGCTTCTGCAAGTTCAAGGACTGGGAGGTGCTGGATAGCCGCGCGGGCTATGAAGGTCAGATGGTTACCCTAGTTGGATTCCTACTCCAGCGGCCTGTTGAGTAGGATTTTTGAAATGCCGATTTCTTGAGAACAATTTGCAAATTTTGGATGAGTTAGATGTATTAGACAGTCTCTTTGCTAGCGCTAGAATTCTACAACTGAAACTCGACTTCGAAATGCCTTCAACCACAACCATGGAGCTGAACGAAACGAAATATTAGCTGGCCATTAAACAAGTCGATACGCCTTCGCCTTCGACCCTAGAGTCAGAGTAAGGTAGAATCTTCTCCAGTCTACAAAAGCGTTCGGCTTCAGAGCGCGGTAGACGCCACAGTGGAAGTTTACTGCTCTAGAGAGCGGGAACGCTTAACCGGGCGCTTGAAGTCAAGTGATAGCTCGTCTACAGAGGTATCCAAATCATCAAAGGCGCTAGGGCCCTTCTTTTAGGTCCTAAGCAGCCTCAATTGTACTGGTATGCGGAGTCTTCCTTGTCTTGTTGTGAACCCCTAAGCCGTCCAATCACTCGTCGAATCTTCTAGAATCTGTAGTATATGGCCTAATAAAACTTTAAACCCCTGTAGAGCGCAGAGGGTCGTTGGACTCCCAGCAGCACTTTCTCGGTTTAAGTAGTAAAAGCTAGCCTTTTTAAACTGCAGCTTAAGCTTTTAAGCTATAGCTTAAAAAGGTTAAGGAAAGTAAAGTACTTACTTATCTAGTATACTTGCTTATTAACCATGTTATAGGTAATATATATTAAATTCTAAAGTTATTATATATTAATTTACTTACTTTATTTTAATAATTTATTAATATAATAACTCTTAACAAGTTAATTTAGGCTTAAATTTAAAAGATTTTAAAGTTATAATTAGTTATTATTATATTTTATTAAGTATTTTTACTATTAATAGCCTTAGCTCCTTTAGAATTATAAAAGGTATTTATTAAAAATCTTTTAAATATATTTATAGTTAATCTAAAGATATAATTTATAATAGTTTTAGTTTTAAGTATTATAATAAATACTCCTTAGAGTTCCTTATATAACCTAATATATAATATTTATTATAAAATAAAAAGAAAGTTATATTATAATTTAGCCCTAGTTTTAGTAGAGTTTAAAGTAAATATAATACTTAAATATATTAAGGCTATTTAAATTAAAGTTATTAACTTACTTTAAAAAAAGCATAATAGGTTAATAAGACTTTAAGTAAAACCACTTGAGATAGTAGAATTGCATAGAGGGAGGCAATCTGATAATAGAGAGGGCTAGATTAAATATGGCAATTAGGACGGGACCCGTCCTATTTTAGAAGGACAGGTACCTGTCCGCCTATTGACCACCGGATAGGACTATTATTGTGCACGGGCCAGTTTTGTTGTATCCTGTCATGTTACCGCCACGACTGCGTATAGTAGGCTAGTTTTGCATATAATCGATAGGAAGACAGCTTATTTCGATCCAAACGCCAGTCATGGTCACAGCAGAGGTTTATTGACCCGAGACTACTGTATGTATACCTCTTTAGCTCCTTGCCACTGCGTCTTCTTTGTGAGTCGATCAACATAGCAGTGTCCAACAAGCTTGTAGCAGGCCTGCTCCCCTTTCCCATCAACTATTTGCGTCCCCACCGGCCTCAGAATGAATGCGGTCTCGACGCCCTCGAAGGAGAAGACCTCATCCCCTACCTGTGCGTCCTTGGGCGCTATGCCAAGCATCTGGTCTCCCGCCCTGAATAGCCTCTTGTCGGTAAAGTTGACTAGCTCTAGCGTCTCGCTCATCTTGTCTAGCATCACGCTGTGGACCCGTGTCAAAAAGCGATCCGGGTCCCCAACCAAGGTGTAGAAGGTGACCAACATCCTGAGGATGCAGAGGGCCTCTTGGTGGTATTGGGGCTGCCGCAGGTGCAGCGGGAAGGTGTCACAGACCAGTGTGCGGTAGAAGACCTCCTCGTCCGGCTCCATGCGCCGCAAGGCGCGACGGTGGTGCGCGACGAAAGCGAAGAGCTCTTGCACGTCGGGCATAAAGTCGTAGTCATCTGCGCACCGCTCCATGTCCTGCATGAGGCGCCCGTAGCTTCCACTGTGCCCTGTGGCCTCGGTCTCGTCTGGCTGCTCGTCCTCGCGGGCGTGCCGGCGCAGAATACCCAGGAGAGACATCTCATTTTTCATGCCGGCGAACTCGCTCCAGCTGCTGAGCATGCCGGTGAATCTCTTGAAGTTCTCAATCGATATTGCTTGGCCGTAGCTCTTGTGAAGCGGAACTCCTGTGGTTGTCACCTCGGTGATCGTTCCTCTGGACAGGCCGCGCCCCAAGACCAGCGTGGAGCCAAGAATGGACGCGAGCTGACCACCTGGAGTCAGAGGCTGTTGCGTCTCGAGATACCAGAGGTAAGCATCGTATCCGCTGCCCTTCTGTGACCAGTCAGGCACCCAGCTAGGCAAGCCTGCCATGACGTCAAGCTCGGATCGAATCCCTTGAGAAAGCAGCAGTGTCTTGGGGCCAGATTCACCCAGAACCATTCTCTTGGCGAAGTTACAGTACAGATTCTCCATGTCATTCGAATAGTCGGCCTGGATAGGGGACCAGCTCCCCCAGTCCTGGACCAGAGATAGGATGCCGAAGATCTTGTCTCGCGGGTCGGTACAGTCCCGATCTCTGACAGCAAGCATGACGTCGATGACGCCATTGGGCTTTGCATCTGCCAGCGCATCCGAGACAACCGGACTACTGCTGATGACAGCCTCGGGGGGGCGACGGTCCACCTGTAGCAGCCGGAAAACACGGTCCCTCATCTCCAGCAGGTGTGCCCAAATGAAGGTGTTCTTCATGCTATCCATGCAGTGACAGAGGTCATCGGTGACGTGGGTGCCGAGGGTCCAGACGGAGCCGAGGTCGTGCTCGTCAACGAACTCGGCGGCCTTGGTCAGGGCGGAGAAGTCCATTTCGAGGGTGCCACAGATGACGGTGGACCGGGGCGCGAGCACCACCTCCTGGACGACCCAGATCCTCCTCCACCATCCCGCGTCGTTGAACTGCATGAGAGGAATCCGCGTGAAGCCGAGCATGAGGCCGATGGGCGGCGCGTCGGGCTGGTCACGGTGGTGCTTGGTCGCTAGGGCCGCGAGCAGCTGCGGCAGGTCTCCCCCGGCCCGGTCGTCCGGGTTGTCAAACTCTCGGCTCGTCGAGCCGAGCCAGATCAGACACATGGTGCACTTACGGTAGATATCGGCCATGAGGGCGACCTGCGCGTTGCGCTCTGCGACATCGGATTGGTTGATGCATATCGCGTCCGCCCAGAGAATTCGTTCGCGATCGGCGAGTCGCAGCCTCTTTAGCGCGTGCTCAAGGCTCAGTGGGATAGTGACCTTGTGCCCATCTACAGACACATCAGTCGGAGCTCTGCCCCACTGGTAGGAGAGCGCTTCATATGCAGGGTCGGACTCCAGGGAGGCGACACTAAGATCGCACTCGATTGCATCGTCGCCAGTGCCAGGCTGCAGGTGCAACAGGCGAATTTCTTGGCCTTGAGACGACAGTGACGGATAGAATGGTCGAGGAGTAAACACGAAGTTCGCCATTGTTGTTGCATAAACCTTGTGGTGTTGCTGGCACGGAAATATGCAATGGGAGCGAACGGTAGAGCGCTGCCAACCTTTGGCTTGGAAGAAGAACGAAGAACAGCGAAGAACGTTTAGAGAGTGCCTGACTGAGGCGTGACCAGGACTTTTGAGCTGCTCATTGTGCTGCGATCTGGGCTTCCTCCAGCTCGGCTTGCTCAGCCTCTGCAAGTGCCGTAGCCTGCTTCAGCCGCAAAGGCGAGGCAGAAAGTTATGTACTAAGCCCCACCACCTAGAAACCGCCTATCATCACGAACATGACTTATTTAAAGCATTCTAAATAATATTAATTTTAATAATATAATAATATTATAATAATATTAAATTTAGTATTTTTATATTATCTAATTACTACTTATAAAATAGATTTATTATTTTTTACTTTTTAATTTTTTTAATATCTCTTTTAGCTTTAAAAGCTTTAATATCTCTTAATAGGCCTTATTAATATTAAGAACCTTTATAAAGTATATATTAGGATTAAAGGGAAATTTCTTTTCCCTCTTAGGCTTTATTTATTTTTTTTTTTTTTTTTTTTTTACTTAAAGAGTATTAACTTTTATTTTTAACTTATTAATATAATATATTTATATTCTTAATAACTCTTCTTATAAAAAGTTATATTATTTTTTTTTAAAAGTTTATAAATTAGCCTTAAAAGGTATATCTAAGTATTTTTAAAATCTAATATAATTTAAATATTTATTACCTCTTAATAGGTAAAGCTTTATTAAGTTAATATTATTATAATTAGCCGCCTTAATTATAGCCTAAACCTAGCTGCATATAACCTAGCTAAGGGCCTTGCTCTTTAGCTGGCCTTAATTTTCTTTTTATAATCCACTTTAAAGGTCTATCGCTAACCCCTGCAGTATACTTAAATTATCCACTGTGCAGTAAGTAATCCAATCTGACTTATAATTATAACTGCTAATAGTATTATAGCTTTACTGCTATAATACCTACTATTAAAAGAAGCCTATAGGCACCTAATCCTAATAAGCCTTATTTAATAAAAGGCTATAATATAACTTATAAAATTAAATAAGCTATTAAGAAAGATAATTATATTAAGTCTTATAATATAATAATAAAAATTAAAATAAACTAAGAAAAAGAAAATAATATTAATTATATTAAATTAATAATCTTTAATTATAAATTCCTCTTATTTATATAGCCTTATTACTAGCTAACTAATAAAGGCTTTTTTAATTATAAGATAAAGCTACTTTATAAGCTAAAAGGGAAGTTACTTAAAGGGGTAAATCTAAGCTAGAGGGAAAGGGAATTTATTAAGGCCCTTTACCTAGGCGGCTTATATAATAAGTAGCTTAAGGCTATTTAATAGTAGGCTAAGAAGGTACTAGAGAAGACTAAGCCTTAATAAAGACTAGGCTAGTTATAGTTATAGACTATAAGAGCGTGACTATATATAATCTAGGATAGAAAAGGGGTAATTATAGGATTTTATAGAGAAATAAAAAGAAAATATATTAAGTTTTTTATAAGTCTAATTATCTAAGGTTAAAGACTATTAGTATTAGTAATATAAAGAGGGTTAAATAAGGTATAAGATATAATATAT